CGATCTACGACTGTTTGTGGTCGGCTTTTGGTTCTGGTTCTGAGATAACTTCAAATGACAATACATATATAGCCCTATATACATATGTCTGTATGTAAATATGTACATAGCTCTATGTTTGTTGGATTGTGGTCTTTCGAACGGCTTTAAAACATGGGAAAACATCAAGAGCAGAAACCCTTATCAGAGAAACTCTAGAGTCTAGACGAGCATCAATGTGGCCGATTCATGCACACGTAATGTATGTTGTTCTATGCAATTCTCGGAAGCAAATTTACAGAATCTATGGAATCTAGCCGTGGAATCTGCAATCTTCTCCAGCGATTTCCATCTAATCCTGACACAGATTCCCTGGTTGCATCCTGCTCTCACAAAGGCAAATCTGTATCGTAAACAAAACTCATCTTGATGAATTATTCAAGGTGGACAAAACTACATTGTACACACTTGAATGTTGAATATTTTGCTTTTGTCGCTTTCGTGACTCTAGTGGGTGGTTGGGGGGGGGCATACATATGTACATTTGTATGTACATATATCATCCTCGCAGGTGCATTATATATGCGTATATACTGAACGAGTAGAATCCTTGGGCCAGATTGATTTTCCTTGCTGACTCTTTCCCTGCCACTCACCTTTTGTTGCTGTTGCGCATTGTGGTGGCAGGTTGGGCTCTTTATTTTTTTTTCCACTTTATTCCACATTCTCTTATTGATTTTTTTTGTTGTTTTCCTTTGATTTTTATTCTTTGTTTTTTCCGATTTTTGTTGTGAAAATCGTTGTTCTGTTTGCTTTTTTTGTGCGTTCCGTTTTAATTGCATTATGCAGGAAAATCACAGAGACAGATAAGGGTAAGGTTGGGTGGCGCAGGGAAGGCAATTTAATTTGGGACAGGATGTGGGCACAGAATCCTTTCATTGTTGTGGCCTGTGCAAAGTTCGAACTTTGCTTTTAAATTTCGGAATTTTCCTCATTTTCACTGAATGCATTATTCAATGAATGGCTCTCGGGAAAATATTCATCTGATTGGAGCATTAAGCACTTCCAACCGAAGGCATTTATAAAATCATAGAAAATATGCGGAACATTTTGAAATATTTTTAATCAGATACGTGGGCAGAAAAACTATGAAAACTATTACGTTCCCCGCACCCTGGTAAAGGGATAAAGTAAACTATTTTTTTTGTTTTTTTTTTCTTCCATTTCTTTCTCTTTTGCTGTTGCCTTTAATCTGGTTCGCCATAAATCTGTGTTTGTGTGTGGGGGGCGATCATTAATATGGACACGCTTAAGGGGGCTCATGGACTCTATCCCAGGCAGTCCACTCTATACCCCTGATGCGGCACGTGTCCCCCTGCGGTCCATGATTCCCTTTTATCACCTTCCCTTCGCTTATCTGTGCAATGACAGACAAAAGAGCGGCACAGAGCTTCGTTCAACTATTAACTTCGTCCACAAGCAAAAAAAAAAAAATAAGGGAAGAAGAAAGAAGTAAACGAGAGAAATATATTGCACTTAAAGGATCAGCCGCATAGAAAGAGAAAGAGTAAGAGCTCTGTAGGAGTGGGAGTGGGTAGTGGGAAGGGGAACGCTGAAAATGCTAATCATTTGCTCATTAAATCCGCATCAGTCGCTGCCGCCGTCGCCGTTGGCGTCACTTCCAGGCAGCGCTGCTGGTGTTAATGACAGGACAAACACCAGCCAGGCAGAAAAAGAGAGTAAGTATAATAAAGAAAGAGAGAGCGAGCAATACCGGGCGTACGAGAGAGAGAGAGGTCTGTCTGCCCGGGCCGAATGAACAGCTGTTGTGTTGTGTGGCTTCAACGAGTTCAACGAGAATTTTGGCACAAGCAAAATGAGAGAAAAAACAACAACAGCAAAGAGAAGTAGCTGGGCGAAGATATAAATAAAAGGAATTGAAGAGTTTCAGAGAGGGGGCAGAGAGATGGACACAGAGAGACAGCGCAAGGAGCAACGCGGGCATGGACATGTTTCAAGCAAAGGGCAAGTGAGGGGCATTACAGTTACAGTGGTTACTGCTTCAAATAACAATTGGGGTACACGAATCCCCACTCAAGAATTGGATTTATATTCTTATAATGATAGGATATTGAACACAATTCTATTGATCATATTATCATGTGTGTAAGAGATTCTCTAAACGAGAAATCTTTCATTATAGTAATAATAATTCAATTATAATTAGAAAACGTACATAATATCAGCGATTGGACTATAATTTATACATAATTTTCCATGTTCGCATATTCTAGTATATCTGCATTCTATCCACATAACTTTAGCTTTCTCCCACACCAAGCTGCGTTGTCTGCCATTTCGGGTCGGGTCACGCACTCCACTCCACTGTACTGTCTCCTTTGCTGAACGGCACAGCAGCAGCAGCAGCTCGCTCTCTCCGACACCGAGCAGACGACATCTTAACAGCCTGTGAAATATTAGGCCCTGGGACTGGACTGGAACTGGGGCCTGCGACAGGGATACATAACGAGGGGGCCGGCCTGGTGCTAAAGGGGGTGGGTGAATGCCAAATCATCTGTTTTAAATCGATTTTCCTTGTTTTTGTTGTTGGTTGCTGGTAATACTTCTTTGTTGTTCGCTTTTCTCCGTCCCGAGCCTAATTCCCATATCGTTTTTTATGTGTATGCGTCGTTTGTTTTCCACTTTTTCTTTTGGCTCTCATCTCTAGTTTCTTGAGAAATTGCTAATGTTTCCCTGGGTGGATGGCATGGAACCTGGTGCCCGGATTGCCCGGAAGGATAGATTTTGGCAGTGTCATAACATTCAGGGATAAAATGTATTGGTAAGGAATCAATGTACGTTGTACATACATGCATATAGATATCCAAAAATTGCTTTGCATTGTAATACCTTTCACAAACCACCTACCTATTCCCCTTCTGACACATTCCATTCGCTATTTAATTGACCCCAAAAGTAGCTACCAAAAATTGCTTCAAAATTTGTTAAATTTCAACAGCAGCAGCCACAAAATCTCAGATCTACGCCTACGGATCTACAGAGGGAGAAAAATATCAACTATTTGGCTGATTAAATGAATCGAAAATTGCTTGTGCCTTCGATGGGTGACCATAAAAGTCGAATCTTTCGAATTTTGGCCATTAAATGAATCGAATTCTCGTAATTTATGCAAATTGGTCGAAATGCTGGCCAAAGCGCAGAGAAAATGTCAATTTTTGTAGGCAAAAAATAAAATACACATTTCTGGAGACACACTCGTATCTCACAGCAGAAAAGTTGTCAATGGTTTTTGGAGAAAATGAAAAAAAAAAAACAAAAACAAAACAAAAAACTAAAAAAATATCACGCACTGGGGCGGCCCCAAAAAGAGTGTACACTGAGCTTCGAAAGTATTTGTTTACCTTAATTTTGCAGGTGGATCGTTTCTGTGGCAGCTCACAAAAGCAATATGGATAAATGTGCTGTTTTGACCCACTGTACGGGCAGCAGTATATCATCGCATCATATCAAAACTTGTTGAAACAATTACACATCCATCCAGCTCTGATCTCAGAGATCTCTACGTGTTCCCCATGCCCCTCCACGGACCACACCGCAGCGCACCAAAACAACAAGAAAAGCTCCATGGCGGGGCGGGCCAGAGCGGCGTTACGTGCCGCAAGCGAATGACTATCAGATAAAGCACGATTGTAACAGCACATATAAAAAGTTTTAACTATTTCGTGGCGGGGACCAGTTTAAAATTTTATTGTTACGCTTGTGTAACAACAACAACAACAACAAATATCATAGCAATGGCATGCGCTAAAACAAGAACAAGTCACGTCATGACTAAGTTCAGCAAGCAAAAACTAAATTCTGGTATATAAACCGAGGCCTCCACCAAATTGCAGATGGGCTAGGGGAAGAGAGTGAGAGAGAGAGAGGCATTGAGGAAGAGGCGTGCGGAATGCCTGAAATTCCACAAATCAAACTCATAGAAAATGAAACCACAAAAGAAACCCTCGAGAGTGAAGGTCAATAGCGGATCCATAAAAATGTGCGATAAGGGGAAGACAAAAACAAATTGAAGATGAAAACAAAACTCACCTTTCGAGAGGGAAAAGATAAGAATCAGAAGAGTATCAACGTTTTTAATACATACATATAAATTGATTGCAAGGAATTATTGTGTGAGGAGTAGAATATGGAATAGAAAAAGAACCAAGAAAATCAACACAAGGCACGGCCACAGAAGTGGGAAACAGGATACCGGTAACAGGCAGTGAACAATCAAAGAATCAAAAGAATAATAATAATCGAGACATACGAATAATTAAACAAAGAAAATACAAGAAAAAGCTATAAAAGAAACAGAACCACAATCATGGCAAAGTAAATGCCAATCGTGAATCAAAGCAAAGCAAATGATTCCAATGACTGTATCAATTGAATCGAAAAGAGAGTACGGGGGAGTCGTCTACCGTGTGTTCCGTCTACCCCCTACCCGCTTACCAGGCACCTAATGGCCATTTCACAATCGAGTAACCATGACCGTGCGCGGGCAATTACGAGTAATTCAGGGTAAGGGTTAACTATTATTCAGTTTTCAGGGGTGTGGGGTTCTTTGCGTGAAGGTCGAACCTGTGGCGGGTAGGGGGTGGACACGGACAGGGACAGTGCTTGCATCAGTTAACTGTAAAGTGCAGAAAACAACCCACCTGTTAAATGCTTATTCATTTATTAAAATCTCCACACGATTCAAAATTATTTCGATACAACATTCTTCATTTATTTTAATTCATCGTAATTGTTTCCTGTTAAGTCTCTTGTTTTCTAGTTCTCTCCCATACTGCCTACATGTACAAATTATCTTTCTATTTCTATCTCCCATCTACAAAGTCCCGTATTTACATACGTGTGTTTCTCCTCCGTTTTTCGACATTGATTTCGTTATTTCCAATCTTTCATACACGGTATCGGTTATCATAAGGCTTGATTGACATTGCCAGGATACTGACCTCTCTCTCTCTTTCACTTGCCGCTCTCTCTTTTATTTTGCTGCTCTTCCAGAATTTCCCCTGAATCCGGTTGAAACTTGTTTACTTTTGTTGTAATCTGCCGAGGATTTACATATGTTTTTGTTGTTGTTGTTAGTGGTATTTTTATTTTTCGTCAGGTTTTCGTTCTCCAATTTTTGGGTTGGGTACAAAACAGGACACGCTCGCTCTTCCTTTGTCGCTCTATGCGCGCGCGCTCTGGCAAATTGATTTTCACTTTTGGCAATTGTCAAAAAAACCGAAAAAAATCATAATAAAAGACAACAACAAGAAGGCAGGAATTTTCACTTGTGCCACTTTTTGTGGCAACAGAGCCCCGTCGTCGCTGTTTTTGTTGCAGGGAACAGGTTTCTGCTTTTGTTTTTGGCTTTTGCCTGTCTAAAAACAAGAAATTCCTACCACGTTTTGTGCCTCTCTTTCTCTCTATCACTGCGTACCTTTTCCTTTGCCGTTGACTTTGCTTCTCCTTCTCACTTCTTTTCACCGAGATGCTCGCACACACACGGACGCACCAAACGGTGGCGGCGACGACGACGCCGGCAGCGCTACTTTGGCCAAACAACAAAAATTCTTGCGCTGCCTTTGATTTTGGTTTTGCTATTGGCTTTGCTCTTTGCGGAGGCGAACCGGTTTCGTCGTTTCGTTTCTGTTTTTGCACTTCACTTGACGAATTTCGATTGATTTTGAGCCAACATTTTCGAATATTTTTCAAAACGGTTATGGAAAATGCTCTGCACTGGAATCTTATTTTAATACTGGATGCTTGATGCCATGCACCGTTATTTCCCGCATCTTCATCATACACTTGTATTCGCTGTTCCCGTCTCACACGCACACTCGGACGAAAAAGCGCACATCAACCGTTCAATTGAACCGCGTTCAAAACTTAGTATTGATATATATATATTTTATATTTTTTAATTTTTTTGTGTTTCAAATATATCAATTTAATATCAGTGATTTATCGGAATTTTCTGAATTCAGAAAAAAGTTCGACAAGGACGTTGTTGACGGTTCGCGGCGAAAATTTTTGTGATTTTTCCCATTTCATTTGCTGTTCATCACACCAATTTACTCTCATTTACTCATTTTTCCGTTACAGGTATGAGCTCTCGGTCGGTTGGAGCCCATGATGCATTTATACGAGGTGGTCCATTCCCTCTCTTTCGGATCGTATTCATCGCTCACACACATGCAACCACAACAAAGTTTGCTGTTGTATTTGCATTTGTACGAGCAAAATAGCTCCGAAAAGAGAGCGCGGACCACCTTGCATAATTGCATCATGGGATGGAGCGCCAACCAAATATCGATAGTTGGAACTAATTTGGCGGTAACATCCTCCTATTTTGAAAATAGCCTATGTATGGGCGGCTTTTTTTGAAAATTGTTATTTGAAATTAGCAACCACAAAGCATAATTTCTTCGAATATATAAACAATAAAAATCATGTTATTGAACATGATTGTTGTTGACTCATGGTGCTTGAAAACATGCTGTCCAATAGGAACGCATGGTATGTTGAATGGGAAAATAGGCAACTTAATTTCCCAAATGGGAAATTTTCTCTTCCAAATAAATTCCTTTGCAGTTTATTAGGGGAACATATCCTGTATAGACGATAAGGAACGTGTGCGTCGCTTCTAGGGACGCGACTCTACTTATACCCGTACTCACTCAGTATATTAATTTTTGAGCTTATGATTTTTTTTTTTTATTTTATAATAAAAAAAAAGTTTACATATTTATTTTTTTTGCTAGCATCATGCATGCATCAGTGGTATCTGAAAATGCAAATTTAATTCTGCCTGGCTATAATTTGCGATCTATTAATTTCTGAAAGTTTTAGTTTCATTTCTTCCACTTTATTGGCCTGTCCTGCTTATTTGCTTTATGTAAATCTTTCGGTCATTCGTTTGGCAGGAAATGAAAATGTTCACTGAATAAACGTGAGCAGCCACCAAAATGATGACCTCCCAAAAGGTCAGCTCCGAGTGGAGATGATGCGATGGGATGGGAAGTGCTAATAATGGTAGAAGGCAGTTGCAGTGCTAGTGGGAGTGGGAGTGGCAGGGGCTGCATTTTGTATAGAAAATTTGCAACGCTTTTCGCTGTTGCCGTTACATTTCGTGCCTCTAATAATTCAGCGAATTTCCATTTGGTTTACCATCGACCCAACCACACAGGCTTTGTGGTTCACGCAGTATTATTAGGCTGAAAGTAACCTGCAATTGCAATTATGCCACGCCATACCCCCCTCTTTCCATACGCCAGGAAAATCATCACCCATCATTTCCGGTTCAATTCATCAGCATCATCAATGGATTAGAACGGACATACCCCCTGTCCATCACTCTGTCTGACAGAGAGAGCGCTATTAAGAGCTGCCAGAGTGTCCCTCTGTTTCTTATCAATCTGTACCGCTTGCACTTATTGCTATCATTAGGAAATATATATATGTATATACATATACATATATCGGAAATAGCCCCAACAGATTACCGAAGGAATCAAATTTTCTGCAAATCCTCTATGACTTCGACTGCAGCTTTAATTTTGGTCAACTCTTGGCACATTTTCGGTGCACTTTTCGAAGCACAGTGCAGGCGGCATGAACAGCCAACAAAGAGGCTGCAACAACTGCAACAACTGCAACAAAACACTTGGATGTACAAAAACAACAACAGGGAAACATTTCAGACCTTTTAGCCCGATAAATGCAACTGACAATGGGTTTCCAAAGGAGAGAAGGTTGGACAGGAGAGAAGAGGAGTCAGAGGAAGGGCAGAGGCAGATTATATCAGTTGTTAAATCGTTCCCCCTAGTGGTGGGGGCCCCATGCGTGCTTAGAAAAACAGTTTGAGAGCCACTGCACCTGCTAGATGAATGTTTCGTACACTCCAACCGCTGCCTGTTTATGCGCGATTTATGAGCCGGGTCGGCCACTGCAACGGGCTGCTGGTGCAACATGTATGATGCATGACACGCCCCGCCCCCACCACTTGCACCGCTTTCATAACAGCCCACGCTGGGTGGCTGGCTGGCTTCGTATGGACCAGGCCGAAAAATAGCAGACGAACATATCGGTAGGTACATTCAATGAATAACAATCAGTACTTGCCTCCCCGTGCTTGGAATGGAGGGGGTGGATCGTGTGGGGGATAGCTTCGGGCTGACCTGAGGATCGCATTAGCGTATATCCCACACATAGGGGATATATGTAATATGCATCCAAACAAGAATAAAAAAACACTCTCAGCCTTCTTTTTATTCTTCTTAATATATTTTTGTGGCCCTTTTTGGGATTCTTGCGAACAGTTCGAGATGGATAGCGGATGGATCAATGTTTGCCGCTCAGCAAAGCAGAAAAATTGCCAGAAATGGTGGCAAGTGAAAGTCCAAAGACTTCCACCGACCCGACCAGACCCAGACCCACAGCGTGAGCCTGAGCCAGACGCAGACTCACAGACGTTCCGACGCTTCGTTCACATCTCACTAACCTCGTGATTTACATTTGCATTTTCATTTACATTTACCGCAAACCTGACTGACTGACGGCCGGGCAACGGAGGAGACAGGGCAGGATGGGGCATGGGGTGTGTGGTGTGGGATATGGGGCGTGGCATGCGTCGAATGCAGCATGGTAGAGCAGGCGGACCGGAGGGGGAGACCAGAAATCTGCATGGACGTTGAGGAAAGTGAAAATTTGGCTCAGATATTCCGGGCCAAATGAGCGAAAGTGATCGCAAGGAGAAGCAGAGTGTGTAAAAAGTTTTGAGAGAGCCAGGAAATGCTTTGAGAAGCATTTAGCGATTGGCAATGCTTTTCCAACTGCATTGAATTTCAAATTTTCGTGCAGTTTTTTTTTCAACTTTTATTTTGTTTTCATCACACGACTACAGTACCCGCTTCGTCCCGTCCCCGTACTTATGCAACTAGATTATGAATGAGATTACTATTCGAGAAAAATTCGCGTGAGGCACTGCCAGATGTGAATATGAATGGCTGTAAAAGTAACTGTATCTGTAAAGATGAGCCAAAAAAAGTATTCCCAAAATATTCCCCAAAAGTAATCAGTTAATGAGGAATTTATGCAAAATATTTAGACACACAGCAGAACGCTGAAATGGGAATTATGCAATGGATTTATGTCCTTCAGTTTCCACCCTCACTCCATTGCCGTTTCAGCACTTACACGAATTACGCGACCTGAGAAAATTGTAATTCATAATATTCCAGGCACCAGACGCAGACCAGCCGACCAGGGTAACAAATCCTTGGGGATTGCTAGGCCATTGTTGCTGTTGCTGCTGCTATTTTTAGGCCTCAAGGTTGGCGTGGTGTGGGGGAGGAGGATAAGCAGGATGACAGGAGATGGCAAGCAGCCGCCTTCCTGTGGTTTTTTGTGTCAAACTTTTGGGCATCGCAGCTCCCAGCTCTCCAGTGGGGCTGAAAAGAGACAAAAACAGGAAAGAGACTGGATAAGAGAGAGACAATTTAAGCAATAAAGCATGCACAAAATATTTCTTACTCATTTAAACAGTTCCTGGAAAACAGTGGCCCCTGCTTGCTGATGTACAAAGCAGGGTGCTTGCTGAACTGCTTGGCTTAATAGAAGGTTACAGTTTTACGCTTCTGGTAAAACCTTTTTTATTTTAATTAATTCTAGTTTTCCTTAGACCGCAAACTAACAGGCAGGAGAACATATTACAGCATTCAAAATTGATAAAAGAAATTAATAAAAATCAATGCAATGATTAAGCTGCGTGTTAACTGTTAAAACTGCTTGGAGATTCTCAATCGCTGTTGTCGACAACGGCAGGAATGTTCCACTACGTCACATCACATGAACTATTTAAAGAGAAACACAAAATAACATAGATCATTGGCATTTCGATATCACGTGACTGCGAGGTAGTGGCCAATTCCCGAAACGTTGTGCTTTAAAGTCTATTACCTGTAAAGGAGAACAGAAAAAGTAAAACTTATTACGCGAGTAAATATTTTATGTTATGTTTCCTTGCAGACTGTCTAAGAGAGCAGAAAGCCTTTGCTGCGGTCTTGTCTGATGGCACCACCCCGAACCCACAGTTTGCACCTTGCACAATCACCTTTCTGCAGAATCAGATGGTTGATTGGCTCTAACACTTCTCCTTTCTCCCCCTCCTGCCCTGATGCCGTGCTGCTTCTTATTCTGCTGGTTTCACTTCTTGTCATTGTGCTGCCTTTTCTCCTTCTGCGCTACTAGCTCTTCCCCCTCCCTCTCAGCCTACACCTGAAAAGAAATATTGAAAGTGTCAGACAAGTAATATTTATGCCACAAGGTGAGGGGCTCCCAAAGATAGCATAGCAAATAGGATGTTGGTCACGGGAGAGGTGGAGCGGCATACATTAAATGTTCCTAGAAGCAATGCAATGTCTAACCTTACATTAACACACCTTGATTAAAAGTGTCCGACAACAGGAAAAGAGATAAGAGGAGCGCGCAGCAGAGAGAGCGCGAGGGAAACGAAGGAAACGGTCCGCGAGATTTTGCAATGTAAGTACCATTTTTCGTGCCCCGCCACCCCACTCTCCGCGGATTCCTTTTATCGTGCATTTTCCCATCATTTGCATGTTATTAGGCGCCATTTGAAAAGGGAAGAGAGAAAGGGGGTTGCAGTTCCAGTGTTTGTAAAGCAAACTATCAGCATTTGCTTTCCTACCCTCCACCCCTCTCACCGTGGAGTATGAATGCAAAATCAAAAGTGCTCCTCGCCACTACCTCCCCCGATGGCTCTTTCTCGTCCTCTTTTTGGACAGCTTTTCGCGCGAGTGGCCGCTTATTAGTATTTGTGAAAAGGATGGAGGATTTTCGTGAAGGATTTGCGGTATTTTACTCAATATTGCATTTGACAGGGGGTGGTGGGGAGGGGAGAACCATTGAATAAAAGGGAAGTGGAAAAGTGACACATTTTGAGGGGAATGGTATTTGGACGCAAGCAGTGTCCTGTTCCCTTGCAGAATAAAGCACTCGAATAAGAAATTTAATGTTAGAGAAATTTACAAGTGTATACGAAACGTGGTTCCATTAACCCAAAACGATCATATCATTCTTTTTTGAACGTACATCAACGTACATCATAGTAGATGGCTGCTACAACGGAGTACAGTTTGAGGTATACTGTTCTTCGCTAAGCAGTTTCAGACGAAGCAGTAGAAAAGACAAACATATCTAAAGCAGTATAGTGACAGTTTGTGAGAACTGCAAAATGAAAGTTAAACAGAACTGTTCTCCCACATCAAGATTTATTGGAGAATCAATGTCATTTCTGAGTTTGCCTGAGCTTAACTTAAAATTGAAGATCACCACTATCAGGTAATCGTACAGTTGGGCAGTGGGAGATTAAAGTTTCAATTGCACTGAGGTCAGGAGTTGGTGAGACGTCCACAGGCCCCTGTGCTATGGAACAAATTATGGCGAATGTGCAACAAACTTGTCAGAAAATTAGGTTAAACAGAAAAAATAATAATCACCGAAACGCACATGGGGACAGCATGTGGCAACGAATGTGGCTGCTGCCTGCCCGCTGGCCCAGTGGGTTTCTGGTCCGAACAAATTGCCGCGAATTAAGACCGTCGCACAAAAACTATAAACAAAAATCCCCGGCAGGTGGTAGTAGGACCAGGCCAGAGCCGCCACCAGCAGCAGTTAGAGACATTTTTAAATCAGATTCGATTTGCGTCTTGGCATTTGGCGATTTACGGATCGGACTCTGGGAATAGGCTGGGCTCTCCACATAATTTTCCAATTGCGTAAGCAGCTGAGCTGGGAAAATGTCCAAGAAAATACATGGACTGCATGTCTGAGCTTTGGGTGAAATTCCCATCGAATAATTTGGTTTTAATTTTGGGTTTTTTTATTGAATTTAAATTTAAATTTTTAAATTTTTTTTTTTTAATTTAAATTTAAACTTTATTTTTCTTTTGGTCCAAACTTTTATAGATTTTTCTTCAAATAATTTGAATATTTCAATCATCTCACTTCCATCCTCTCTGTTTGTTGTACATTTAAAAAATATTGGAATCCTACGGTTAACACTGATTTATGCTTTTGGATTACATTCACGAATGATCCGTTGCTGATCAACTACTGCGCGGTACTGAAGTGGCGACAAGTCGCCATTACCCTTGACGCCACCATAAAAAGATATATTCAAATAAATACATACATACATACATATGTACACTCCTGTACATAAAATGTAATTAAATATATGCCAAATACGAGTACCAATGCAAATGAAAAAAAAATATATAAAAATTACTCCCCAGTTCCAGTGCTTTGCTTCTTTTCGCCTCGCCTCGACTCGACTCGATCGAAATTTTGCCGACTGGCCAAAAAATCAGATTAACCCTTTAGAGTCCACCAATCCAAAGGAGATAATTTAGACATTTCAGTGGAATCTTAATGATGAAATTAAACAATTGACTGGACTGGTTCTGGACTGGTGTTAAATAAATAAAATGTAAATATTAAATATGTAGATTAAGCATAAAAGTAAATAGAAAGTGCCTAGTGTGCCGCAACCTCAAATTATTTGTACCTAAATTAAAAAATGTTTTAATAATAATTTAACTAAAGTTTACTATTGGACCCCTAACTGAAAGAGTGGGTTAAGTTTGTCTACGGAGCCGCACATTAAAATACCAAGAAAATTCAGATGTACATATATAATCCCTGGGACTTCAATGAAATTCTAGCTTCAACCACAAAAAAAAGCCAACGAAATGCAATTCTAAGCAAAAAACAAAAAAGCTACAGTTGGACAGTCGCTGGCTGTAGTCGTGTGAACACACGTGCTTACATAACGTCAGTCTGCCTTGTGTTTCTGTCTTGTCTTCCTTTGGCATTGGTTTTTATTTTATTTTATCCGAACGCACTTCACTTTGAGGACGGGAAAAACGTTTGTCAAATTCCATGGAATTTTTGGTGATTGGGTAATAATTTTCTCACGCCGGAATCGCTTCCTGTTCTCTCTCTCTCATTTTGTAATTAAAGGACAGGTACTTATGTCGGGCCATGAATAAAGAAACCAAAAACCATGCTTAGGAATTCGCAGAGCTCTGCGAAATGTAAAAAATAATGACACTTGACGCTGTTAAAATATTCTCAGAATTTTTTTGATAAGCGGCATTTTTTTTATTCTGTTAATGAATGCTCAAAAGTTATATATTCTATCTATAATTTGATTTTCTGATCGGTGGAAAAAATCGTTTCAGTTTTTCAATACTTGTGCATTCTTTTTTGCTTGTGCGTCTGAGCATCATCCATGAAGTATCCGTTGATTCCTTATAAATAACACTCATCACATTATTTGAATCGTAGTGTTTTTTTTATTACATTTAAATAACATTTTATTGTGTAACACTCTACATGGGGCTTGCAAAGATCAATTAAAACTTAAAACTCATTAAAACTGATTGGGGATCCGTACTTAAATATTTACAAAATTGTAGGATCCTTCAGTGCACAAAGTACGCGTATATCGGGCCATTCCAGTTCTACTTCTGACTCTGCTTTGGCAATGGTTGTAGCTTGACAACCTTCGAGTCTGAGGAGGCCTGGCCAGGACTCAGCTTGGCCACAGAGCCAATGTTGACGACACGGCGAACGGCAGCGCCGCCCGGAGTGGTAGATGCTGGGGACGATCCGGCGGACGCCCGATTCGCCAGCATCAGCACGGGAACCTGCTTGATGCCTGTGCCAGACTTGATGCTCACATTCCCAATGGGCATCTTGCCGTCTGCTCCCACTGTTGTGGACTTGGTCTGCGTTCCAGGGCTGCCACTGTTGATCACCTGAAACTGTGGATAAGTCTTGTTGCCCACGCTAATGTTGCCCGTGTGGCGGAGTGTGCCCGTGGGCAGGGGCGACGCTGTTGTCGACGACGACTTGATCGTCTGCACATTCATGGACTTTAGGGATCCTGTGGCTGTATCCAACATAAGCGAACTACCAGTGCTGCTACTGGCTGTGGCACCCTTCGGACTGCTGCTGACAATACGTATGGGCAGGCGATGGCCTGTGGTTACCATTTTGCCCATCGGCTTCATTTGATTCCGATTGAGATAGACCACCTTGTTGTGGCCACCAATTGTGGTGGTCGTTCCGCCTTGTTGGGTGGTGAACAGCTGCTGGATTCCCTTGTTGAGGACAATGTTGTTGCCCACCTTGCTGACAAGCGGAGAGCTGTTTGGCTTGGGGGCCTCCTTGATGATCTTCTGACTGATGATGATTGGACTTTTGCCGCTGGGATGGCGACCGGGTGTGGCTGGCACTGTGGATTATAAACGTTAGGTGAGAAAACGATCTCGAGAGCGTACATCCCGAACCCTCGCTCACCTATCTTTGGATCCTTCTCCCCTTCGGGTATGTTCCCCTCATTGTCGGCAAACACAATTGGCATATCGATGATGCTCGACAGATCCAGACTGGTTGCCTGATTCTTGTTCAACTGCAGCATGGTCATGCCACTGGCATTCTTGAACACCGTATACTTTTGTTGTGGCGGCGTCGTTCCTCCTGCCGAGGTTGCTGCTCCTACTGGCGATGCGGTGGCCACGAACTTGGTTGTCTGCCCCGTCGGCGTCTTGAGGGTGAAGTACTGTTGCCCACCCGCGGTAGTGCTGGGCAGAGTCTTCACAATGCTGCCAATGGTGGCCGCTGTGGTGGGCTTGTTCATCGTATAATTGATCAGTTTGTTTTGCGGCGTAAGGGATTTGAGCTGCATAAACTGACTGGAGGGTATCATCTTGATTTTGGTGCCAGCTGCCAGGTTAACCGTCGTCGGGTGCGACTTGATGCCTACACCTGACCCGGCAGTGGCCACCTTGGGTATGACTAGTCCAGCAGATATTCCTGCTCCTGCTCCAACGGATCCTCCAGTTGCTGTTGATGCATCATCGCTGTCCAGACTGTCATCTAGTATGAATTCAATGGATTGATTTAGTGTATCTGCGTCGGTTACACCTTTGTTGGGAATGCCAGAACCAGAGCCAGAGCCAGCTGGAGTGGCTGCATTCGGCAGTGGCAGTGGGCGTGTGCGAGGTCTTCCAACTGGGGGGGGTAAAACTGTTAGTCGATGAAATGGGGTTGTGGCACAAATAAAAACTGATTGGTGTTTGCACTTGGAAACGTGGAATGGGTTTACCCTTTCGCTTTGGAGCAAATGGATCAACGAGGCGCGATGCCTTCGGCCTGCGGCCTTTTTTGATAGAGATATTAAAGGATATTGATTGCAGGTTATTGGGGAATTGATGATTTGATTTGGATTGGATTGGATTTGAGTTGAGTTGTACATGCGGATAGGTATTAGTAGTGGGATAATGATCGGAATGCTCGCGACGATACTCACTGTGTGGCACAAACTTGCTCTTGGTAGTCGGCATTCCGCTCTCGTTCAATCCAACGTCCACTTTACGCTTGCGATTCTGCTGGGCTCCTGCTCCTCCCTTGTCGTAGGCCAGGCCGTGTTGCTGCTGCAGCAGCTTGTTCTGGCCGCGCTGTGTACCTTGGCTGGGCAGGATTGTGGGTACACGCGGTCCCGGAGGATCCATCAGAGTTCTGTTCACATACTCATAGATTTCGTCCTGCAAAACGGAATAGCCACAAATGAGAGAACATTTCCGCAGGCTTCCGCAGGATTACCGACTTACCACCACCATGGCATCCACCATCGATTGGGTGACGCCCTCGATGCGTCGCTTGCTCTTGGGCACACGCAGGGCATCGTCCGCACTGCCGACGACCACCAGCGAGGATTCCGATTGCATACGCTCGCGCAGCGACTCCATTTCCTCCTGGCTGCTGCGTGCCGAATTCTGGCCAATTACAAACAGAATGGGCGTCTTAATGTCCAGAATGCGGTCATCGGGTGCGCCCCGAGGACCGCGCAATGTGTTGTAGGCAAAGCCCATGCAAATGACGCAGGCCAGGCTTTCCGAGAGGGCCACCTGAAGGGCCAGGGATGCGCCCGCATTGAAGCCGACCAGAATGATGCCACGTGTTGGATTCTCGGCGCGCAGTTCGTTGATGCGGACACGCGTCAGGCACACAATGGCTTCGGCCACCTGATCCAGATTTTGATTGGCAATCCTATCGTCTGCGGAGTCAGGCAAATGGTAAGGATATTCTGGTCACATGAGGGGTGGCACTTACTCGTATTGGGCAAAGTGATCTGGACGACCTGACAGATAGTAGCCAGGGAGCGATACCATTTGTTCATGCGCTCTGGCACATTGCTGCTGGCGGGCATATTTGGCAGCACCACCATGATGGCATTGTGCGGCAGCTGACGATTCTTGGGCAGAATATTTGGCTCCCAACGCTTCTTCATGACGGGCGCAAGCAGCTCCTGGTTATTGCTGAGCGGCCGACTGAACAGCAGCTTGTCCATCAGGGTCGGCAGCTTGGTTTTAAGCGTTTGCATCATGTCCAGATAGGAGGCCATGTACGAGGGCGGCAGGGACTGCATCAGCAGTGTGTGCAGCCACTGAGTGATGCGCTGATCCCAGGCAACGCTGCCCAAGGCCCGACGCATCCGGGATGCCGACTTGTCCACGCTCACACGACGATGCACGGCCTCGTGCTGGCGCTTATCGTTGGCCAGACGCGCCAACTGATCCTGATCGAGGATGCTGCTCACCCGCTCGAACAATGTCTTTTGGATGGGGCTCCAGGCAGATCTGCGGCAAGCAGAGAGGGTTGGCAGGGGATCATCGTGGATGGTGCAGCTTTATACTCACTGATTTATGCGTGCCACCCAGTCCTGATCATCGGAATTAATGTTCTTCACATATTTGGATATGCGGGCACACTCGTTCATCATCTCCTTGGCGCATATCTCATCGTAGGGCGGCGCATGGGTCTGCTCTGGCTCCTGGTCCTGCTGCGGATATGTGTGGCAGCTGGTGCACTGCGGCGGATGGTTGACCAGGATGTGGCGTGTGGGTGCCAGGCCGTTGGACATCTCGGCGCGTGGCGCTTCGCGTATATAACTGTGTTCCATTTTCTCGCTAAACGAGGATTCACTGTGGGCCGAAATGGTGCTCGACTGCACAGAGAGAGAAAGAGAAAGAGAGTGGAATGGCGATTAGTTATTGCAGGGCAAGCAGTGCCCTGGCGCTGTCTCTGGTTGGGATTTGGATACATGCAGTGCAGGACGTAAACCATTCAAAATGAAGTTCTTTTAGTGGGATTTGGAATGAAAGATGGATGGTTTCTCTTTGCCTCCGGATGAACATGAGATGGAACATTCAGGTAAGTAGGATTGCAATGGTGGTGGACATGTGTGGGAGCCATCCCGGTCTATACTCAATCATCATTACACTCTCTGTTGGCGTTGAGGGGGCCGTTGTTACCGTCACCGATCCGGGGCTGATGTAAATCGGTTGTGTGGGCGATCTTATTGCACTGATCGATCCTGTGGGGGCCTTGGGTGGCGAGCTAATTTTGATTGCTCCTGACATCGAGGCGGCACTGCCCCAAGGACCCCGCTTTGACCACATAATACGCGGGTGAACCGACCACTGACGATTTATTTGTTTTCGCTGTGCCCGTTGGCGCTGCTGCTGTCGTTACGTGTGTGTGTGTTTGTGTATGTGTGTGGGGATGTTGTGTGCCTGTGTTGACCGAGGAATCAACTCTGGTTGAGAATTTGCTGGGACTGTATGTAATAATCGATGATGTAGCCGGCGTGAACTGCATCTTCGGTTTATTGCTGCCGATTTTGTTTATTGTTTGTTTCATCATTTTGTTGTCTGTCCCTGTCCCTGTCTTTGTGTCTCGGATTGTATTTACTCGCTGCGCTGCGCCAAAGTCAAGCTGCTGCTTCTTCTTCGACTTGGCTGTACCACTCGCGGCGATTGGAAATGATTCAACTACCGCCTACAACTGTTAGCCCACATGCGACCATAGACCAACCCCACACAAAATTCCACTTTGAAGTTTATGTTTATGGGCTTTTTATCCCGTTTTTTCAACAACTTCGACGCGATTTTCGCAATTCTTTAGGTAAAATATGGCGTGCCCACGGCAAGAGTTGCCAGACCTTCGGGCCGTGAAGCAACTATTGTATTGCCATGGTCTGGCATCACTAGGCCGCTGCAAGATGCACAAATAAATGTGCAATTTCCCAAATAATGGCGAATATTTCATGCAATTTCATGCCAGCACAGGCTTCTAATGGAATGGGATAATTATGGGATGATATACTTACACCATTGCTGGGCGTAGGAGATGGGGGGGCTGTCATTTCCATTATTGGCTGTCGCGGCGGCTGCTGTTCCTCTACCTTATTGTCGTCAGTAGACACATTCTCCTCCACATTAGCGCCCTTTTGCACGAAATTGTTGAAGCAGTCGAAGAACGAAGCCATTACGTTTGGCACAACCGAACACAGCAATAACTGATTAATGAATTTTTTATAACAATACGCAGAAACATCAAAAAAGCGAGCGTCAAGTCAAATAATCGTACTGTACGCACAAGCCTACGTAGTTAGCCAACACTGCAGCATAGGAAAACAGCTGTTCGGTCGGCGTGTATATTGCATTTTGTTTGTAATTGCAGTTTGCAGTGAAAAATTTAACGAAAACGAAATACAAGTTAATGCTCTGCCGAGATGGAGGAACTGCAGCAACTGGAGTATCTGTCGCTGGTCTCGAAAATCTGCACAGAGCTCGATAATCACTTGGGCATCAATGACAAGGACCTGGCCGAGTTCATCATCGATTTGGAGAACAAGCATCGATCGTACGATGCCTTTCGCCAGGCTCTGCTGGAGAACGGCGCCGAATTCCCAGACTCGCTCGTCCAGAACCTGCAGCGCATCATCAACCTAATGCGCCCGAGTCGGCCGAGAGGCGGCAGCGAGGAGAAGTTGGACTCTGGCAGCAGCAGCAGCAAGGATAACAAGAAATCGCAGCTGATGAAAATGTTTCCTGGCCTAGCCCTGCCCAACGACAAGTACAGCAAAAGCGAGGGCCAGGACGAGGAGGCGAAGGAGAAGCATGCGGTGGGCAAAAAGCCAGACATGAGTGACGTGGACGCGGCCATGATGGAGCTGGAGGCGTTGGCGCCGGGCGAGGGCAAGACCGAGGATAAGAAGGAGCTTAAGGAAACCAGAGAACGACCCCATAAGCGAAGGGATCGCAGCCGAAGTCGCGACAAGGACAGAGATACTCGCAAGCGTAGTCGGTCTCGCGAGGATAGGAACAGGGAGCGCCGCAGGAGCAAATCACGCGAGGACCGGCATAGGGAGCGCCGCAGGAGTAGATCTCGCGACAAAGAACGCCGCCGACGCAGCCGATCTCGCGAGCATCGCGATCGGGAACGCCGCCGAAGCAGATCCCGCGAAGACCGAGATCGTGGTCGACGCAGATCCAGCTCCCGGGACCGCCACGAACGTCGACAACGGAGTCGATCGCGCTCTGGCGATCGTGGTGATCGTGGTGATCGCCGGCAGGACAAAATGCCGCCACCCAACACAGTAATGGCCGACAATCCGGAGGCTGGCAAGATCTACTCCGGCAAGGTGGCCAACATTGTGCCCTTCGGGTGCTTTGTCCAGCTCTTTGGGCTGCGCAAGCGCTGGGAGGGACTGGTGCACATCTCACAGCTGCGTGCCGAGGGCCGAGTCACCGACGTGACCGAAGTGATCGTTCGCAATCAGACGGTGAGGGTCAAGGTGATGTCACTGACGGGCCAGAAGGTGTCGCTGTCCATGAAGGAGGTCGATCAGGAGTCGGGACGCGATCTGAATCCCCTCTCGCACACCCCCGAGGATGATGGGTCGCTGAGGGATCGCAATCCGGATGGTCCCTTCAGCAACAGCACCTCGATGCTGAATCTGCAGGGCAACAGCGTCGACGGGGATGAGAACGAGTCAAGGAAGCGCGTCACCAGGATCTCCAGCCCCGAGCGGTGGGAGATCAAGCAGATGATAAGCTCCGGGGTCCTGGACAGGAGTGAAATGCCAGACTTTGACGAGGAGACAGGTCTGCTGCCCAAGGACGAGGACGACGAGGCGGACATCGAGATTGAAATCGTCGAAGAGGAGCCGCCATTCCTCTCGGGTCATGGCAGGGCACTGCACGACCTCTCGCCCGTGCGAATTGTGAAGAATCCCGACGGTTCGCTGGCCCAGGCGGCCATGATGCAGTCGGCCCTGTCCAAGGAGCGGCGCGAGCTGAAAATGCTGCAGCGCGAACAGGAGATGGAGGCCCTGCCCACGAACCTCAACAAGAACTGGATCGATCCGCTGCCCGAGGAGGACAGCTCTCGCAATCTGGCGGCCAATATGCGCGGCATGGGCGCCGCCCCCGCCGAGGTGCCCGAGTGGAAGAAGCACGTGATTGGCGGCAAGAAGTCATCCTTCGGCAAGAAGACGGACCTCACCCTGGTCGAACAGCGCCAGTCGCTGCCCATCTACAAGCTGCGCGATGATCTGATCAAGGCCGTCACCGACAACCAAATCCTGATCGTGATCGGCGAGACGGGCTCGGGCAAGACCACACAGATAACCCAGTATCTGGGCGAGTGCGGATTCACGGCACGCGGCAAGATCGGCTGCACGCAGCCGCGTCGTGTGGCCGCCATGTCGGTGGCCAAGCGTGTGGCCGAGGAGTACGGCTGCCGGCTGGGCCAGGAGGTGGGCTACACCATCCGTTTCGAGGACTGCACCAGCCCGGAGACGATCATCAAGTACATGACGGACGGCATGTTGCTGCGCGAGTGCCTCATGGAGGCGGAGCTCAAGACCTACTCGGTGATCATGCTGGACGAGGCCCACGAGCGCACCATCCACACGGACGTGCTCTTTGGCCTGCTGAAGACGGCCGTGCAGAAGCGGCCCGAACTGAAGCTGATCGTGACCTCCGCCACGTTGGATGCTGTGAAGTTCTCGCAGTATTTCTTCAAGGCTCCCATCTTTACGATACCCGGACGAACGTTCCCCGTCGAGGTGCTGTACACAAAGGAGCCGGAGACGGACTACCTGGACGCCTCGCTGATCACCGTGATGCAGATCCATCTGCGTGAACCGCCCGGCGACATTCTGCTCTTCCTTACCGGCCAGGAGGAGATTGATACGGCCTGCGAGATCCTCTACGAGCGCATGAAGAGCCTCGGACCCGATGTGCCCGAACTGATAATACTCCCCGTCTACTCGGCGCTTCCCTCCGAGATGCAGACGCGCATCTTCGATCCGGCACCCGCCGGCAGCCGCAAGGTGGTGATAGCCACCAACATTGCGGAGACTTCGCTGACTATCGATGGGATCTTCTATGTGGTGGATCCCGGGTTTGTCAAGCAGAAGGTGTACAACTCCAAGACGGGCATGGACTCCCTGGTGGTCACGCCCATTTCCCAGGCAGCAGCCAAGCAGAGGGCAGGCCGTGCCGGACGCACGGGTCCGGGCAAGACCTATCGCCTGTACACGGAGCGCGCCTACCGCGATGAGATGTTGCCCACGCCCGTGCCAGAGATCCAGCGCACGAATCTGGCCACCACAGTGCTCCAGCTGAAGACGATGGGCATCAACGATCTGCTGCACTTTGACTTCATGGATGCCCCGCCCGTGGAGTCGCTCGTCATGGCCCTGGAGCAGTTGCATTCGCTGTCCGCGCTGGATGACGAGGGCTTGCTGACGAGGCTGGGTCGGCGCATGGCCGAGTTCCCCCTGGAGCCGAATCTCTCGAAGATGCTCATCATGTCGGTGGCACTGCAGTGCTCCGATGAGATTCTCACCATTGTCTCGATGCTCAGTGTGCAGAATGTGTTCTATAGGCCCAAGGACAAGCAAGCGCTGGCGGATCAAAAGAAGGCCAAGTTCAACCAGGCCGAAGGTGAGTCCACAGCCCAACCCATTGGGAATCCCATTGAAATGCCATAACAACATAACCCATCCTAATCTCTATCCACAGGCGATCATCTAACCCTGCTGGCCGTCTACAACAGCTGGAAGAACAACAAGTTCTCGAATGCCTGGTGCTACGAGAACTTTGTCCAGATCCGGACACTCAAACGGTCGCAGGATGTGCGGAAGCAGCTGCTGGGCATCATGGACAGGCACAAGCTGGACGTGGTATCGGCCGGCAAGAGCTCGGTGCGCATCCAGAAGGCAGTCTGTTCGGGCTTCTTCCGCAATGCGGCCAAAAAGGATCCACAGGAGGGATACCGCACCCTGGTTGACTCCCAGGTGGTTTACATTCATCCATCGAGCGCGCTGTTCAATCGCCAGCCAGAGTGGGTGATCTATCACGAGCTGGTGCAGACCACCAAGGAGTATATGCGCGAGGTGACCACCATCGATCCCAAGTGGCTGGTGGAATTTGCGCCGTCCTTCTTCCGCTTCTCGGACCCCACCAAGCTCAGCAAATTCAAGAAAAACCAGCGCCTCGAGCCACTCTACAACAAGTACGAGGAGCCCAATGCCTGGCGCATATCTCGCGTGCGGCGGCGTCGCAATTAATTCAACTGGTGTTCCATTTATGCAACTCCATTCTAGAATTATATGTATTTTAAACACTTAGAAATATATCAAATTAAGTTTGATGATCAATAGCCTTTGCGTCCGCGAAAGCGTTGTCGGTTGTCCAGCTAAAATGGTGGTACGGTAAAAAATTCAATTAGATTCCAAGTTCTGACATGAAGGACCTACCAGGGAGCGCTTGCATTCGTAGAAGGTGTTGCGGAGCACCTGGCACTCGGGCGGGACGTTGTTATCCATGAGACACTGGCGCGGCGTCTTGCGATCCACTCGACAGCAGTCGCTGTCCAGCAAGCACATTTTCAGGTCGGCACGCACCCCGGCACAGGCTGTTTCGTCCGCCAGCTTCTCATTGCCCTCGTAGCGCATCATTTTGGGGGCTGACTAGGCGTACTTTTATTTAAATTCTTTCAATTACAAAACCAAATCCAGCTGAGATAACTGTGTGTTGACCAAGTGTTGACAAGCGCCAGTCTGTCTGTCGGTGCTAGCGACAATCATCAGCTGACTGGCACGGCACCCTATTTGCGCTTAACAGCACTGTTGTTGGAACATTTTTGTTGTTTTCCGACCGCACAAAAACATTAAATACTTGAAATTGTTTAAATGTAGCTGCAAGTCCTACGAAGGACAATTGGCTGACTGAAAATGGCTTATGAAGAGCGTAGCAGTGACGGCAGCAGCTCCAGCGAAGCCCAGGACGTCTATTCGAACATGCTGGGTGGAAAAACGCCGCCGTCTCAAACGCCGGGCAGCACCATGCCCAAACATGTACCCTTCCCAGAGCACTCTACCACATCGGAGTGGCTTAGCGAGCTGATAATGTGCGCCTTCACTATGGGCGCAGCCATTGTGCAGTTCATAAACATTTATCGCACAAACTGGTGGCTCACTCAGGCCCACACAAGGCACATGGTGGTGGGTTTTGCTGTGCCAATGCAAAGTTCTTAAGGATGAAGATGGATGCTTATAGATTTGGTTTTTCTTCCAGAACATAGAGCTAATTGATCCGTATTTGCGATATCTGATACTCATACTGAATACCCGAAGACTGGTCTACTGTGTGCTGCTGGCCAAAGTGAAGGCAAACGAGAAGACGCAGCATGTAATACGCACGGCGATAAAGTACACATTTGGTGGCCTGGTGCAGCTGGGCTTGGGCCTGTGTGCACTGAAACTGTATCAGAAGCACAGCTACATATTGCTGCTCTTCCTGACCTATCCGTAAGCAAGCGTAAGATCAATATTTAGTACTGTCCGTGATGTCTACTTCTCCACAGAGTGATCATCTATCTGCTCATCTTTGGCTTCCAACTGGAGCCATTTCTACGCACACGCTTCGAGCTGCCCGGTGTCTACATCAACGACATGCCCGTTCACAGCTGCACCACCAATGCGGTGCGCATTCGCGAAGAGATCGAGACGCTGCGGCACGACTTCAACAAGCGATTCAAACAGCTCATATTCACCTCCATGCTGAATGCTTACTACAGCGGCTTGGTGCCGTGCTGCCTGGCCATGAGCGTCAACTACAATGTGATGCGGGCCGCACAGCACTGCATCATTGTGTGCCTGGGGGCGTTCAGTCTGTGCGCTGCATACCTGTATCCGGCAAAGTACAGCGACATTTTGCACCGGGCCACCTTACACTTGGGCTGCTGGCAGCGAATCGACCGAGATCCGGCGCCCTCGCAGCTAATTGTGGCTGCCAGTGCGTTCACCTGGTCAAAGTTTACGGCCTACGGCCATGGCATTGTGGTGAAGCACAATGGCGGACTCTACCGCAGCCTGGGCCTGGTGACGGTGGCCACGCCGGGAAATGCCAGCCATGTGCGCTTCTATGTAAGTGAGGAAGGGGCGGCCATGGAATATTAGCCACCAAGTAACTAATTTCCTACTGTCCACAGAAACTGTTCCACAATCCCACTGTCATCTACTCGACACTTGCCACACTGCAGGCAGCCATATTGCTCGTGGAGATCGCCTCTCTCAGCGCCGCCACCATCGAGTGGCATTTTGTGCTCTCCATCAGCTTTGTGGCATTCACCAGCATGGGTGCATTCTTCAAGCTAGTCCGAGACTATCTCATAACCAAGGATCTGTACAAGTCTGAGCACGGCAGCACCCCGCCCGAACGGCCATTCAAACTGAGTCTTAGATCTGAATTTATGTAATAATGACTAACCATGACGTAGACACAACAAAACTTTCATTTTGGCACAGCCATTTCACTGTTTGCTGCTACTTTCACTGGCGACGGCGGCGGGAGTAGCGTAGACCCAAGAGCTGCCCTGCTTATGGTCACGTATCTGGATGCCATGCTGTTCCAGCAGAGTGCGCAACTGATCGCAGGCGACCAGCAACTGAATGTTCTTCTGATGCCCGGATATTGCCTCTTGACGCAGTTTGGCGCGTATGGCCAGGACGTCCGCTATCAAAAGAGCGGGGTCCAGAGCACCCCCCACAGCCGGGAGGGGTGTGTTCAGTGCAAGGCTCTCCGTCTCTGCCAGTTTGGTAAGGCCAAAGGTAAGCATGGCTCGGTTTATAAAGTTGCCGGCCGCCGTCAGGAGGTCCAGGCAATAGGCCGGCTCCTCCACTGCATCCGCTTGCTGCTCATTTATGCAGCGACTTATGCTAGTCATCTGATCGATCAGCACGCTGATGCCACGCGCCGTATCGAAGTCATCGCGCAGGCTGCTGTCGAACTCGGTCGCCATGTGGGCAATTTGTGCCCTGAGTGCGCCCTCATCCAGCTTCCGAACCGGCTTGAGGAACTGCGTGTACGCGCTGAGGTCCGCCTGGAAGTTCTTGAACCGCTGCAGCGTCTGACGGGCGGTCAGCATCAACTGCTCGCTATAGGGCATGGCGTTGCGGTAGTTGGACAACAGACAGGCCATCCGAAACTCATCCGCGGTGTAGGTCTGCAGCATCTCGGCAATGGATATGGTATTGCCCAGGGACTTGGACATTTTTTGCTCATCTCCCGCTATGTACAGCTGGCCCGTGTGCATCCAGTAGTTGACCCACTGGTCGGTCTGGTAGCGGACACAGCATTGCGCCTCCTCATTCTCGTGGTGGGGGAACCTCAGGTCTAGGCCGCCAGCATGGAAATCCAGTTGACTGCCGAAAAATAAACCGGCAATGGCACTGCACTCAATGTGCCAGCCGGGGCGACCCTCCCCGCCCCAAGGAGCCGCCCAACTGGGCTCGTCCGCCTCCTTCTTGGCCTTCCACAGGGCAAAGTCCGCACTGTTCTGCTTAAGGAGATCCGACTTCTCCTCGCTGCTCATGCCCAGCCGCTGCAGCTTGCCGTAGTGCGGGTACATGGACACGTCAAAGTACACCGAATTGTCCTCCGTCACGTATGCCTGCGATTCATTGATTAGCTCCTCGATGAACTGCAGAATCGCCGGCATGTTGCTGGTGACATGGGTGCGTATGTCCGGCGGCTGCACGTTGAGTCGCAGCATATCCTGTCTGAACTCTGCCTCATATGTACGCGCCATTCCCAGCCAATCGCAGCCGGACTCGCGGGCTTTCCGGATGATCTTGTCATCCACATCTGTGATATTCATGGCAGTGACGAGATTGATCTTGAAATAGTCCCGCAGGATGCGCTGAATGATGTCCACCTTCACATAGGTGCTGGCATGGCCCAGATGCGCCGAGTCGTACACTGTTGGGCCGCAGGTGTACCAGGTGACCATGTTCGGGTTATGCAGCACAAGGGGAACTTTCCGGCGCATTCCATTGTTGTACACTGTTATGCCCGTATGCTGGCCCACGGGCTTGTGCCAATGGTACGGCGGCGGCTCTGTGGAACTCTCGGAAAACTTGCGGCGGCAGGACTTCAGGTTCATCCAGGACCATGGTCTGAGGAGCATCTCTTTGCTGTAACTGAGACAGACAGTGAGACATTGGTATTGGTATTGGTATTGGCCAAGCCAAGTGGCAACTATCTTACTTACTGACTCAACATCTTTTCTATTCTTCACTTTATTCTTTCAATTTTTAAATGCCTAAAACAATTTGTAACAACATAACAAAAACAATCAACAATTGACTCGCCCGGCGAGGGTTGCCAGACCCTGTGAATCGCTCGGCTCAGTGCGTAGGGCTGCCTCTCAGTCAGAAGTGGATGCAGACGAAGCCGGCAGAATGCAGTGGCTTCAATTAAAGTTCCCTTTTATTTATTTAATTTGCACAGTAACAGCCGCAGCATGGGCCAATTTGGAGCGGGATCCCAACGGCTATCTCACCTACTGTCCCTGCATGGGTAAGTCGCTGCCATTGGGGATCATCTCTGTTGGATGTGTTCATTCCATGTACAGTTTTAATACAATACGAGATACTCCCCCTTAGGGCGCTTTGGCAACCAAGCTGATCATTTTCTGGGCTCATTGGCCTTTGCCAAGGGTCTGAATCGCACCCTTATTCTGCCGCCATGGGTGGAGTACCGCAAGGGTGAAATGCGCTCCCGACAGGTGCCCTTCAATACGTACTTTGATGTGGAGCCGCTCAAGGACTACCACCGGGTCATACTGATGTCGGACTTTATGTGGCATCTGGCGGACGACGTCTGGCCGGAATCGGAGCGTGTGTCCTTCTGCTACATGGAGCGCAAGAGCCTACAGCAGGAGAAGAACAATCCGGACGAGCCCAACTGCCATGCCAAGGATGGAAATCCCTTTGGCCCCTTCTGGGACACCTACAACATTGACTTTGTCAAGTCGGAGTTCTATGGACCGCTGCACTTCGATGTGCACCACAGCTCCATGGCAACCAAGTGGCAAAGCAAATACTCAGCCGAGTCCTGGCCAGTGCTCGCGTTTACAGGCGCCCCAGCCAGCTTCCCTGTCCAGCTGGAAAACCGTGAGCTGCAGAAGCATATGCAATGGAGTGCCAAGTATAGGGACGCTGCCAGGGACTTTATACGGAAAGTACTGCCCCGTGGAGCCTTCGTGGGCATCCACCTGCGCAATGGCATCGACTGGGTGAGGGCCTGTGAGCACGTCAAGGATAGCCAGCATCTGTTCGCTTCGCCCCAGTGCCTGGGCTACAAGAACGAGCGTGGCTCACTCTATCCCGAGCTCTGCATGCAGACCAAGGAATCCATAGTGCGACAGCTGAAGAGGACCATCAAGAATGTGCGCCAGACCCAGCCCAACAATGAGATCAAGTCCGTTTTTGTGGCCTCGGATGCTAATCACATGATCGGCGAGCTCAACGTGGCGCTCAGCCGCATGGGCATCAGCGTGCACAGGCTGCCCGAAGATGATCCCCACCTAGATTTGGCCATTTTGGGGCAATCGAACCATTTCATTGGCAACTGCATCTCATCGTATAGTGCATTTGTGAAACGCGAGAGGGACTCGCACGGTTTTCCATCCTACTTTTGGTCCTTCCCGAAGGAGAAGGACCGCCAGCAGTCCAAGGCGCATGAAGAGCTATAAATCTCCGGCAGAAATCTCAGCAGAACGCAATCCAGACAGACCAGCAGCACCCACTGCATGTAGTTGTAAGCTAGAAAAGTATTCCAATCCACGCATTTAACGAGAATTTGTTTTTACATTCGATTTACTTAGAAATTTATTCAAGCTATCCGCGCATTCTTGAAAATAATTTAGTTTGTAATTCAAATGCCCCGAAATATGTGGTTTTTCCTGGACACTCATTTCGGTTATGTTTCGTTATTGTGGTTGACGGGTGGGTTGCCTAGTGTATCAGCTTTTGTGTGCGGGCCAGATCCAATTGCGCGGATGAAACATTTGTGAGACCCTCACGGACTGAGCTCAGGTTCTCCTTCCAGGCCTGCAGCAAGTCCCGCAGCTGTTCCCACTGTGGTGCACCGAATGTACGATGCATGGTCGATGAAATGTGTACCTTGCGGTTGGTCTGATCCAAGCGGGCACGCACCAGCTTCGTCTTGAGCACCTGAATGACAAAGGGTTCGACCTCATCCTCAGTGATTTGCAGCTCCTTGGTCAGGGTCTCGAAGGTCATTTCCGGATTGCTCTCGGCCAGCTGCATGAACGTCAGCAGGCGCATCTTCTTCATGTTCTGTTCGTGGTTAAGTCCCTGAGAGTTGACGAACTCCTTGTGATCCTCATAGAACTGAACGTATGATGGCAATTTGTCCGAGACAAAAATGGAAAGCAAATCGTGGATGAGATCGCCCTCCAGGAAGCGCACAGGCTTCAGCGACAGCAACGGATCCAGCAGGAATGTATTGGGATCGGCCAGGGCGGTGACGATGCACTTCATGGCATCCTCGCGTGCCACACAGGCATTGTCAGCCGTATATGTGCCCAGCAGCTCAATCATTACCTTGGAAGACAGCTCCAGGTTGGTATCCTTGGTCACATCATGCAGCAGGCGATACAACTTCTGCATTTGTTCAGAGGATGGCGGGCAATTGGCGAACTGAGTTTTGAGCTGATCCACGCCAGTGAAGACCTCCAAAACTTGCTCGCATTGCTTGGCCACCTGCACCAGATGGTAGTAGACATGGTAGCGCAAGGGAGAGGCCGTGTCCAGATTGTTGAACAGACGCCACAGCGACTGCAGGCACACCTTGCCCAGCGGTGCGTTCGGCGCTTTGGTCATCTTTTCACAGTAGGCCAACACAATGTTCTCTCCGCGGTCCAGGGGTATCTGCAAATAAGGAGAGTACTTGACATCCAAACATCTAGAATGCTATGATTCCCACTCACCGTTATCATTATGGACACAATGCTATTGAGGATGCCATCGATCTGAGAGGGCTCTCCATCTTTGAAGCAAACATCGCAGACGCCAATGATTTTGTGCAAATCATCCTCAACGCCTTTGTTGGACTTCTCCGATGAGATTTCGGCTCCCAACTTCTTGAAATACTTGCGCAGCTCTTGCACCTATTTTGTTGAAATTATTGAAATATTAGTTTCAGTTCAGTTTTGTTTTGCACACATTCGGGACAACATAACCTCAAACTTGGTTTAGTCTGTCAAAAAACGGGACACATAGCTGCAACTCCAACTTTACCTGCTCGTCCAAGGAGAGGTCAATAAAAACCGGATGCGAAGTCATAGTTATGTTTTATGTTACTGTAAATGTGTTTCAATTTATTGAATGAAATCTGTTGAAAATAACACGCACGCACACACTACTTCGGTCGAAAAGGAAAGAGCCAAAAGAGTGTTGCAAAATTTTCGTTATTCTATCTACTTGCGGGCTGCAAGCAAGAGCGAGCTAATGTCTGCTAATATACAGCACAAAACGGTGAGATATTTCCTTTCTTAGCATCAATCATAAATTGAATGTTCCATATGTAAATATATTTTAAGTGTATTTAAAGGTTTAAATAAATTGTAATTTCACAAAAGTAACAACAAAAGGGTGTTGAGAAACGTAACATAGCTGCCAGATTTTGTCCATGTCACAACAAAGAGTGTTTGGAAACGTAACACAATTTGTATTCGCCGGCTTTAGAAGGATAAGATGGATGATTTCGACGATGATTCGTTTAATGATATCTTGGGCTCCATGGAAATGCCCCCCACTTCACCTAAGAAGCCTAAGGTGGAGCCCAGTAGCAACCAGGCCCAAGCGGCCACGGCCATCACAATCGCCAAGCCGGCGTCAAATCCTCATAGCGTGCTTGTCCACAGCAAGCAACGAGGAAATCCGATTCTAAAGTCCATATTGAACGTACCCCTGGAGTTTCGAGACGATATTGTGCCCGATTATGTGGTGGGCCGCACTTCCTGCGTCCTTTTCCTATCGCTCAAATATCACAATCTGAATCCAGATTATATTTGTCAGCGCCTAAAGGCTCTGGGCAAGATGTACGAGCTGAGAGTCCTGCTGGTGCAAGTGGACACGCCAGAGCCACACAACGCCCTTAAAAGCCTGACGCGGATATCTCTGCTAGCAGATCTAACCATGATGCTGGCCTGGAATGCAGAGGAGGCTGGCAAAATAATTGAAACCTACAAGCAGTTTGAGAAGCGTCCGCCGGACTTGATCATGGAACGTGTGGAATCGAATCCCCATCAAAAGGTACAACACTGCTATAAAATGTACTTATAATATTACATAAATGATGCATATTGTTCCTAGCTGGTGGCCGCTCTGACAAACATCAAGCCCGTGAACAAAACTGATGCCGTTACGCTCCTTCAGACTTTTGGTAATCTGGGCAATGTCATCACTGCCAGTGAGGAGAGACTGTCACAGGTGATGGGTCTGGGGCCACGTAAGGCCAAAAGGTTGTATAAAACGCTGCAAGAGCCCTTTCTTAGCAAGTAGCACATATTTAAGATTATTTATAGAGAGATGTTATGGCGGGGCCAGAGGCCAACGTCATCTGTAATTTAAATACTTTTATTTCTTATGAAGAAGAAACTTTATTTGTATACAATTTAGACCACACTTTTTGTTTAAACACTTATAAACTACAGCACATTGATCGGATTACTAATCAGCCACCTTCCATATCTTGATGGTGCCGTCGTCGCTGCAGGAGATCAATTGTCCGGCCACAGCAGGGTTCCACTCCACCGAGTTGACATCCTGATCGTGGGCACTCTCATCAGCGGTGAGTTGTTCGAATGTTGGTTCATCTCGCTTCGAGTCGCTCGTCTCCTTGAATATCCGAATGCCATCATCACCGCAGCCGGTGGCAATCAAGCCCGTCAGCTTGCACCAGGACACATCATAGACGGCTCTCGAGTGCTGGCCAGACAAGGTGCAGACACACTTCCAAACGGTCTGCTTATCTGGCGTGGCTATGCCAGCATCATTGCCCGGATGGTAGGCTCTCCAAATCTTCAGTGTGGTGTCATCGCTGCAGGAGACCAACCGGTCGCCGTCGGCGTCAAAGTCAATGCTCCAAACAGTGCTCGTGTGGGAGGACAATGTGGCTGTGCAATCCCAGTCGCTATCCAACTGGCTCTCGGCAAACATTTTGATGGTATTATCATAGGAGGCGGATGCCAAAACATCCTTCGTCGGATGCCACACCACACGCTTCACATCCTGTGTGTGGGGATTTAGTACGGCGGCGCACTCGAATTCATCATCACCTGCCACTTCCCAAATCCAGACGGACTTGTCCCGGGAGCATGTGGCCAGTAGTCCACCGGACCTCGACCAGCTGACACTCTTCACCTCGTTCTCGTGTCCCTCCAGCGTAGCATTGCACTCGAATTCGCCGGAGGACTTTGACCAAATCGCTGTTGTAGCATCAAAACTGGCCGAGGCCAAATACTGACCGCACGGGGACCAGCGTATCTCGCGTATGGTGCGCTTGTGTCCGTCCGAGAGAATAGTCTTCGTGCTCCAAGTATTTCCGGACAGAGACCAAACGCGTATGGCTTTGTCTTCGCCACAAGAGGCGAAAACGTTCCCCTTCGGATGCCATGCCACCCCCCAAATCCGACCCTTGTGGCCTTGCAGGGTGTGCTCCAGAATTAAACGTCCCATGTTTTAAGTTGAAGTAGATTTTCCTCAGTTTTTTTTTTGATAACAAAAGCGCATGTGGTAAGAAGAAGACAACAGGCAGCAACAGCTGATTTTCTAGTGCTGCACAACAACATTGGTTTCTTTGTGGGGTGGGGTGGGGTGGGTGTTGAAAAATGACTGGTTGCATTCCGTTACCCAGCACAAGTGAAGAAATTTGTGTATATATCCGAATAATTTTCCTGTATTTTGCTGAATATTAAATGATGAAAAAATGAACGGCTTAATCGTGTTTAACAGTGGCAACGATGTTGTCTATCAAAAACTGAACGCGCCACTGACGCAGAAAATTAGCGATGTGGCCGTCGCCCAAGGTCTGCTGGAGGCCGCCCCCGATCCTAGCTGCCCGATGGACAGCAACATCTTGGTGCAGATTTTCAGCCCCATCATCAGCTCGCAAAAGATAATGCAATGCCAGTTTGACAACGCCTACTCCAGCTTCCAGTGCGAAAAGGGATTCAATTTGGTTTTTGGTGATCTTTTGGGATTTACCTTCCTGAAGATTGGACATGTCCCGGTGGACCAGCTGACGCGACAGATGGGAGCGAGCATTGCAATATCGCGGTATTGCTATGGAGCGAACATCTTTGGCGGGCAGGCCGGGGCCATGCAACAGGAGCTCTTGACGCAGTGCCTCGAGTGCTACGAAACATTGCTGGGCCAGGAGGACCAGACATATCTGATCGAGGCCATACCCAAGCTGGTGATCAACAAGGAACTAAAGAGAACCATTCACCTGACACTCGATTTTACGCTGGAGCAGCTGCGCCAGGACGGACTACCCCGAGCCCATGTCCTGCTGATGGTCTCCCACAAGCTGGTGGCCGCCAATAGCACCAAGCACGCCGTGCCGTTGTCTGCTGCTGATCTTCTTTTCCTGAGCATTCTGGCACGGGCCCTTCAGTCGTCTCAGAATTCTCCATCGCAAAGTGCTGTGCCGGTCTTTCTGCAAGGCGCGTCCTACGACGAGAACTCCGGATGTGTGCCCACCATTGTGCACATCTCTCGCTTGCATGGCAACCAGGTGCTACTCCAGGTCATCGAGTACGCGAATATGCAGCTAACCAGTTGCATCTACGACTGCTTCTTTGTGGTGCAGAAAATCAGTACAGTGCATCACCAGGGTGACTCGGACGCTTTGAAGCCAGCCTTTGAAAACTTGGAGCCCTTTATCGTGCAAACTTTGGCTGCCTTGAAGCGGCACTTGAAACAGACGTGTGGCGACTTGGACGACCTGGAGAGTTGCATTAAAAAGTTTACAGCCAAATGGGAAAATCTGCGCAAAATGTACATGGAGTACTTTAAAAACTTTGAGCGGGAGCTGCTTGTGAGGATTGAGTCGAACGTGCCCTCGTTTATAGAGGAGCTGAAGCAGCTCTTCACCTTGGCCGCGTGCGATAGCTCAAGCGCACACCTGGACCAGCTGTACGAGTCCGCGTCGATTGTCGAGGCCAAGCTGCTGGAATTCGCAGAGTTCCTGGCTGTAAAGGCTACACGGAATATCTCCATTGATGCTTACTTGGAGGACTTTCCCGGCCTGGTTCACTTTATGTATGTGAATCGCAGCAGTGGACAAATGTTGGGGCCCGATCTCCGCCCCAATCAGCTGGTGACGAAGACAAAACTATGGAATATGATCGAGTTTGCCCGAAGGTATCTCAAGAAGGGGCAGACAACAGTCATGTGGAAGGACAAAGTCTTTCACTACTCCTACTTCCTCTGGTTCGAGGATCAGTCGGGCGGCATTCTCAGCCCAACTCTGGACCTGCAGCACCATTTTCTTGCAACAGCTGCGTCCAGTGGCAGTGCCATAAAGGTGCCAACCGAGCCTGGAGCCCTCTCCGTGGACTATTACTTTGATCTGGCTGAGCTCTGCTTCCCAAAGCTGGCGCCCGGCAAGGTTCGCGTATACGAGTTGTTCTGCATCCATCTTGGACTGGTCACAACTACCTGCGCTGTAGAGCATGCCCGACGTTTGGTGGCCACCATCAGCGATGTGGTGGGCGACGAGACATTTTAAATATACATATATATTATATCGTTAGTAAGCCTAATATTCCATATATCCATTCCAGCGGCCGGGCGCATGAATCTAGTCAATTTATGGGACATATGCAATATGAAACGTTTTAAGGACAGCTCTTCACTGTTATAAATTGCTCCATTTCAATGTTAAATATATAAATTATAAATCGTTTAATGTGTAACAAAAAATTGGTTTATTGCGACTCGGTCGGAGACTGCTGTGTTTGCGACCTTTGCAGCTCTTGCAGCTTTTCCAGGAAGAAGGACTTGCGTGCCGTCAAAGGCATGGATTTCTGACGCAACATGTAGTTCTCATTGCCCAAGGCCGTGTAGGTGTTATCACCAATGAGTTCCCTCAACGCAATGTTCTTCTTCAAGTGCTTATCATAGAAGCTGGCACCTGCGGCCACAAATTGCGGCCCCAGGGTGGCCAGCTTCTTGTCAATCTCCGCATCGGTAGCCACCTGATTAAAGTCCTTCATGAACGTCCAACTGCCGACGCCGAAGAGACCCAATATGGAGTACAGAACAAAGCGGACCTGAGGCGGAAGAAGCCAGTGATTAAAAAACCCCTCGTCCACACAAACATATGTTACTTACGCTGCCATGGCGGTGAAAAAGATTGAGGCGCAGGTTCAGATAATGTCCGATGGTGTAGACCATGAGAAAGCTCACGGTGGGGAATATCGAGTTGAGCAGCACACGATACGTTTGCAGCTGGAGGATGGCCTTGCTCAGGCCAAACACCTGCTCATCTTCGGTCAAGACGATAGCTTGTTCCAGCAGCTTTCCGCTGGGCGAGCTCCAATCAATTTGCTTGTCCCTAAAGCGTATATCGGGCCGCTTGATTTCTGCTGGACTGTCGTAGCCGTAGTTCACTGGTATGCCTAGAGCGCTCCCGAATCGGAACTTGGTGGTCCCAGCTTGAAACAGATCGAAGCCGAACACGGTGAAGGGTTTGACGAACTTGCGCTCAAATGGTTCCACCTGCAGTTTGTCTAGCGCTTGCTCCAGGCGTTGCTGCACTACTTCAGGCACGGGCCTTCCTACGCCATGTCTGAAATAAAGCGTTTTAGAGTGGTTTCTTCACGCCAGCCACTTGCTCACCCACTGGTAGCATTGCACGAAGTCGCGGTAATAATTCAGTCCAAATGTGTGTGGTACAAAGTTTCCAACAAATAGGCCTATAGTGGTGGCGCCCGCTGTGTAAAAGACTAGTTTACGTCCAGGTTCAGTCTTAAAGAAGGCAAAAAAGCCACCACCGGCTTTCGGAGCTATATGCATATTTGGTTTTACTTATTTATAAATCTTGATATTTTTCTTGTTTTGAATCAGAAAGTTGTGTAATTAAAGGGTTGTATACATTTTTATATCGATATATCGATATGTTTTGATTTGTATGGGAAAACTTTTAGCAGCATGGGGAAAGCTCATCATTCCGAAAGGAGGGTTGCCACAAGTTTTGCAGCCGTGACGTCACTATATAACTTCTGGCAACATTGTTAATAAATTGGTAATTGTTGTGAAAAAATCAATTCAAACGCGTGACGAAATATTATGGACTTGGACTTGAGATATTGTTTGTAATTTCAGGCTCCAATTAATGCAGGAACTGCTCAGTCTCTGTTTTAAAGATATTAACGATGCATTAATAGGTAAAATATCTCAATGTAAGAAATATGCAATATTAATGTTTCAAAGCAGCTTGAAAAAAATATGTAACATTAGTTGAAAGGTGTAATAGGGTATACAAATGTCCATACGCATAGAAGAATCTTCGTTGACCAGCAACAATGACGTCACATTTCGTAAACACTTACGTTTTATGCTTTGGCAGTTTTTGTTGGAACCTTTTTATGTAAACAATGCAATAAAAAAGACTTCTGAAAACTAGCCAATCTTGTAGAAAATAGATGTATCTCTCGGATAAAATTATTTGTTTGGGGCTAAGAGAGCTAACTATCTAGTAATATTAAACTGAATATCAAAATCATGGAATACGATTTCAATCAATAAAATAGAACGTTAACCCATTGTCGACCAGGGGGGTATTTAATATTTCCACCAAATGTATGTAACTTTAACATATTTTACGCATTACAGGTGAAAGATTTCGGGGGTCATTTTTGTTTTGTAAGTAAAGAGAAGGATGGAGCTACAAGGAGCCTTTACAAACAGTATTATTTTCCGTGGTTTAACAAAAGGTTGTTCAACTTTTTAAATAGAGGGGTGTTAAGTGGGTTAAGTCTCGTTTTATCGCCGGACTACCCTGTTTTTTGGTCGTATCGTATCGGTTGTCGCGCAGATAAAAATTTAAAAATTGTAATTACTTTAGTTTATAAATTTAACAAATACTACTGTGCTGGCGGAGCGCTTTTTCTGTTCGGTTTGGTGCGATATATTAGCAAATGTGTGATGTGTGGGGTGTAAAAGGAGAGAGACGCAGCAGGCACACTCAACTCATTGATTTTTTCACGGCATTGCCGGTGAGGCGTCGCCGTTAATAAGTGTACTTGTATTTGTATCAATAATATGACATAATCGACGTGGGCGGCTTAATTGACACAGTTGATGAGTGAAGAATACCTAAAAGTGCGGAAATAGAAGCAAAAACGAAGCAGCTCTTGTGGTCGAAGTTGGGAAACAGGACTCGCTTCGTTGTTGTTTCACATATTCGTCCCAACACATATGCGGACACAACGCTCTCTCATACACACACACACACACACATGTATTTGGGCGTAGCAGGATGATACACTTCCAGTCGCTGTGCGGTTGCTTTCCAGAGAGACGGCTCTCTCTTTCTAGCTCTGTCTCCTTTTTACCTATCGTCCCAAAAAATTCTGAATAATATTCATTCTAAGTTAGTTTTTTTATTTTATTAACAATTGGCTCTCAATTACAACTACACCCCCCTCCCTTCTGACTAGCCCACAAATTTTAATATTTGGAAACCCTGCTCCCATTTGACGTTTACTAACACTGACGCCGGACCGCCTTTCAGCTCGCCTCTCGTTTTTGCGTCTTGTTCTTCGAGTTGTACGGACGTGTGCGTGGCGTGCCTCTTTTTAGCTTAAATAACTAAATAAGCAACCTTTAATGTGATCGTGCAGTGTCAAGTGCCGTAGGAGAAGCGCAAAAGCAAGAGAAATACCTAAATGTCCATTTGATCAAATGAAATAAATTTTTAAAATTTTCTCTTCTCCTTTTCATATTAGTCTATGTTTTGTGCATTGCGAGAGCGAGCGAGTGTATAAAAAAACGCGTGTGCTCCCATAGTGATTGTATTGACTTGTACTTGTGTGTGTGAGAGAAACAACTGGAGGATCGGCCGACCGACATTGGAAAAGCAGACTCGGTGAGTTTCTATAAATTAGAATTTCCATTGGGGAAAATGTGCAATGTGAGCTGTTCGTTGGATTACTTTTTCGAAAACTAAATGCAATAAAAGCCAACTGTTACTGTTATGCTGCTACTGCTGTGATGAGCAGAGGTTATGCCTGGTGACGCCATCTTTTGTACTTCCCTAATAAGTGTTGTTTTTGTTTTTTGGGTTTGGTCAAGCACACGCAACATTTCTAATTGTATGCGTGCATTTGTGTGTGTGTGTTTTGATGTTATGCTTTGGGTTTGATGTTCTGAAAATTTCTGACGCGGCTTTTTCTCTGTCTCTCCCTCTTTCGTCTTTTGGGTGGGTGCGAGTGAGTGCCTTTTCCTTTTCACATGATTCATGCTTTCTTTCTTCCCACTTTCTATGCCCCTGTCGGATTATGAAAATACAGTTGCATGTCGTACGGACTTCGGATTTTAGCTGTTGCTTTTATAACTAATTTGTTATCGACACACACACACACACGCCATCTTTGTTGCAAAATCTTCATGCTCCGAGTGCATATGTGTTTGTGTGTGTCTAATGCAGTGTGCTTTTGCTGCCGCCCCGCGACTGTGACCCACATTTTCTCTTTCGCTTCGGCGAAAAAAAAACTGCGACCTGCAACAAGTGATAAACAGATTTGTAAATTTTGAAAACGTATTTATTGAAGAACGATACGCTGCACAGTAGGTTGCAAGTGCAAGTATTTCCTCCTAACAGATGTTTTCATGTGAGGCAGCCCGTCTGTAACGTTTATCCAGTTGCCTTGCAATCTAATCGAAAATCTCCCTTACGTTTTCTGGTTAGATACATTTTAAAAGAGCAAAGAAGTTTTTCTTGAATGTATTTCCATAGCCGGAGTAGAGATAGGAAAATCGACGAAGTTTATGACGTCACTCCACCTGCTCTATCTCGCTTCCTGCATGGCCTGGCTATACACTCGCATATCTCTGCATCGAGCTTTGAGTTTGCTGATAAATTTTAGCTACCTTTTATGTCACATGACGTCATTTCGTACACAAAAGACAACCAAATGAAAATGTTCTCTTTATTGTTTGGCTACTTTTTTGTTTCTAATTCTAATTTTTTCACACATACATACATACGCAAGCGGAGACAATGATGTTTTTGTTTTTAATACGGTTTCCCTATGTGTCTGCGAGTCTATTTATCAATTCCACCATGCTCTTCTGCTCTTATCATTTGTTCAGTTGTCATGTGTCTTTTTAAATTTAAAAATTTACGTGACTTGTTGCCTGGGGTCATATTTATTCGTGACCCAAACTGCATTCAGCCAAGTGTTTGTTTAAAATCATTGAGCATTATTCCTTATATTCCGCGTGGATTACCAAATTAAAATAAAAAGGGACAACGAAATGATTGCCCACCGTTATTTATCTTTTGTGCCGTTAAGTCGAGTGCGAAATAACTGGGGAAAGTAAAAAAAACCGCTGTTTATTCTTGTTTCCTCTCTACACACAAGTGACAAATTACCGTACACTGAGAGTGCCAAGGTGTGAGTGAGACGGTTGTGTTTGTTTGTGTGTGTCGGTGTGGGTGGGAGGAAGTGCATAGTTAAAACTGGAAACAATGGCGGGAGGAACCAAAACCTAACCTAGAAATGTGTTCCAATAAATGGCGGAAATACAAAATTGAGAACGGTTGCGTTCGTATACATACATATGTATGTAAAAATAAGAGACAAAAAGGTTTCCCTCGAATGCAATCCCAGTAAAGAGATATTTTATAAAAAGACCATCGATTCAAAGACTTTCTAACGAGATAGGCGTGCCCCTTGCCCTCATCCCATCCAACAATGCAAATGCATTTGATGGACTCTTGTGTAGAAGGGTATGGAAATGGAAAGCAATGGAAAGCAGGAAAAAACAGAAATTTATTTTTGATTGGAAATTGATTACTCAAGCGTGATATGAGGCTGAGGCTGCCGCTTATCTAATTTCCCACTGACGTCACTTAGTGATTAATTGATTTGGAAATCATTGGGATTGAACTGCATAATTGTGACATTTACTGTGATTAATGGAGTCCATCCACTAGTAGGTCTAGTAGGGGGAATATTGACGAGGACAGAATGGAAACCCTGCCAGTCGCTTGTGCTTCTTTCTTTGCCTTCACCAAACGGTGAAAATTGGTGAAACCATTGGAGAAAAAGGGAGGACTAAAGCTGGTGGATAGAAAAATATACAGACATAAATAAAAGAGGCGTACGTGCCAAGCTTAAAAAAAAATAAAAAAATATGTTTCTTTGCTGCTGGCTAAACAACTGCCGATCATCAATAAACAGCAACAACAAATATCAAGTCGGTAGAGAGGAGACACTAAAAGGAAGAGAGAGACGTGCAATAACAAATGTACAGTTGCAGAAGCAGCCAGCCGCATTAACAGCGACAACAATGAAGAAAAAGAGACTTGGGTCCAAAGAAAGTCGATTTTCCTATACCCTACAACTCTAACCAAGCAAAGATATTAGCTTTTGGAGTCGAAGAAGAGTATCTAGCAGCGACAGGGGGCGAGAGAGACAAAGTATGTCAATTAGAGAGCAGTATTTTTGTGTTTTTTATTCCTTGTATATAGTCGCTTTTTTAAGCACTCGTTAAACAAGGCAGCCGCTGCTTTGCATCATCCGTGATTTTGTCTACAGTCTAGTTCATGAAGTACTTTAAGCCCGGGCTCCAGAGTGGCAGAATGAGCGACAATGTAGATAATTACATATATGAACATAGTATGGATGTACCTAAAAAGCTGGGAAGAGAAGCAGGAGTGGGAGAAGAGACGGATGAGATGAGATGATGAAGCTGTGTGTCTGCATTTCTTGCCTTTTACATGTTGCTGGAATTTCTTTCTGCTGCGCCGCCGCCGCCGCCGCTGCCGCTGCTGCTGCTGCTGCTGCGCTTGAACTTCAATTGGTTCTCTCTCTCTCTCTCTCTCTATCTCTCTCTCTCCTCTCTCGCTTGCTCTGTGTATCTTTGTCTGGTGTCTGTCTCTTCCCGCTGGAAAGTGATTGGAAAGCCTGTTATTATGTGGCTGATGAACTGTATTCAAATGGGAATTTAGGTTATTCTCTCTTCTCCTGTTTGTGTTTCTGTTTGTGGAGGCGTGGGAAATGATGTTTTGGTTTGTGCTTACCTTGTAAAATTGCCACAATTTGTTGTAATCAATTTTAATTCGATAGTAAATACTACGAGATTAAATTTAGTTAAAGCTTTAAGTGCTGCCAAGGACGCATTATCCTCTTCCATTTTTCAATGGAAGATTGGCCTTTTCCTTCCTCTTTACAAGAATCTTCTCCTGCTCTATGCATAACCCACTTTTTCGATAAAAATGCCAATAAAAATCTCGCCTTTGATTGGCCCAACAAGAAAGCAACAAAAACAGCCGCGAACAAATGGCATTAAAAAGACCCGTCATCATCATCATCCTCATATAACAAAAGCCGGGGAGGCAGCAAGCCAAAGTACTCCGTCAGTGGGCAACAATAAAGGCAAACGTGTTGCTGCATAAATGAATTCATAATGCAAAAACGAAAAATGAAGAGATACAGAGGAGAAAAAGTGTATTGTGAAGCACACGAATGACGGCTTACATAATCTTTTATATCTTCTACTTGATCAGCTCTCCCATACCATTTCAAGTTGGGCGATTGCTGGGGGGATTGGGGAATGCCTCGACCGCAACAGCATTTAGCCAGGCTTCAAATTAAATTGTTGATTAACACACCATAGAAGGTGGGACTGGCAATCTTTCGTGTCTGCGTCTTCACGCATAAACATTTTAGTGCCCATTTCGTGTTTCTTTGTGCTCTATTGAGCAAAATGCAGTTATTAAGTTGTGCGTAAAAAGTGAAAATACGAAACACTCGTGAGTAATTATAATTTTGATAGTCTTGTTGGGGATATTAAAGTATTGCTTGCATTCTCCAACCAGTAGGAACTATAATATAATGTAATTGAACGAGCCCCAAAAATCCACATAAATTATGTTATTCTTAAACAATTTTGTAATATTAACTGACTGTATTCGAATTGGGGTTGGCTTTTACATAAAACAAATAATGTTGCAAGTTTTACTGATGGAAAGTGTACAAAGTTATCGAAAACATGCAAATCGTTCCAGCTGATAAACGTACCTTGTAGAACGAATATATGTGTATGTGTGTGTGTGTGTACGCACTGGGAATGCGAAAAATTACGGTGCTGATCTGATGTTTACTCCATTGCGATCATACAACCTCTCCCTCAATAATTCAATTATTTTGTTGTATACTGGGAGAGGCGTCTCTCTGTCTCTCGCTCTCTTTCTCTCCCTGCGCGTGTGTGTTTGTGTGTGGAGGTAAATAGCAGTATAAAATAACGAGTAGTATAGAAATATTTTAACCCGCGCTAACTAAAAATATTGGCATGACATCATCGAACAGCGACGTCGGCGCAGCAGCATCTCTCAATGAATCTCAGTTTTTGGTTGGCGCTGAGCAATGAGCAGTGTCTATATGTTTCTCTCTATTTTTGGCTAGAAAAATTGTAATAATTAAATAAAAAAAAGGGACATAAATTTTCCTGTTCGCAGGCCTCAGAGAACATTAAACGCTTCCCTCCAAGCTTCAACTAATCAAATTATTTTCTTATTTTCTCTTGCAGGCACATCTATTGATAAGAAAGAGAGCAACAAATTAAATTTTAAGGTGAGTTTTGGCTATTTCATATTACTCAACTCCACAGCTTGGAGGGTATCTGGTTGAAGCATTCTCACTGTTTGTTTGGCGAAAAAATTGGCCTGAATAATGATATAAATTATTCTCTTTTACGGCTCTGCTCTCTTCTCCTTGAATCTATTTTACATGACGACACGCATAAAACTTCACCTCTAATTCAATTAAGACTGACCTTTGTTTTTGTTCTTCTTTTTGTTACTTTCTATGTACATTTTACATTTTTTCGGACTAGTCTGATCTCTCTGTCCCTACGTCTGCCTCCGAGTGTGCGCTCTGCTTCAGTTGAAATTAAATTAAAAGCCACTTGAGCGTTGAGTCTGCTTTTTATTCCGATGTCGATATGTCATACAATGTACATACATACACATATACATATGTGTGTCTCTATGTACATGCATAAATCTCTTTAAATAGTGCAAAAATTTAAAAATTACCCCTCAATGCCTTCGGGCATGGTACACTGGGTTTTTTCACATATTTACATCTTTATAGGGAGAAATCAAGAGCTAAGTGGGGGGATAGCAATAATGTTCTTTACGCTCGAAATTTTGTTGGCACTTATAAATGGGTCATTGAACCAAACTTTCAAACAAAGGCAAACTCTCATTTCTCCTCGTTGTATTTTTTAAGTAAACTTGTGTCTTGAGTTGTTGCACGGGTTCTTTGTCGATTTTTGAATTTTGTTTCGTTTTTGTTGTACTCCACCTGTGCTACAACCCGTTAAGTAGTTTACCTGAACTCGACTGTACCTGCAGCTCAATTAAAATCCCATTAAATGCTGCAAATATGTGCTTGTATCAAGATTGAGTTACTGTCGTTAAGGACATGCGGTGGCTTTCTATTGATTGTACTCGGGTATCGTATATGCCACTCAAAACTATTGTAAACACGCATCAAGCTCTGAAATTTCCATTGCCACATTTCCTGCTTGTTTTGCTCGCGTGTTCGGGTCAACGACCCACAACCTCCCACCCCCCAACCCCCCAGATTGGCCACAAGAAAAAGGACACCAACCGAAAGCGCTTAACTCACCCTTTTGGGCAATGGAGCGCAACGGTTTCTGGCGGCGTCTGGAAATACCTGTGCGGGACACGACACGCCTATCATTTTATTAGATTTTCCTTATAGCATTGTTAGTTTATTATTTTTTTCGCCGGCAATTTCACTCTCTCCTTGCCGTTTCCATGCAATTTTTGAATGAGTGGCGCCGGCTAAATGACGGAACTGTGGCGCCACCAATGAGTGGGGCGGGCTGTGTTTGTTACCACGCGCCTCGTAAAAATATCCTGGAATTGGGATTGGGTGGTTCGGTGTGTTGGGGTTGCTGCTGTTGCTGGGTCTGTTGTGTGGTGCTTCTGTCTGCGTTTTGAGTTAATGACAGGAAATGACGTCATGTGTCGTTCAGAGGGGATGAAACTTTATTTGGCCTGTCTTTAAGTACCACAGGGAGGGAAAGTGGGTGTGGGTGCCACAATGTCCTGGATGATGTCATTGTCATAGTACAATTATGATTACTTCACGTCCGACTAGATTACAAAGCAAACAAGAGACAGGGAAAGAAAGGATACACTCTTGAAAATCTTTTCGCAAATCTTTCACAAATGGATATTGAGTGATTTTCCTGATCCCCTTCTCCGCCGGACGTCGGCGAATCTAAACAGCTGTACCAAACCAAATTTATGTGTAATACAAAAAATTGGGCAACAGTTTTGGCCAACTTCCAAGTGAGTCAAAGCCACACCCGTCGCAGCCCATCGTATCCCATTCAACAAAAGGCTTTAATCAAGGGCAAACTTAACAAAAAAGAAAGGAAGAAAAGAGGGAAAAAAAAAAAGAAAAAAAAAAAAATTTTTAAAATTTTTAAAAAAAAAAAAAAAAAAAAAATTTTAAATTTTTTATTTTAATTTAAATTTTTTTAAAAAAAAAAAAAAAAAAATTTTATTATTTTTTTTTTCCGGGCCGGGGGGGGGGGGGCGGGGGGGGGGGGGGGGGGGGGGGGAGGGAAGGGGGGGGGGGGGGGGGGGGGGGGGGGGGGGGGGGGGGGGGAAAAGGGGAAAAAAAGTTTTAAGATTTGGGGGGTTTTAAGGGGTGGGGTGGGAGAGGGGTGGGGGGGGGGGGGGGGGGGGGGGGTTGGGGGTGGGTTGGTGGTTTTGGTTTTTTTTTTTGTTTGTTGGGGTTGGGGGTGGGGGGGGGGGGGGGGGGGGGGGGGGGGGGGGGGGAAGGAAAAAAAAAGAGGGGGGGGGGGGGAGAAGAGAAAGAAAAAAAAAAAAAAAAGGCATTTTTAGGTTTTAAAAGGTGGGGGAGGGGGGAGAAAAAAAAAGGGGGGGGGGGGGGGGGGGAGAAGGGGAGGGGGGGGGGGGGGGGGGGGGGGGAGAAAAAAAAAAATAAATTTTTTGGGGGGGGGAAAATTTTCTTTTTTTGGTTAAACCACCCCCCTTTTTCACAAAAAAAAATACCCCCTTATCTTTTTTAGTCGGGTATAAAAATATACAGACGAAGTATTAAATACTCTTTCTTGTCGTATTTTTCCTATGCCAGAAAAAATGTAGCCATCGAATGTATAATGTTTTTTTTAGTTTGGGGAGCATTATTAAGATTGGGGTTTATTCTTTTTGCTTTTAAAGGGCATACAAATCGAGCGCAAAAGCTTTTCTTTCGTACGTTTTGGCGATTCACTTTCTTCTGTGTCTGTCGCCTTCCATTCATTTTTCTCTCGGACTCTTGCTTCTACGCTGGCTGGCAGTCTGTATTTATGCAATTTTGTTGCACCTCTCTTCATAAAGAGGGCGTTTGCTTGGCGCCAACTTTTCTGCCGGCATTAAGATTTATGTGCAGATTTTGTAATTCAAGCCACGCGACTCACAGGCGACTTTCGTTGCCGCCAGATACCAGAAGCAACAACAACGGGTTGTCCAAAAGAGTGAAGAGTGGCGCGCGAAGAGACCAGACCAGACAGAGTGGCAGCTTGTTAGCAAAACAAACAAAATTAGCAGGTGGTAGGGGAGGGAAGGCCAGACGGAAAAGCCTCACGGCTACGGATAGACCAAACCAAACCAAACCAAGACAAGACCGTCGCTGGCTGCTGCTACCTTGTTAAGAACTTTCACACGCACAAGAAATTCCCCGAGAACAGCTAAAGGCCCAAATGAAGACATTTTGACGATGCCAGTGCCGAGATTCGAGACAAACAAGCACGAAACAGACAGCTTGGCACACTTCATATTGGTCAAGTTGTTATAATTAATGCTTAAAAAGCCATTTAGTCACGAAAAAATGAAAAGATTTTTCAACCTGTTTCCGCCTGGGATCGAACCGGGTGCCTTCTGCGTGTAAGGCAAACGGAAACATTTTTAATACGTGAATTCCCCTGCCTAACACGCAGAAGGCCGCCGGATCGATCCCAGGCTGAAACAGATGAAATACCTTGTCTGTCTTCTTTTTTATTTTCAAGTTAAATAAATCAGAAATATAATTTAAGAGTCGAATTGAAATCTTGGAAAATAAAAAAGAATACTTTTATATTGCTTGATAACGACTATAATAGTAAATCTTGGATACAGGAAAGTGAAAAAATATTGCTGTTCAAAAACTCAAATGCAGCAATTCATGCTGTCATAATCATGTAATTAATGTCTTTTCATTGATTTTTATGCTACATGAAAAAACATTTTCATGCTGTATGTGCAAATTTGTTTCATACAATAAAATCAAAAAGAAGAAAAAAATTAAATTTCTATCGCAGCCGGTAGGATTCGAACCTACGCTCCCAGAGGGAATCTGATTTCGAGTCAGACGCCTTAACCACTCGGCCACGACTGCTTGTGGAAGCGTCATGTCCAAAGCGGAATATAGCAGAGATTGCAAGCAGCGTTCTCTTCCAATTCTTGCACTCCACAGTGTTAGTTTTAAGGTTTGAAGCTTTGTGTCAAATTATTTAGAATCCAGGTTAATTTCCTTCCACTAATTGTAATGGAATGCTTTGGCAAATATTATTACTTCCACAAAATAACGCAGATGAATGAATGAAGGCCATGAAAAGTAGTGATTTATTGCCCCTTTTTCTCGCCGTTATATTTCTGTGATAGTTTTATTGTCGCCGCCATATGGGTTGCGTTTTTTTTTTTAACAAATGTCTGGCTGTATGAAATGATTTTTCAGACAACAGCATCTCTGGCGGTGTCCCACTGACAGACTGACTGATTGAGCGACTTGTTGCATTATTAAAACCGAATGAATTCATTTGCTGTGTGACCTTATGGCCACTCGGCGGCATATCACACTTGAGACGATGGAACAGCTCCAGATACAGCACCCCCCTGTTCAGCTGTCTGTACTGTGCTCGATGGAGTGGAGGAGATTACGTAAGATTTCTTCTTTGGTTGCGCGATAATTGAATACTTGGGAAATTTAATTAACGCCAGCGTAGACGAATATGTGTATGTGTGTACATATATGTACATATTAACGTATGTATTGTTGTGTGAAAATGATGTACGATCACTGAAGTGCTTTGGGTCAATTTGGTTTGCAAAGTGGTTTGATTTTTTGGCTTTAATATTATGTTCTATTGTAATGTTTGACTGCATGTTTCTGCTTCTATTCCTCTCTCACTATTGGCGCTCTCAACATTCTTGTGTTGTCTGTTTTGGGGCCACACTGGCACACGACGCTACAGCTACCCATTGAAAGACATGGGTGTGTCCGCGACGTCGTCGCCGTCGCCAAACAAGTGTGATGTAATTGCATAATGTCAACAAGAGTCAGGCGGCGGCAAACAAACCGCGGCGCTGACAGGGCAGGCCAGGCCAGGCCGGCGACGGCGGTTCGCCGCGTCATCGATGGCGTCGCTGTGGCGTTAGCTGTTCCTAAATTTAATTGTTTTCTTCCGCACAAAAAGGTCAGAAAGAGAGGAAAAAGGAGAAATAGAATGGGGAGAAAAGAATGTGGTGTCTTGTCTGCAGCATTGACAAAGTTCAATAAACTAAAATGTTTTGATATTTATGCTCAAATTGGGATTTACCAAATCAATTGGTTGATCCATTGACACTGTTGACTATATTGGCCAACCAGTGTTGCCTTATCTCAGTGGAAATGTCTTGAAAAACATTAGAGAACAAGTTTAAAGGCATTCTTCCCTCTCTCTCTCTCTCTCTCTTCGTTCCTCAATTCACGTAGTTAACTCAAGTCTCTGCCTACGCAAATTTATAACTCTTTTTGTTAGGGCTACTCTGTTGGGAGGATGAGATGATGATCAGCCTACGCAGCAATTGTGGATTCTTGTTGGGGATCTTACTCCATACGCCCACACTGTCACTCGCTCGGGAGAGTGCACTTAAAAAGCGTTTATTCAGCATTATTCCGTTTGATTGCAGCCAAAACAACGTGATGGTCCCAGCACCCACGCACCCTGTCATGCAAGGCGAAAGGGTTGCCCCTAGGGCAATGAATAGCAAAGTTCAATTACCTTAGCATCACGTTAATTCTATAAGAATTGGTTGCCATCATGTGCAAAACTCTCTTGTCATTTTTGCAATTGTTTTCCATTTCCATTCCATTTATCAAAAAAAAAAAGGGAACAAAAGCAGCCTCCCATGGTAATAGTGCTTGCAAAGGCAGAGCTATGCCTGCCTCTCTAAATTAGCTTATTTCAGTAGAAATTTGTACCCAAGAAACGTGGGTGAAGGGAGCGGGATCATCGGAGGGAATTGGGTCAGCATAATTAATATTACTCGTAATTATTGGCTGCCTTTGTTGTGCCAGAGTGTGTCATACAAGAGGAGGGTGTTCCCCTTTCTTCAGCTGAGCCAAATAATTGTTTAACGATTTGTTTTCTCAGCCGCTCTCTGCTGATGATGACATTTTCTAGATGGTTTTTTGTTTATTGCATTTGTTTATACGAGTACGAGTCGATATCCCCTTGCGGCACCAATACACCAGCAAACAGGGTGCAAATTGAAGGTTAATACTCTACTCGTAGTATCTAGGATCCGATCCGAAACACCACGCCTAACATTTAAAGAGCACACAGCATTTTTTGTCGGTCTTGTGTTTATTTATTTTCGATGTGCCTCTTCTCTCTTCGCTCGGTTCTGCTTGTTGCTTTTCTTAGTTTTGATTTCCGAGGCATTTATTTAAAATTTGTAAGAAGCAAAATGGATCTTAAAATAGTTTTTTCTGTGAGTTTCTATCTGCGTTGCCCCTGCTTTGGCTTGTCGCGCTGGTCGTCGCACGTGGGCAGGAAGGAAAGAAAGTGTGTGGTGGGTTTTCAAATGGATTTCCTTCCCCCCTGTTTGTGTAAAGTGTCAGGCTGGGAAGTAAATTTTCTTTTTCTCTTTTCTTTTCTTTTTAGCCCAAAATTAGAAATTAAATAAAGTGAAATATGCGGCACAACCCCCTCCATCTCCTCTCCCTCTCTCAAAACAGTTTGTGCCATTCACAGTGAACGCAAGCAGTGTATGCTCTCTCAGCTCGCTCTCTCGCTGAAATTTTGGGTGGTTGTGTTTGCCCGCTCTCTCCGTTGCCACCCCCTTTTTTCCATTTCGCATGTGTGTGTGTGTGGGTACATAACGGGAGCAGTGTGGAACCGTTGCTCTGCCGTTTTTAAGGTCAGTTGAAAATTTTCCAGCTGAGCGTAAAGTAAGCCTTAAAAGAATTGTGAACGAAAAAAATGTCTGATATAAATTTTTCGTTGCCCCTTTTCTTTGCAGCATTTAAACTGAAAACTAGAGGAAAATAAACGGAAGGAAGAAAACATGACTGAAGTCGAGCAACCGCCACAAAATGGCATAGACCCAACCGCCGGCAATCACGACGAGGACAGAGCGCGTCCCGCGGACATTGAACAGGTAAGTGCTGCAGATGAACCCTCATCTCACCCTCAACCTAACACTGGGCCACTCTTCCACAGGATATGCGCGAAATGGAGCGCCGCAAACGCGTCGAGGCCATCATGGGCTCGAGGCTGTTCCGCGAGGAACTGGAACGCATCGTCGATTCGGCCCGTGAGGGTGGTGGCGGAGCCAGCGGCATACTGCAGCAGCTGTCGGACATTGTGGGTGTGCCGGTGAGCCGTGGCAGCGCATTCAAGAGCAGCAGCTGCATGGTGCCCATCAATGACATACGCGGCGTGGAGTCCATGGGCTATGCCAAGGGCGAGAAAATTCTCCGCTGCAAGCTGGCTGCCACATTCCGTCTGCTGGATTTGTACGGCTGGACACAGGGTCTGGGGGCACAGATCACCGCACGCCTAAAGGTCGACCAGGAGTATTTCCTGGTTAATCCGTACGGCCTGCTCTATCACGAAGTCACTGCCTCGGCGCTAAACAAGGTGGATATGCAGGGTCAGATTGTGGAGCAGGGCACCACCAACTTTGGCGTGAACAAGAGCCGTAAGTCGCACAATCACCACCCACCACTTCCCAGTTACAACCTACCACTTTCCGCTCAACAGACTTTGTCCTCCACTCGGTGGTGCATGCAGCACGCCCCGACATTCGCTGCGCCATCTACATTGGCTGCAGTTCAGTTGTTGCCATCTCTTCGCTGAAGACCGGCCTGCTGCCACTCACCAGGGATGCCTGTGTATTGGGCGAGATCACCACGCACGCGTACACGGGTCTGTTCGATGAGGAGGAGCGTAACCGCCTTGTCCGCAGCCTGGGGCCCAACTCCAAGGTCATACTGTTGGCCAATCACGGCGCCCTATGTTGCGGCGAGACCATCGAGGAGGCCTTCTTCGCCGCCTGCCACATTGTGCAGGCGTGCGAGACGCAGCTGAAGCTGCTGCCCGTGGGTGTGGACAACCTGGTGCTTATTCCGGAGGAGACGCGCAAGATCATCTACGAGCAGTCGCGCCGGCCCCCAGAGGACCTGGAGAAGAAGTTTGCCGCCGTCACGGCTGCCGAGGATGGAGGAGCCACTGCCAAGGAGCCCGCTGTCGCCGAACAGGCAGCACCCACGCCCAAAATAGGCAGTCCGCCCAAGTGGCGTGTTGGGGGAGCCGACTTCGAGGCCCTTATGCGCATGCTGGACAATGCTGGCTATCGCACAGGCTACATCTACCGCCATCCCCTGATTAAATCGGATCCCCCCAAGCCCAAGAACGACGTGGAGCTGCCACCGGCCGTGTCATCTCTGGGCTATCTGCTTGAGGAGGAGGAGCTCTTTAGACAGGGGTAAGCAATGTTATAAATTCGATAATCGAACTATTTTTATACCTCTAATATCTCTTACAGCATCTGGAAGAAGGGAGATCTGCGCAAAGGAGGCGACCGCAGTCGCTGGCTAAACTCACCGAATGTGTATCAGAAGGTCGAAGTCCTGGAGACCGGCACCCCCGATCCCAAGAAAATCACAAAGGTAGAGATCATAACTTTTGAAGATTTAAACCAGACCACGACAACGTCCACCACACAGCAGCGGAATGTTGCTAGCCTTAAGGAGATTGAAGGGAATTAGTTGAGCGCCAACCCATACCCGAAATACCCACATTACCCAGACATTCCACTTGCTCCTGCTCCATTTATGATTTCCCCTTTAGTTAGCTTCAGTTCAGTTTCGACTCTGAAACTAAACTGCCAATATATACACGCATAATATTTCTGCCTAGCCACTAAGTAAATCAAAGTAATCGTCTAAACTATTAGAACACATATATATTTATATACACAGTCTTATATATTTTGAAAATAGATTTTTAAATCGTGCTCTTTTAGTCAAGATATTTTACCCGCTTTGCCAGCAAACGAATTCTGTAATTTGTGCATTAAATTACCCAAATAAATATTAAACTTAAAACCGCAAAAATAACTCTTGCATAGATGGATGATTTTGTGCCGCCTCCTTAAGGGGGTTTCCTCTGCTGTCTGTCTCTCTGCTTTTCTTCCACTGTAACGATAAAGATAACGAATTGAACGAATGCTCTGTAAAACAATGCAAAGAAAGAGAAAGAAATTTGTTATTAAGTATTTAATCATTCAAATACAAAAAGTTTCATTTTATTCATTTCAAAAACATTTTCCATTCACTTTCCACTTCATTTATTAACAAATTTGTTTGTTATGCTGATATTTAATCAACATTTTTCTTTGCATGTTTTATGGCTAAAATTTAATTTATTTTTTTGTTTTTTTTATTTTTTTTTTTTTAATGTTGTATGCATTTTTTTTTTCATTTGTTCCCAAGGCACAAAATCATTTTCGATTGTTATTTTTGTTATTTTAAGAACCTATTCGATAGTAAAATAGTTTGGAAAAAAAACTGCTCGCAATTGAAAACCTAAAAAAGTGTATTTAATTTATATTTAAGACTGAAAACCAAACATGTATACGCTGTATACCCTCCTCAGCAATCATTATGTTTGGATTACAAAATCACCTGTTTAACGACTATAGACAGCATTTTGATATGTACATAAATATTTTAGATATATATCGGCCCCTAAATTAAACAAATTTCTTTCTCTTTCTTTTCTACCTGCATTGTCCTACCTACCCCTGTCCCCCACACCAAACAAATTTGTGTGTGTGTGTGTGTGTAAATTGAAAACAATAACCTTCAAAGTGGGTTGCTGAGGATTCACCCACCCATTCGACGCCCGTAAGGATCGAAGATCCGCTGCAGTTTGTGCCATGTGGAACGAATACCAAGGAGTTTAAGCGCGTGCAACAGCAAGTCAGTATTAAGTCATTCAGTTAATTCAATTCCCATTTAGATCGTAGACTATACATTATATATAATTGTGTGTGTGTGTCAAAAAACCAGATCAAGGATAACCGACGTGCGGATAAAATCTCAGCTGGACCACAATCTCACATACTGGAGGGCGTGACCTGGGACGAAGCGAACCGCATCAAAGATGCCACTGTCTCGCAGGCCGGTGATCATGTGGTGCTAATGGGTGCCGCCTCCAAGGGCATCATTCAGCGAGGCTTCCAGCATAATGCGACTGTATACAAGGCGCCCTATGCCAAGAATCCCTTCGACAATGTGACCGACGATGAACTGAATGAGTACAAGCGGACGGTGGAGCGCAAAAAGAAGAGCATTCATGGCGAATGTAAGTGTGCAACAAAGTTTATATCATATAATATCGATATCATATGATTCATTAAAATATTTTGACATTTTTCAGATACCGATACGGATTTTTCGGAATCAGAGGCTCTTAATTCGATGCAGGCAGCAGGAGCTTTAGCTCATGCAAAACATGCACAGAGCGAACCAGAGACGGGTATGCCATACCATCATCCATTTTTCTATATAAGATTTGCATTAATAACCAACTTAATCTGATATCCATTTTAGAACACCAAATCATACAGATTCAAACGCAACAGGCGCCCATTCCCAGCCAAGCGGAAGTTGTTTTAAGCGATGGTAAGTCCATCCATGTTCTCTGCTCTACCATTTATGTTTTGATATTAGTTCAGAGGCTCGTACCATGATTTACACTATGTACTCCAATACCAAACACAATCAAATCATGCCTACAGAGTTATTGTCTTTGCTTAGACAATTATATGAACAAAATTTCAATTTTCAGATGTTTTATGTTTTTTTTAAATTTGTCTTATGTCTTTATGTCTTTCCCTTGTTATCCCATTCCATTCCTTTGTATGCATTTGTTTTATGTTTGTATCAGTTAGTTTTTACGTTTATAAATTACTTTTAATTGGTCAGGAATCGATGATATATTATTTATAAATCAAACGTAGTTATGTTATGTTTTGTTATTATTTTATGGATCTACTAATTTAAGGCATTTATTACAATTCTATGCATAACTTTAATTATTAGACTTATAACATTTGATCCTAACTGTTTTTTCTTATGCTATTTTCCCCTTTATTTATTTTTTTTATATCGGCATAACACACAAACACACACACGCCTATAAATGAATTTACAAATAATACGAAAACCACTAATAGTTAACAAAAAAGTACTCGTTGCACTTGATACAGTCTCGACCTCCTTTCTTTGAGAAGCGTAACCAAAAATCAACGCCAAATTTTAAATACATACTTTCATTACACTACCATTGTTACTGTACTGTACACCTTTTATGCTGCAGTTTAAAAGCTCCTAAGAAACGGTCCAAAAACTGTTTTAGTTAGTTATGGGATCATTCTGCTTCCGTTTTAGCCCATACATATTTTTGCATAATACTTATTCATACTACTCGCGTTACTTCTATATGTGTGTACATATGTATATGCTATATGTAATTATTTAAATACTTTTTGATGCCAAGGAACAAGCAACTGTTGTACGCCGTGTATTAAATGATTATTATTTTCAACGATCAACAACGAATCACAGCACAACTACCACAACAACCAATATAATACAACAAGAGAAACGCAAAGCTATAGATCAGATCAGCGGTGGTTAGTAATCCAACAACAACAACAGCAACTACAACAACCACTTATCAGAGAATTCTACTTACGCTTTGTACATATGTAGGTTGTTTCCATTCTCGGGCATTCTCTTTGGCATTATTGAGCTTGTGCGTCTCGAGTCGAGCATTCAATGTGGGAGCGACGTGCCCACCGCTGATATATATAGAACAGAGCCATGTTGGACAGAACAGAACATGCCCTCGTTTGCGTATTAGTTCGGTTTATAATTTGGCGACTAATAGAAAACAAATCAATGGTAGCTCAAAGTTGAATTCAAATTCATTTCACAAATGTGTTCAGGGCTCCAAAAATAAAACCAATTACATAAAAATGTAATATAAACATAAAGTATAAAGTATAAACCAGATACCAACAACAAGAACAACACCAGCCACGAAGCTATCAACAGAACAGCAAAAAAAACCTGTACTTCTACTACCACTACATATACTACCTTTTCTACTACCACTTCTACTACTACTCGTACTACTACTACTGCTGCTGCTGCTGCTGCTGCTGCGCTCTATACTCGTAGTGTAACCAAAGTCAGCTTAAGAAAAAAAAAACAGATAAAACAAAATATTTGTGCTAGAGGTGAGTGCAGCCCCCGAAAGGTTTAGTGTGTAGAAACCCACAGAAAAATCGAGCAACGAAATTTATTCGTAGCTTTAAATGTAGTTTTTAGAAAACAAAAACAAAACAAACATTCGCATAACATTGCATTTAAACATCTGCACACTAAATTCCATTCGACATTCGATATGACAATGTTAACTGCTGCCTGCCTGCCTGCCAGCCTACTCGTATGGGCTTGCCAAAGAACTTTCTGTTCTGTCTGGTTTGGTGTGGTGTGGCTTATATTTTGTGTTTGGCAGAGCGCGCTGTTTTATCATCATTTTCAATCAGCCAATCAATCCAATCATTCTTCAGGCGGATATCTTAGAATTAGCATCATTCTACATTCCAACTTGCATAGCGGAGCAGCAGCATATTCTGAGGAATTCTTTGGCAGTTGCCCTGCCCTGCCCTGCCTATTACGCAGCTGTTTTTCTGTTGATTGCTTCCTTAGTTGCGTAGCTTAGCCTTTTAGTCGATACTAATGCACATCTATCCAGCATTCAGCATTCAGCATTCAGCATGCTTGCTTAATCAATACTAAACCTAAACACCTTTCAGCTCACTCTACACTAAGTATTTGCTAGTTTTAAGGCATTTATTTACGTCTGTTTTGAAATTATTTAAAGGTTCTACACGCCGTTCGTTCTATGTGCCTTGCCATTTAATTTAATTGTATTATTTAATTTCTCAATACTATTTTAGCCACACTTAGTTTTATAAATGGCGAACGCTCTCATACATCAACAAATCGAAAGCCGCCAACAGGCCGAGGTAACAAAATTCCACCCTAAAAAAAAAAACTTTTACTTCAATGTACTCAGGCTAAACGCCCCATAAAGCACATCCATATATGTACATATATATAATCCAAACTAATTTGCAAATTGTACTCTTTAAGTGGTGTATTTTTGAATGCATACATAACCCTTCTATATACTCGTATATAATCCACCAATATACCAAACAAAAAGCACCAAAACTAAACCCTAGCTGTAGTTCCCATCCTAGCGATTCTGTTCATACGGTTAGATGATAGAATATCATTCAGAATTCTTGGTTTGGTGTTAGTTTGAATCATCATTACCACCCCATGGAATATTGGCCAGGAATATTCTATTATTTGCACCCAAGTTTCAGCCTAGGTACAGCAGTTATTGGATATACATACACTCTTATACATCCAAATATTCAAATACGTATCGAAATCTATCTATGTATGTTTGTATGTATGTACCACTCTCGTATGTATTGATCGAGTCCCAGGCTCTGTCTGGGTCTCCTCCTCCTCCTCTTTGAGTATTTCTCCATAGATACTAATTGTACTACACCTCTTTGGCTCTTCTCTCCATATTTTCGTCTTGCATTGTTAAGGTTTGCAAGTCCATGAGAGGTCGTCCATGGGTGAGGAGACACCCCACAGTCCGGATGCGAACAACAACGAGCATGAGGTGGACAAGGAGAACAACCAACTGCCGAATAGAAGCGTCTCTTCGACTAGCAAGTGTCGCCGCGATCTATTCCCAGCCCCAAAAAGCGATCCTCCTACGATTGAATTAGATATGGGGTCGGTCTCTGGGTCTGGGTCCGGGTCTGGGGTTGGGGTTGGGGTTGGCGACTTGGCACAGCACCTGGTTACTGCCCAACAGGGGCAGGACCAGCTTTATTCTTATGTATATGCAGCATCTGCCGCCGCCTCCTTGGCGCAATGCTCTCAGCCGGAGATTTGCTCGGCCCTGCTGAGGACCCTTCATGCCGAGCAGTTGCTCAATCTGGCCACCTTTTATCGCTGCTCGAATGGCCCCTCCAGTACGGGCACGGGCACGACCACGACCACGAGCACAGGCTCCACCAGCACAGTTCGGCGCCCACTTGAACCGCCCAACGGCAATCTTAATCCCTTGCCGTACCGAACACTTTCGCATTTTGGATTCCAGTCGCCCCGGCAGATACCATCCATGTCCCACAAGCATCTGCCCGACCAGCGTTACGGTTTCGCCGCGCTGGGCTATCGGCCCATGCAGCGGGCCATCAGCTACGAGGAGATCTTCGCCAGTCCGCGCTACGAGCAGCTCTGCCAGCCGTGCATCGACCAGCTGCTGCGCCTCAAGCCGGAGTTGCAGCGGCTGCGCGGATCCAACAGTTGCTGCTGCGAGGAGGAGCTGGCCAGCATGCCCAGCAGCTCTGTCACGCCCAAGCAGCGAAGACTGGCACCACTGCCCGAGATACCCGGCATTCCGCATCAAGATGCTAGCACGCAGACGCCGCTTCGGTCCACACACTTTCTCAGCGAAATCGAACGCTTCAACTTCTCCGATGAGTCGACAAATGTGGGCTTCACGCCAGGTCTGGCTGCCATCACCAGTGACTTTAGTTTGCCAGGCTTGGAGGGCAGCCCGGGCGCCAGTGCGACGAGTGCACCGCCGGCCAGAGTTTATCCCGCAAAGGAGCCGGGAACGGGTATGGGTACGGAAACTAACATAACCGAGGTGTGGAACTTTGGCAACTGGCAGCAGCCAGCGGAGCAGAATCCAGCGGATGCTGCTGAAGGGAAGGTGGTGGAGTTTCGCCAACAGCCGCTCACCGAGCGTCGTATTACCCTGGAGATTACGCAGCACTTCCAGCCGCCTGGGGAGGAGCACGAACAGGAGCAAGAGCAAGAGCAGGAGCAGGAGCGCCAGCTAATGACACGCGATGAGCGCCAGCGGCGCAAGTCCGAATTCCAAGAGCTCTGGCAGGATCACGTCCAGTACTTTGGGGACAAGGAGAAGGTGCAACAGGAGCCGCCGTCGAAAGTAGAGCACACCCTGAAAATGAGCCTGGATGAGCAGGAGGTTAGGGCTTTGCGGGCCAATGGCTGGCTGGGCCATGAGGGGGAGCCAGCGACGGAAGAGAATCAAGCTGAACATCCGATGGCCGAAGCTGTGTCTGCTGTGTCTCTCCCTTCGCACGACGACAATGCCGCGCAGATCGACAGAGCTACTCCCGATGCGGCCGATGAGCTGCCGCAAATGCTGAAAGATTTCGAGGAGAGCCTCAGCCTGGCCGGCGAAAATCTGCAGAAACTGGTGGCAACCACCAAAAAGCTGCAATCCCTGCAGGTGGAGGCTGCTGAAGAGCCAGAAACAGGTACCCTCTTCCGTTCGATCAGCTTGGAGAACATTCCCAATGCGAGCGACTCGGTGTGCCTGGTGGAACGGATGGTGGAGCTAGACCTGGACATGAGCGATTCATCAAACGAATCCATCAACAACTTGGAAGAGAAGCATGACGATGAGAAGCCGGTCACACCCGTTCTGAACGACCCGGAAGAGGCCACGGAAAAGGAGAAGGTCCAGATTGAACGCAACGATGAGAAGGATGTCGATGAAAATGAAAATGAGACAGATGGCGAGGGCGAGGGCGTGATCGAGATGGAAGGCGTCACCAGTAGCTTTCAGTCGGCAGAAGCGACTGAGGCAGAGCACTTCCATGGGGCGGAGATCCCTGTCAGATACCAACCGCCACAGGACAGCGAAACCTTCTCACCGCTGGAGCTGGAAATCCTGGAGCGCATCGAGGTGGACAAACTCAGCGAGAGCGAGCCAATCTTTGGCAAAATTGATCACAGCATTCGCAACAAGCTGACGCCCAAGAAGCTGCAGCATCTGGTCCGCGAGGAGATATTCCGCACCTGTACGCGCGTCTACACCCGTCCGAGTCCGATCTCACCCAGCACCACCTCTTCCCTGTCCATGCACAACATCAGTGCTCCGTGTAGTTCCACGGCCCATACGCACCTGCTGACGCGACCCTGTCCTCGACTATCGCAATCCTTGTCGCATCCCCAACAGCAGCAGCAGCAGGAGGAGCGACAGGAGGAGCAGCAGGAGCAGTCGGACGAGAGGGACACCCCATCGAGTACCCCTCTGCAGCGTACCATCTCCTCCACGACCTTCGTGTGCCGTCGCAGTACCCACAGGAAGCGCAATTTCATCCAGGAGAACATACGAAATGTCGCAAAAACGCGATCGGCCATAAAGCCCTCAAGCAGTTCGATCCAAAAGTCGAAGAGTCTCGCCCAGCCCACTAGCACTGCCAGTTTGTCGTCCGTGTGCACCTTTGAGATCGGCCAGAGGGAAAACGGGTCGCGTCTTTGGGTGTCCCTACCCACGCCACCGCGTGCACCCGTTAACCAGAAGCGGCATTTTGCCACCAGTCCAAACACTCCGCGACAATCGCCACGCAGTCCGTACTCGCCACGGGGCAAGCGACGCAAGGCGGGGGTTTTTCTTACGCCTGTGCGTCGCTGTGCCATGAATCCGGCCGTGAATCTTGATCTGATCTCCTCGGACACATCGCTCAGCTACTCGTTGAACCGCACCCTCTCGAGCAGCACGTTCTGTGTGAGCCCCGAGGCGGATAACGTTTCCACAACCACATTCGAGGTGGACTGCAGCCAGGATCAGGCGCAGGCGCACGAGCAGGAGCTGGAGGATCCGAGTGTCTCCACACAAAATGAATCTTCAGCGGCAACGCGAGCAGAATGCCAGAATGGGAATGCCAGCACCAGCAGCATGTACTACAGTGCCAGTGACAACACTCAGGATCAGGAATCGGTACGATCTGTCGAGAACGGGGGAGAGACATCCTTTACAAGCGATAATGCAACGGAGGAGGAGACGACTACCAATGATATCCAGGCGAATGGAGACACAGATTTGGAGAAGAGCTCCTCCCAAGTGAAAGAAGCAGACACTGAGACATCCTGCAACAGCTCTGAAGGGATGCCATCAATTGAGGTGGAGGTTCATGTGGAAAGTTGTCAGACAAGCCAAGATCCTGCTGAAGAGAATTCATCCTCGTTGGACGAATATCGTCAAACGAGTATGAAAGAAACCCCCGTGGAGGCCGCCGACTCGAATGTTAGTAGCTCCACTTCATTCAAAAGTGTCCTCGAAATGTCCCCTCAAAGTGGAGTCGGAGACTCGGAAACAACTCTAATAACAAATCAGTCTGAGTGCTCCGATGGCGAGGCAGATGAAACGAACGACCCCGATACTAAAACAACTTCCGATGACGGGGAAAAAGAATCCAGCGTTGTCGATGGAGAGCTACAGCGGATTGAAACTGGCTCTATGGAGGATTATCCCACTGAAACTGGGGCCCCGACGCATGAGGATGAAATTTCTGGCAGTGTGGACGAGGAGATACCTTCAAGTGGCTTAGAATCCAATTCAATGCTCACCGAAGAGGAACTCCGCGAACTGGCCGGCGGTGGCGGCTATGAGGATACCCTCGAAATGGTCGTCGAGGAGGGCGACGAGGAGCAGGAGGGAGGGATGACCCCCCAGAGCAGTGCCGTTGAGGTGAACTCGTCTGGCTATTCACTGGGGAAAGTCTTTGAGAGCCATATGATTCATCAAAGCATGAAGATTCAGAAGCACAGTTCGGTCTGCAGCGCGGACGACAGCAGCATTGAGGCAGTTATCCCTGAATGTGGAAAAGATGACGAAAAACCAGAGACCTCAAAGGGAAACAAGAAACGCAAGACTGGTGGAGCGGTAACCGTCTCCTCGGATGATGATGAGGATGATGATGAGAAAGTAGTTCTGTCAACGAGTTGCACTTTACACGGCATGCAAATCCATGTGTGGGATGAGAAGAAAGAAGATATGACAAATAAAGATGATGAAGATAACGATAAGTGAACGGATCCAACTGATTTAGAGTCAACACAGAGCCGAGCAAATCCCCAAAATACATAAATATATATTTCTACTCATTCCTATCCACTTTTATTCACTGTTTTTCTCTACTCATTTGCTGTGTCCAAACTGTCTGCCAGTCTGCCCCCCCTCTCTCAAATCTGTCAGATATTTTCTATTTTTGTAGGTCTTTAAGGAAGAGCCATCTTCTTACCGTTCTTAGCTAAGGCTTGGCAATGAAAGGAATTTTGAGTTTTAAACACTTATGCACTTTTAACACACACACACACACACACACACACATATGTATTCTAATCACTTCATTTACGCTAACCTAACCCAAAAGTACAATTAATTAATAATGTGTGTATGGGCACAAGGTTTGTATTTATAGAAAATATTAAAAATAAAGGTTTATTTTGTAATATATTTTTGCCTATGCTATAATTATTATTATTTAAATGGCTTAAGGTTTAATGTAACAATGCTCCAGAGGTCCTCCAGTGTTTGCGTCGAGAGTCCCGTTGGCAGCCACGTCCCATATTGAGTGGAATCTAGAATCCTCATCGTAATTGTTTTTGTCTGCGTTTTCGTGATTGTTTCGTGCTGTAACCCCCCGCCATATCTATCCCCCCGCCACATACACATGCATTTATACTCATACTCATACACATACTCCATCTCCACTCCAACATGCACATGCTCCTCCCCTCCACACCCCCACTCTCTCACTTTCAGAGGTCAGGTCATATTTGACCCGGAAATATGCATTTCTGTGGGAGCCCGGGCAGTATCTCGATGCCTGCGTCGGCGCCACCCATCGGCTGCAGCAGGTGAATGTCATATACAAGGTAGATGCCGTCAGCAAGCACAACTATCCCCCACTCAACAACAGTATCGATCCCCATAATACGACCATGGAGAGGAATACGACGAGCGTTTGGGTCGATCTGGCCAGCAGTACACCGGTGAATGGTCGCCCCGTTGAGTCTTCGAATGGCGGCGAGATGGGGACAGCCCCATTCCGAACCATCTCCCACTATGGCTTCAATTGTCCACTGAATAGTGCACCCAGCATTATGCTGCATCCGGAACACAAATCCATTTGGCAAACGGTGTCTGAGCAGCGGCAGAAGGTCTTCTCCTTCATTGATCTGGCAACCCTGACCAAGGAGAAGCGGAAGATGCTCAATGTCCTGACAGCAGCAGCAGCAGCATCAACTACAACATCGACAGTCAACAAGCAGCAGCCATTGGCGAATTCGTCACCCTCCTATGTCTCGGAGAAGCAGATTCAGCTGGAGCCAACGCCGCCCAAGCGGAAGCAGCGGGTTTACAGTGCCACGGCAAGCAGTGGCAGGAGCTTCGATGATTCCATGGATGAGCTGGAGTCGATGTTGGGCTCCATGACTGTGGCCAGCCCCCAAAGGCAGCCGCAGTCTCACGACTATAGTCTCTATCGCAGCTACAACTTTTTGCCCAGGGACCATGCCCTGCCAGTGGACACGGACACGGACGCGAATGGGAACGGGGTGGGGCATCGCAACCGGCCCGAGGCAGAGCAGGGCATATACCAGAACGGCGACGACAGCGGCTTGGGTATGCATCAATCGTCGGGGCGGCGAGAACGAGCCACCACGAGTAATGGTTCGTCAACGCAGGAGGCCGAGGCCTGTACGCCGGGCAAACATGTCAGGTTGACCTTGAGCAGCTCGCCCCTGGCTGGCAGTTCATCTCCGACCCCCACGACCATTGAGGTTCTCATCAATGTGTCGCTGCGCAACGCCGAGTGCGTCCAGACGGTGCAGACCCACGAGCAGGAGTTCCGGGCCAAGCTGGAGAGGGTCATCGACGAAGAGATCCACTACATCTCACAGCAGCTGGCCACGCAGCAGCGAACGGCTCAGATACTGCAAGCGCAACCAGCCTCGACACGTGCTCCGCTGGCCCCGCCCACGCCCTCACCGTCGCAGTTGCTGCAGCGCAGCAATTCGGCTCCGGCCCTGTGCCACGCCTACAGCTATGTGGACCTGGCCGAGTCCGATATGGCTGCAAAGCCGGCGCCTTTAGCTATTTCAGACGGCGGTGCCGGTACCGGTGCCGCCTCCGCCTCCTCGTCTCCATTGGTATCCCCGGTGGAGGAAGATCAAAATTGTCATCTCAGCTCGTTGGAGAATGAGTTGCAGCGATTGCTGAATAATGTCATTAAAGCCCATATGCTGCACAACCAGGCCTTCATTACGGATTGCCGTGCGCGCTTTTCGCAGCTAGCCGAGGGGCTGGCCTCCGGCGAGATATCCCCCATTTAAATCTTTCAATAATTACTGAATCATAATTAATATTTGTGAATTTTTAAGTTTTCATTATTGTTTAAATTTAGTTTTTTTTTTTTATTTTCAAATATATCGAAATTGTTATTATTGGCCTTTAAATATTTTAAGTTTTAATTAAATAATTGCCCAAAACTGCCTCAAACGCAATCACTATCGACGAGGAACAGGTAACCTTTTTGCATTTATCATTTATTTATGTGTTGCCTGCCCATCGCCTGCTGTTGCACTTGCACTTGTATTATATTAGTTGTAGATCCATACTGCATGTCCTCTAACCCAAGATCCACAAATGTATCTACTAACACACCTCACATCACACCACCAATACATCTAATTATTGTCACGACTACTCACTACATTTTTTTGGTTAGATTGAAATTTGTGTGTTTGAACTACAATGTGTGCGTTTCATAGCGGTGAAGAGAGTGTAAAGAAATTGCTTAACATATTTTGTGTGCGTCCACTGAGTTACATTTGTAGGAACTGCCGCTTCTGGGCCTTTGAAAATCTCACTAATCATGTGTGTTTACCACTCTTTGCCTTTCCCCCAGGTGAAAACGTGCAAAATGGCGACCACTCGGAGGCACACTTGAGCACCTTCTCCCAGAGCAGTAAAGAGGTAAGCTTAAGCTATGATTAAAGATGCTCTTTCAGTATCCCGAGACAAGCCCAAACACCCGCTGTGCTGGGCTTAGTGGTTGGCAATGTGAAAACGATATTCTCAATGCAAATTTCTATTACGGTTCCAGGATGTGTCCACGGACGGATCGCCGAAGAAAGACAAAAAGAAGAAGAAGGGCCTGCGCACACCATCGTTTTTGAAAAAGAAGAAGGAGAAGAAGAAGGCCGAGGCCTAAGCTGATGCCGATCTAGAGCGACATCCGTAGCAGCAACAGCAATAGCAATCATTACACCCACCCAACACCAACAGCGGGCAAAGGCGGGGACAAGAACAATGTGTTAACGAGGGCACTAAGAGATATAAACGATATGATGAAACGACGAAAAATAAACAATAACCAGAGCGAAGCAAGCAAGCACATTGCACGAGAGACGAGATGAGAGACGAGACGAGAGAAAATAGAAGAGGCATAAACCAGCAACAAATGAGCAGCTAAAGTTGATCAAGACGCAACTAAGTAACCGAAGGCAGCAGCAGTTCAATTAGCATTCACAGCTATACATATATCTTCTAATATAAAATAAATCTATTTTTTAATTTATACGATTATCGCAGCACACACAATCTGCAACGCAAAACCCCAATAATTTTTGTATGATAAAGAGAGACTTTATTCAAATTCTCAAAAAATCGCATGCAATACCCGACACGACACCATCCCGACCGATACATACATACATATGTATGTACTTGAAGCGGGGAAATCTTCTAGATGTATTAGCGCTTAAATATACAATCTACGTAAACACATTACATAGTAATCAAAAATAACTAAAAAAAAAAATAAGCCGCAAACATGATTTTGTTTTGAAGAATTGGTAATTGAATTTTTGAAATTTTTGTGCACACATAGAAGCAGACGACGAGAGTGTGGTATTTGCGAACATAATACTTAAATGCAATATTTTTTTATAAACGCAATAAAATTGATCAAATGAACCAACACTTTGATATTCTTTACATATGTATTTGTATGTATGTTTTGTGTTTTTTAGTTTTGTTCATTCATTCAACAAAGTGAATATATAATATATACTATTTGTATACATGCAGAAATTGTATTAGGTTTTTATATAAATAATTATATATTTTTATTGACGTAAACTGTTTATACATAAATATACACACACACACACACACACACAACATATATATTTATGAAAACAAATAAATTATGGAGAAAATACAAAACACAAAGCCACACCACTCTGATATGTAAAACCGAGCGATAAATGCAGAGGAAAGCAGAAACAAAACCAATCGCAGAGTATAAGGGAGTCCCGTGAGAGATATTCCAGCATTTCTTCTGTAAGTAGATGTGCTACATCGATAAATATACTCCAGCAAAATATATATGACTGCCATAGCATGTAAAGCCTCAAGGCACAACAACAATTTAATCGCATTTCAAGTACATAATAACTAGCATTTAACCTAAAGCCAATATTTTCAAATGTTTCTGCTTTTCCCGCCCGCTTATCCACACACACACCACACATCCAAAATAATAAGCACACACTCTATATAGACAGCACATACAAACGAATGCATTGCTGAGCCTTAGACACAACAAACAAACAAAAAAAAACAATAAATATTTATGATAATTTCGAGTATATACATACTTATAAAAAGAGAAACTTGTAATGATATGATTGTTTGCACAACGACAGCAGAAGCTTATTTCTAGCAACTTTTTGCGTAATAGAAGCAAAAGAGTTTGTTTTATTCTCTCGTTAGACTAAACTTAGAAATTTGTCAACATTCTCACTCTCTGTGCAAATAATAAAAAAAAACTTAAAAAAACGGAAAAGCTGGACATCTGTTTCTTACAATTCGTTTAGATCTTAAGCAAATGCATATAATTATATTTAAAATCGTATTATATAAAATGTACACACACACACGACACACCACACAAAGAAGCAAGAACGGAATAAATAAACACTTTGAAATTGTACAAAATTCGAAATCACTTCACTTGAATACTTCAACTCAAGTTTAACCTGCTTGAAAGTGTGCATTCAAACGAGCGCGTACTGTCCCATTAGTATTTCAGCTAGGTGGCAACGCTCAAAGTTTTATCGACTCGGGCGTCGCTGCTCTCCAGGGACAGCCTTTGTTTGTCTCAACGAATTTTTTCCATTCCGTGATAAAATTTATACGACAATTAGTCATCTGAAACATAGAGCCTCAGTATCGAAATAAGAACTTAGTCTGCCAGTAAAATATAGAGTGCCAACATGTCTCTCGTAACAGATGATGAGTGGACCGAATACAAAGTAATTTAATTTTTTGGAAGCGAAGCCCGCTGCGACGCAATATTCTAAATACGTTTTTTTCCGTCCCATCCATGATTCAGGCCAAATTTAACAAGAGCTACGAGGCGGAGGAGGATCTTATGCGACGGGGCCTGTACGAGAAGGCAAAAGCGAAAGTGGTGGAGCATAATAGCAGATATGACAGCGGCGAAGTAACTTGGAAAATGGCAATCAATCATCTCTCTGATGACACGCCAGAAGAATTTGCTAAGCGGTGTGGAAAACGTTTACCTCCTAAGTAAATCTCTATGAAAAGTGCATTTAAACATGTCTGCAAACGGAATAATCTCAATTTTTATAAATATTTGTATCTGTATGTTTTTACCCAACAAACCATATACTAAACAATAAATCAGCTGTTCCACAAGTGATAGATCTGGTCACACACATTGAAGGTAAACAGTTCATTGAACTACAGTGGGTTGAATGAAATTAACAATTGCCATATTTTACCTGGATATTTTTAATTTTGCATATACGCATATATGTATACTGTCTTTTCTGGCATATGTTTTCGTACTTGTACATTCGTACATACAAAGTAAAGTGTAAACATACCAACAAATGAGCTCGTTCGGTTCATCACCGCTGATCAGAGAACCAGTTCACATTCTTCACCCAGTTCCGTTCATGAGCGACCAGTGCCGACGAGCGGCACATAAAATTTAAAACGTAAACTTTTCCTTTCAATTTTGACAAATATTTTAAGAAACAACAAATCAACGCGCACTTACAAAATCCTGACTAAAGTGCCAATCTTTTGCAGAATCTAGACAACACTAGCCACCTTGAAAGCCCAGCCGCAACCATGTCCCGAATCATGCGAGTGCCATCGATTTTGGCCAAAAATGCAGTCGCCTCCATGGTAGGTAGCCCAGACTCCTTGCACCAGGCTCCACACCGTCGCCCACCTGTCCACCTTGTTGGATGGCGATTATACAACGAGAAAAACTGATTTTATTTGCGCGTGACGTGAAGTGAAAATCTTAAGAAGTTGACCAAAAACGCGCCCCCTCGCAGTTATGTAATTTCGTTCAATTTTAATGGCCAGGTGCTCCAGATGGCCCCACTCGGAAAATAATTATTCAAAAGTGGAGAAACTACTAATTTTCTCCCCGTCATTGCGAATTTTTCAAGATTTCAATGGAAAATTTTGTGTGCAACGGGCGACGAGGTTATGTTACCTGCCCCGCCCGCCCCCGCTGTCGATGATGCCGTGTTTTGTCGGTCGGATCGAATGGCTGTGCGTGCAACAAATGCATTCAAGACATTAAATGAAATTGCCAATTGTGGAGTAGCGGCTCATTGCTGTCGGACAAGCAATGATAAGCTCAGCAAATTTCATTCCGACACACGAAAGTCCAGAGAAAGAGGGAGGCACGGCCGCGGCTAACAACCCAGCTGATTATACAATGGAGCTGGCCACTGCTACTGTTGTCTATACAACTGTTTAATTTATCCATTGCATAAGCAACTGTCGCACAGTCATTCTATGTGGAAGCACCATCAAGTCTCGCTTCTCGAGCATCGCATCCAAATCTCGAGGCTGTCGACGTCACCAGAGTCTCTGCCTGGCAATATTCCTCAGCGATGGCGCGGGCCATGGCGTGTGCGGTCTCGACTTATCTGTCAAGTTGTCGTTAATTAGCGAGCGTTTTGCCAAAACAAAACTAATGCATCTTATCGATGTGATGTACATATTTTCCGTGCATCTACGTGGGGCGTATAGCCGGACAATGGTGATAAGATATGCATAACTCCTAAGCAAAGGGTTCTTCCATGGAATCGCCAGAGCCTGTAGTTTAAATCGTTTACGTAATTATACATATTAGCAAATTCCGTTGAAATATTGTTGTTTGAAAACTGCCAATATTGACTCACTGACAAAAACCTGATTTCTCCATGAGTATATTGGCTGCCTAAACACTTTTGCTCCAACGGTCTGGTCTCATCCCAAAGCGCGGCGGGCGGGCCATTAAAACAGTCCCCTTGTAAACAGCAATCAACTAACTCTGATCCCATCTCTCTCTCTCTCTCTCTCTTTCAGCAGCGCGTCGCTACGATTGCAGGGCAACGCAGCTATCACATAACACACGGTCGGCAGCAGGCGACGGCAGCCAACCCGGATAAGATATCGAAGCAGTACCCTGTGGTCGATCATGCCTACGATGCAATTGTGGTGGGAGCCGGCGGTGCTGGTCTGCGGGCCGCCTTTGGCCTAGTGGCCGAGGGATTCCGGACGGCGGTGATCACCAAATTGTTCCCCACCCGGTCGCACACGATTGCCGCCCAGGGCGGCATCAATGCGGCGCTGGGCAATATGGAGGAGGACGACTGGAAGTGGCACATGTACGACACAGTGAAAGGATCCGATTGGCTGGGCGATCAGGATGCTATACACTACATGACCCGGGAGGCACCCAAGGCTGTCATCGAGCTCGAGAACTACGGCATGCCCTTCTCCCGCACACAAGACGGCAAGATCTACCAGCGCGCCTTCGGTGGCCAGAGCTTGAAATTCGGCAAGGGCGGCCAGGCGCACAGATGTTGTGCTGTGGCGGATCGTACCGGACACTCGCTGCTGCACACCCTCTATGGCCAGTCGCTGAGTTACGACTGCAACTACTTCGTGGAGTACTTTGCCCTGGATCTGATCTTTGAGGATGGCGAGTGCCGGGGCGTGTTGGCCCTCAACCTGGAGGATGGTACTCTGCATCGTTTCCGTGCACAGAACACTGTGATCGCCACTGGCGGCTATGGACGTGCCTTTTTCTCCTGCACCTCTGCCCACACTTGCACTGGCGACGGCACTGCCATGGTCGCTCGACAGGGCCTCCCCTCCCAGGACTTGGAGTTTGTCCAGTTCCATCCCACTGGCATCTATGGAGCCGGCTGCCTCATTACCGAGGGTTGCCGCGGCGAGGGTGGCTACCTGATCAATGCCAAGGGCGAGCGTTTCATGGAGCGGTATGCTCCTGTGGCCAAGGATCTTGCCTCCCGGGACGTCGTATCGCGTTCAATGACCATCGAGATCATGGAGGGTCGCGGTGTTGGCCCCGACAAGGATCACGTGTATCTGCAGCTGCACCATTTGCCACCCAAGCAGCTGGCCGAGCGACTGCCCGGCATCTCGGAGACGGCCATGATTTTCGCCGGCGTTGATGTAACCCGCGAGCCAATCCCCGTCTTACCCACGGTGCACTACAACATGGGTGGTGTGCCAACCAACTATCGGGGCCAGGTAATCACCGTTGACAAGGACGGCAAGGATATTGTTGTCCCCGGCCTGTACGCTGCCGGTGAGGCAGCCTCCAGCTCCGTTCACGGTGCTAATCGTCTGGGTGCCAACTCTCTGCTGGATCTGGTTGTTTTCGGACGTGCCTGCGCCAAGACCATTGCCGAGGAGAATAAGCCCGGCGCACCGGCTCCCACCCTCAAGGATACTGCTGGCGAGGCCTCTGTGGCTAACCTGGACAAGCTGCGCTTTGCCAATGGCCAGATCACCACTGCCGATCTGCGCCTGAAGATGCAGAAGACCATGCAGAATCATGCCGCTGTGTTCCGTGACGGCCCCATCCTCAAGGAGGGTGTGAGCAAAATGCAGGAAATTTACAAGCAATTCAAGGACGTCAAGGTTGTGGACAAGTGAGTGCAAGAATATTTTGATTGTGTTTCGGTTCGAGGAGATTAATTCAATCTGAACTCATTTTCAGGTCCCTCATCTGGAACTCGGATCTGGTCGAGACGCTGGAGCTGCAGAATCTGTTGGCCAATGCTCAAATGACTATTGTGGGTGCCGAGGCGCGCAAGGAGTCGCGTGGTGCTCACGCCCGTGAAGACTTCAAGATCAGACTGGACGAATATGTAAGTGGATTCGGCCACAAGTAAGCCGGCACTGGGTCTTATCGGATGTTCCTTCTTGCAGGATTACAGCAAACCCGTCGAGGGACAGGAGAAGGTGCCATTTGAGAAGCACTGGCGCAAGCACACACTCGCCTGGGTGTGCAACGACAATGGCGATGTTCAGTTGGATTACAGGAGCGTAATCGATACCACGCTGGACAACGAGGTGTCAACGGTGCCGCCAGCGATCCGCTCCTACTAAACTAAGATGATGAGATGGAGGGAGGCTGCCCGCATACACATAAACACCACAGTAAATACACGCTACACCACAAACATACACACGGATGTCTACTTAAGGGATCACAAGCTGAGGAAAGTGATTCAGAGTCGAGTCGCAAATGATGTACTACGATGTGCTATCCACGAGGGAAGGGAACTCTGCTCCCCAACGTCTTGCGATGAAATGTAAAGCCAGTGTTATCCCATTACATCCTATATAGTACATTCTCTATATATCCTATGTTGCTCCTGTTTCTATTTATTTTCTGTAAGCCCTGTATGCCCTCCACCTGATGATTACTTTTTTTCGATTGTTCTTTATATACAATTTACAATATTACATTAGCAAAATGTGTGTGATGGCATAACTGAGAGACGATTGCGACAACAAGAACCGAACAGAACGATGCTTTCCTTTGCCGTGCTTGGCCTGGCAACAAGCGAAAGAAAACAAATCCAACAAACATTTTCTAGTATTTGTTAAACTTATTAAATTATTGAAACAAAAACATGTAAAAATCCCAAAAAAAAACAAAATCAGAACTATTTGCTGGATAGCAAATAAAATGAATGAAAATGACTAGGTAGATCTTTTTAGCCGCGGAAAACATGCATCTGATTCGGCTTTACATTCAGACTCTTCAATACATCGACGGCGGCATTGTTGAAGGGGCTGGGTCCACAAATCGCTGCATAAGTACACATATCCGGCTGCTTTTCCTTGAACAGAGGAGCCAAAAGCTCGGACGATATTCGTTGCGGCTGCTCCTCCGCCTGGGACTGTATGTGGGTGCAGATGAAGCGCTCGTCCTCAGTTTGTAGATTCTGCAGTTTGTCCCTCAGCCAGATGTCCGCTTCAGTTTTGTTAAAGTAGAACAGGTGCAGGGATTCGCTGTGGATCAAATAATGTTTACTGTACGGATTGGGCTGAAGATCCTTGCAAACTCACATGCGATTTGTGTTGCGCTTTAGTAGATGAGGTATTAGACTTAAAATGGGTGTCAGACCGCTGCCAGCTGCCAGTAGAAGGATGTTCCGATTTGCGGATAGGTCTGAGAGCACTAAACCGCCACGAGGCGAGCTTAAATGGACCCGAGAGCCTGCTTTCAGTTGATGCAAGTGACCAGAGACAGGCCCGTTTGTATATCGCTTGATCAGAAAATGCAGGCACGAACAACTCGCCAGGGAGTTCGTTTCGGAGGGCAAATATGTGTGATCGACTGGCGTATAGCTTCGCTGGATGACATCCCCGTTTAAAGGGACTTGTATGTTTACATGATGTCCCACTGGTAGGACCATCAGTATCTCCTTCTGAACGCTCTGAAGACTCAGCTCAAAAGAGTCGTGATTGAAATCATTACAGTCTAACACTTCATATTCATACGTTTCCTGTTGTGTGTCAAGGGAATCCAGTTTGCTCGTCGTGTGCGTACCGTAAGAAATCCAAGGAGCTGGCTCTTCTTTGGCCAAGACCAGCTCAATCTTTCCAGTCTCAGTCCCGACTCGCACGGCCTTCGGTGGCCACTCCACCTTACCCGCTAGCTGCAAGTCAAACGAGTGCCCGCTGTTGTCCAGCAAAACACGCGCCACCAGCTGCTGCGGATCTTTTCTTCTCACAAACAGTCCGGGATTGGAGAAGCTTCGGGTGTAAAAGAATAGCGTAAGCTCGCTTCTTTGCTGTATCCAATCGAAGCGTGGAACAATATCCACCGGCTTTGAGTCCCGTGTGTCTATCGTAAGAGGATCAGTCGCCGTCAATGGCCCAGGGACATTCTCTTTTAATGGTCCTATGTAGCATTTTCCGAGCAGCTGTGGATAATTGACCCAGGCATGAACTTCGTCAAACAATTTGGTAGCATCTCGGCCGACGCCACGCATTAGCTCATCCACTCCGCCCGGATGAAAGTCCATGTATCGAGTTACGTTGAACACTCTGCCGCGAATTGCCATCCACGCATCAGAAGCCTTGTTGTGGAGAGCTAACTCGCTTCTTGTAACTGGAACCACCCGTCCCCTGGTACCCGATAGATCTGCTCCAGAATTGCACAGACGTATCCAGCTCATCAGCGAGTAGCCTGGCTTTAAAGCACATTTGTTCCGCGGATTCCCTGTCGCTGAGCCCGAGCAATCGGAATTGGATTTCAGCTTTTGGGGCGTCGTGGTGGGCAGTTGTAGGCCGGCAGAGGCTTTCGGTAAAGGCACTCTCTGTGGCGGCCCAAGCAGCGCGCTGCTGGTAGTTGATTTAAGCGGTAAATCCGACATATTCAGCTAAATGAAATGGATAGGAATCGTCACAACAAATTTCTGGTATAAACAGCTGTTGCATGTGTACATAAATATGTATCTCGGAATCAAAACAAAGTTCCATCTGTCGATAGTCACGTGAACTAATTTCCCGGCATAATTTTGTTCGTCATCGGTGAATCGGTACTTTTGTGTGATAAATGGAACTTATCGCCGTTTTATTTCAAAATAACAGTCAAAACTATTCCTAACTTTCTTGAAAACTTTAGTTCAGCTCCGTTTTTGGACCGGTCTCTGCTAAAGAGAGACCACAAAATAGGGAGTCCTGCCAATCGATGGCACCTAAAAAGGATATACTTTTTTTCATCATATAGAAAACAGAAAAATATATTATATTTGTATGTGTCTGGGTAAACTGTCTACAAGTCTCTCGTCCTGTTTTTGATTTAACCTAATTGTACTAAAGCTATTGGAATGGCTTTTCATGCGTGCCAGAATCAGAAAGGCAAAGTGGTGGATCTTCAAGAATTGCTCAGCTTGAGCGGGCTTTAGAAATCTCACTCTTGTTGCACCCACTGCGCAAGAGTCCGAATACTGACGAAGATACAAACACGAACTCATCATCCCACATCCCTCCCCTTGTGGCTGGCGAAGATGACGTTCCTGGGTTTCTGGACAATGATCCCGATGCCATTATGAGCTTCTGCCATGAGCTGGAGGATGAGGACGCCAGAGATCCGTTGGCCGAGCTAAGCGTTGACGGCTGCAGCAGTGGCGGACCTACATGAAGCAAGCAATGAAACACTAGAGGACATGAAACTTCTTGAAATCAGTGCAGATCGCGAGCTGATGACCAGTCTTACCTACAACCAGGCGACGCGGTCCATCTGCAGCTGGAGTTACTTATCAGGCATCAGTGGGACGTAGCAACATCTCCACTAGCTACAAGAGTCTAGGGAGCGTGAGCCTGACCAAGCTAGTGGCATACATTGCCCAAGCCGTGCCCCTTAACCAGGAGTTCGACTCCCTACGTCGCACAGTGTCGAATAAGATTCCAGCACTGATCCTTATCTAGATGATCGTGACGTTTAGGAACCCGCCACCCAGATCAAATATTTTTTAAGCTATAAAGTGTTTTTCAAAACGACCGCCAAACTCCATTTAGCGCACAAAAAAGAACGAAATTCCGTAAAATAAAAGTAAAAAATTAAAAAACAGTGTGACCTAAAAAACATAAAAAGAGCATGGTCCCTCTGATAAATCAGCTGTATTTCGTAAACAGTGTGAAAATTCAAAACAACATCAAAAAAGAAAAAAATGAGCTCTGACGATGAAGTGATTGTGTTGGTGGCGGCATATGTTGTTGCAAAACAAAAGGAGCAAGTACAGCGCACACGGAGACGTCACAAATTTTGGGTGAACCCTTATTTGCAGCTGAGGAAGGAAAAGGGAAGGTTTCAAAATGATGTGAGTATTCTTATAAATAATATTTTCATATATGGCAACATCTCTTATACATTAAATAGTTTCAGAATATGGTCCAGAACCCGACAATGTTTTACCAGAACTTTCGTATGGACGAACGCCAGTTCAACCAGCTATTTTCATTGGTAGAACCCTTTTTAATACCAAAGCGCAACTCACGCCCAGACGCCATTCCATTAAAAGCTAAATTAGCCATTGTTCTCGAGTAAGTCCACTGCAAGAGGACACATGTAAAATACTCATTAAATCACTTGTTTCAGGTGCTTTGCGACTGGAGACCTACAATGTCACGTTGGCTCGACCTACCGGATAAGCAAGCAACACTTGGGCAGAACTATTGATCTGGTGTCTCATGCTATCTGCACTGCGCTGCACGGAGAGTTTCCAAAGTGGAACTCTAATAACATGCTCAAGTGGGCAACAGATTTTATGGAACAATGGAACTTTCCAAACTGCATTGGTGCTATCGATGGAAAGCACGTTGCGATCAAGGCACCACCCGAAAGCGGCAGTGCTTTTTACAATTATAAAGTAAGTCAATTACCTGCGGGAACGTACATATATAAATAACCCTTTCCTGGATTTTCTAGGGCTTTCACTCAATTGTGCTCATGGCGGTTTGTGACGCTTCATATAGGTTCACGTACATTGACGTTGGTGCTTACGGGAGTGAAGGGGATATGAATGCCTTTTCACATTGTTCGCTTGGAAAAGCAATTTTATCGGGAAATGTGACATTTCCGGAGGATAGCATGCTGCAGGGAGTACATACCCCATACTATATTGTTGCGGATGATGCATTCCCGTTGCACAAGCGCATAATGAAACCATATGGGTCTAGAAACCAATCCACAGCAGAAAGGATTTTCAACTACCGGCTGAGTCGAGCTCGTCGTTGCATTGAGAATGCATTCCAGATTCTCAGTAATAGGTGGATGGCTGTTCAAGACACTTTGCGGTGTGGCCCAAACAGAGCGCAAAATGTAACTGCGGCATGCTGTTATCTGCATAATTATATGATGCGAGTAGGCCCAACAGAATATGGCGCCATGCCTGAAGGCCTATTAATTGAAAGCCCAGCAGACACTGATGCTGAAGCCTTTCGTGGTCGGCTACAGGATTACCCCAAATTTATTAGAAATAATATAAAGGATTTCGTCAACTCTGCAGCCGGGTCAATACCTTGCCAAAATGAATCTGCTGGTGTGCGTCAATAATAAAGAATCTCTATTATTAATTACTATAAATATATATTTGATTTTTATTAAAGGCATGGGAATGGAAGGGCGAAGAATTGACGGGTTGCGTTTTATTGGGACTGCTTTCCCTGGTTCTGCACCTTCCAAAATAGTAGATTTGTGATCTCCACTTCAGTTGCTGTTACTTCATCTGGTGGTAGCTTGCTCAGCAACTCATCCCAAAACGGGAAGATCGTTCTAGTTTTGGGCTTATTTTTTAGATAGTCGCACAGTAAAACAGCGATTCCACCATCTCCCGACGGTTCCTCCACCTTACGCTTTTTTGAAGTCTTTGACTGCAGAAAAGGGAGTTTTCATTTATTACTGTTATAATAAAAAGGTAAAAAGTACTTACATACGAATAAGCCGACGAAGTGCTTGCCTCTACGTCATCGTCTGTTCGGACCCAATTCGGCTCATCGGAGCCAGCGGCTATGGAACTCTCCTCGATTTTGTATGGGAGGGGACTGGAGCATGCATCTGGGCTGCATGCTGGGCTGTCCTCAAACAGACTGGTGCTTGATTTGGTACTACAACAACAAGTTTTTAATGCATATAGAATGACAATTTAATGACAATTATAATTTTTAAAAACAGGACAAACTGACAAAAAAAAGCGGAACTAAAAGGATGAAATTATTAAAAAAAGGAAAGAAAAACGGGAAAGAAAAAATGGGTATAGATGGCACATAAAACGAACATGCAACAGGATAGGGTATGTTCGAGATCTGTCCTAGAAAACACTGAATTGGCATCACTGGTCGGATCATAACTTACTGTCTCTCCAACGACATAACAGGCAGAAACGCCATATGCTCAGCAAATTGCCAGTCCATATTTTCGTTGACTCGGGTTTGAGCCGCGCTACCACATTTGGCCTGCTTGCTGCGATGATATCGCAGACTGTCCCGCAAAGCTGTCCATGCAATCTTACACTCATTCGCTACAAAGAAGAATCATCATTGATTATTTTAATAGCTTTGAACACATTATCATTATCTTATCTTACCATCTTTGTTTATTTCTACAGCAACACTTTCCCAAGCACTTTTCACCGAAATGTTGCCTTGGCGCTTTTTAGTGATTTCCCAAAGACACGGTCTTGCTTCAACTGCTTTAATAAGCGCAACCTTCTCCTCTTGATGAAAATTTTCATCCCTCTTTTTAGTTTTTCGCGCACTTTTATTTACCATTTTTGCGTCAATCTCTTTTCGCTCCAGGAATAATTGTAAAGTATATATTCCTGAGCTGTGTATCAGCTGTTCTCGCAGTCCACGGTTCCGATAGGCAACTATCGTTGCTAGATACACACGCCAGCAAAACGTAAACAAAAAATTCCTGGGAAATTTTTTTTATGGAGTTTGACAGAATTTCCGCGGTGCTGTAGTATCCAGTATGTATGCTTAAGCTGAGTTGGCGTTCCCGATGAACGAGACAAGATAAGAAAAAGATCAGACACGAAAAATGTTATTTTGACCATGGTTTTAATTGACATTTTTAAATAGAACGCCGATAGGTTCCGTTTATCGTACAAGACTACCGATACCAAATACTACAGGTTGGTGTCTTGGCTAATGCTGTTATGACATTCTACTTTGCTAGCTGACAATCTGCAAGTGTAGAGCCTTATGGGATATGCCTGCAGTAAGGCCACTAACCATGAAGTATATAGATGTGCCAGTTCATGCAATTAAATTTTTTCATTTCATATCAGTCAGCATTTGTCAGCGAGCAATTATAATTTTTCGTTTCATAATAGTCAGTTTTTGTCAGCAAGCATTTAAAAATTTTTCGTTTCATAACAGTCAGCTTTTGTCAGCGAGCAATACAAATTTTTCCTATAATAGCAGTCAGCTTTTGTCAGCGAGCAATTATAAATTTTCGTTTCATTACAGTCAGCTTTTGTCAGAGATCATTTACAATTTGTTCCATTTCTATCTGTCAGCTTTTGTCAGCGAGCAGCTATAATTTTTGTCCGTTTCATATCAGTCAGCTTTTGTCAGCGAGCATATATAATTTTTCGTTTCTTCCAGTCAGCTTTTGTATACTGTATGGTTAATGGTCAGGGGCTACTTCGCATTTTGTCTCTCATTGCTATCTCTCTCTCTTCGCAGCAAATTTAGCTAAGTCTAATGTCATAACAGCATTAAGATCAGTGTATACTGGTCAGTCTGTGTTATCGATAGTGTGCCACAAACAAATAGATTCTATATTCGCCACTGGGCTATCAGCACTAGCAGAACATCGATTGTTGTTTGTTTTTGTCACGAGTGAGGGACGGAACTTTAAACTTCGCTGCATTTAAAATAAATTTTAACCGTGCAACTGAACGAAACAAAACAGTCTTCCTCTCCAGTAGTTTAACCAGACCACTAAAATACTACGTAGAGGCACATTGCTTTTTCTTTGCGGTAATTTATGGTGCTTGCTATTAATCGACGCGCAATAGAGCGCAGTGTGTATCTGTGTGTACTTTATCTTTTTAGTGCGAAGTTAATTGTGTTTGCACATTCATTGCACGGCATTCATTGCTAACAGCTTTTGCTGTGAACCGGTTCCAATGTAACATTAAACGAAAGTCAATTGTGCTTTGTGCATCTCAACATTTATAGATTTTAATTGGAATCTGTCTGTATAGTTTTTTGTTCTTGTGACGTCAACCCCTACTCCCAGGTTTCGATTGTGTTGTTTTTGCCCGCGCCCAAGAAAAGAACACTCGGAAAATGACACTTAATGAATTCATAATCCAAACAAAAGATATAGCCAGAGAAATGATGTCATTTTCAGAGGCCGTCCTGCTGCATATGAATGCGGGTTTTTCCTCCACCCCCAATCGTACTAACTTACATACCCCAGAGTCCCATATCTGTATACTATACATACATACATATGTTTGGAAAAGTGGTCATATGTACTTGCAAATCGATAGTTTTCCTATCCATACCCTTCCTCACTTGGGCCTGTTGAGTTAAGCGCGGACAGCAACAGGTCGTGCTCGTTTTCGTAAATCAGAATAGACGGTTTGTGGGGCTGCTGCTGTGCCAAGAGCCACTCGAGCTTTGTCGCCTGCTATTTGTGAAATCGTTTATTGCTTATCTTATCCAGATTGTCCACTTAAAGGCATGCTATTGTGCGATTATCGTTATGCATCACTGCACACCAAAAAATGAAACTTTGATCGAATGCATGCGTGATTGATCCCGCGTCGCCCGACTCCCAGCCCTCCAAGTGGAACAATTTATCACAGTACTGTGGCCATTCGAATGTCTGGAAATTCAATTAGCGGCCCTTCGAGCTGATAGCCGATACCCCACTGAATGGATCTGCTCTCTACATCCACAAACAAATGCGATAAGCAGTAGCAACTTTGAATTCGTGGTAATCACAGACTGTTGCTGTACAGTGTACACACTAGTTGCTGTATTGCTATATATTACTTTTGTCGCGTCTGGGCAGGCGGCTTTGACCTGCTCTATGACTCATTTGGGTATACATGTTTCCTGTTCTCAGACCGTGAGCTGATACCGTGCTGATAAGTTTATTGCCTCAGCTTTTAAGCAAAATAGTTCAACTTTATGGGTGTCGGTATATGGGCCATTGCGGTTTCTCTACTCCACTGAAGCCTCTGGGGGGCTCTTATCTGCCGATACTTGAGCCAACGTAAATGCAGTCCCAAGCTAATTCGACTGTATACTTGTGATAAGAAATTAAATCACGTCTGTCGAAACATATGGGAATAACCAATTGACGTTCATCATCATTATCATGGGATGGATGTTGTCTGTTTCCCGGCAACAGTGGATTTTCGATATCCCTGGGAAACAGAGAAACACATTTCCCCTCTTGTTTTTGTTTTTAATTTTTATTAAATTGTTTGTAAACATAAGCAATTAATAATGTAGAAAATTTCGTTTTCTGTTCGTTCGCTTGATGCGTGTGTAAATATCCACGTACATATGTATGTATGTGTTTATTGTATTCTGGAGTGCAAAGGTCCATACGACGATACGACATCGTATGGTGGATGTGAGTCAGCGAGCCCCAACTGTGGAGACGTGGCCCGGCCAAAGCTATCAAATTATAACCATGTTGTTTAGACACGCACGGCACCCAAATCGATTGCCAACAGCCTTCGGAGCACTGTATTACTTAGAGCCAAGTCAAACAGCTCAATAAACTATATTGAAATGATTAAAAATAGAGTATCTTTGTTAGTATGTTCTCCTCCGAAATGTAATATGGAGGTGACCCGCCAATGGCCAATAATTGGGAACCATTATATGGTTTTTTCCCGTAATTACTGATTTACCAGCCATCACACTCGTAAATCCAAGAATCTTGACATTAACTCCACAATTTGTTCACTATGAAGACTGCAATGTTATGAAATACGTTGATCCACATAAAAATGTACATATGTATGTATGTATTTCCAGAACATTATTTTCACTTGTCGAAATCTTGCAGATCATCAGCCATTCCCAGTAAAAAAAGAAAAGAAATAGCTTTAGGTCTACTTTCCACCCAAGGCAAGATGGCGCAGCACGTGCCTTTGTCACGCGTCATAGGCTCCTATCTCTTTGGTCTACTGCAAGCATGCCTTCGATTCGTTTTTCGCCTGATCTATGGTGCCAAGGGCGAGAGCATGCCACCCATAACGGATCCCATTCTGCTCGAATCGGCCTCGTCGCTTGCAAGAAAGATACGCAGCCAGGAAGTGAGTAGACCTTGATATTCCTTCACGACTCATCAGTATAACAACTTCACATGTCATCTCAAAGCTCAGCAGCGTTCAGGTAATGGAGTCGTTCATACGCCGCATCAAGGAGGTGAATCCCATACTGAATTGTGTGGTGGACGAGCGATACGACCAGGCTCTCCAGGAGGCAGCCGATGCCGATAAGCTGATCAAGTCCGGCCAGTACACTGCGGAAGAATTGGCGAAGCAGAAACCCTTTCTGGGTGTACCCATCACAACAAAAGACTGCATATCAGTCAAGGGTGAGAATTAAACTAAACTAAAACTGCACTAAAACTTTTCTAAAGGAAGATTTACCTGTCTTCTAGGCATGCTCCATACGGCTGGCTTGTATGACAGACGAGACGTGCGCGGCTCAAAGGATGCCGATGCCATGGCCTTGATGCGCAAGGCTGGTGCCATTCCGTTTGCCCTGACCAACGTCTCCGAAGTGTGCATGTGGTGGGAGAGCAACAACACGGTGCATGGACGGACGCGAAATGCGTACGATACAAATCGCATTGTCGGCGGATCCAGCGGCGGTGAGGGCTGCATACAGTCTGCAGCTGCCTCGGCCTTTGGCCTTGGCTCTGACATTGGTGGCTCTATTCGCATGCCGGCCTTTTTCAATGGCATCTTCGGTCATAAGCCAAGCAAGCTGGTGGTGTCCAATGTGGGCCAGTTCCCAGCGCCCTTCAGTGACGAGCAGAACTCTTTCCTGGGGCTGGGGCCAATGTCACGCTTTGCGGAGGACCTGCGCCCCATGCTTAAAATCATGTCTGGCGAAAAGGCCGATCTGTTGAATCTCGACAAGGAAGTGGACCTGAGCAAGATGAAGTTTTTCTATCAGGAATCAGATGGCGGTGGTCGCCTAGTGTCCTCCGTGGACGCCGATCTACGACAGGTATAGTTTATAATAATCTTTCAATATACTGATTATACGTCTAACAATTTTTTCTTACTGCAGGCCATGCAACGAGTTGTGCAGCACCTGAACGAGAAGTTTGGCAGCAAGCAGGTTGAGCGCATCCAGCTGCCAGAATTTCGCCAATCGGCGGCCATTTGGTTTGCCAACATGCGGGACAACAGCGGCCACGGGTTCGCCTACCAGTTGGGCAATTTGGAGCATGACATCAACACGTATTGGGAGCTCTTCAAATGGCTGTTTGGAGCCTCCAAGCACACGTTTATTGGCCTGACAACGGCCATCATGGACAGTGCACAGTGCAAGCACGGCTCGCCAAAATATGATCACATGGTACGAAAGCGAAACGATTTGCGGGCCGAGCTGCAGCGTCGCCTTGGCGACAATGGAGTGCTGATCTATCCTACACACCCCACTGTAGCGCCGTATCATAATGAGCCCATAATGCGGCCCATTAACTTTGCCTACACGGGCATTGTGAATGTTCTGGGCTTCCCAGCCACGGCTGTTCCGTTGGGAAAGCTGGGCAGTGAGGGTTTGCCCCTTGGTGTTCAGGTCATTGCCAACTTTAACGAGGATCGCCTCTGCCTGGCTGTGGCGGAGGAGCTGGAGCGAGCCTTTGGTGGCTGGGCGCGACCCCAAATTAGTGTGTAAAGTCACCATCCTCCCACCTAGAGCAGAAGCCTAGCTAGTAGATGGGGGATAATCCAATCCTCACCACCCCTCTTTAACACACAAACCCCTCCCGCCTGGCGGTATCGGCAGTATGTTGAACCTCAGATTTTTATTAGTTGTATGGTGTACTCCAGTGCCTCCTTATAATATCAGTTTTTGATGTGGTTTTACCTATTTAATAGATATTTTTAATCATTAATAATTATTGTGTATTCTGTGGTCTCGTGCACGGCCTGAAAGGCTGTGCATTCTCCATATGTTTCTATGATGCATTTATGTATAATAAATATTTGCAACATAAGACGATATTGCGTTTTATTTTCCCGTTCCGCTTCTAAGCCAAATAGAAACAAAATTGATCCGATATCGCTTGCGCGTAAACAAATATTTATTTGTAAGTTAATCCTTTTCACACATATCGGGTGCACCTCGTTCTGTGCAGTGTGATATTTCACTACCGTGCCTGGCACTGCTTTCCACATAAACATTTTCAAAATGTCTTCGTGGAATTAAATCAAAATAATTAAAATTAATTCATGGTTCACATGTTTGCGTATCTCTATCTCTCCCGCCCTTTTCAGGATGTATGTGTGTATGTTAAGTGTGTGTGTTTGAGAGTATGTATGTTTGTTTGGAGGGGTAATGCGTAAATGTTACATTTACAACATTGATTTCGTTATTTAAAACTAGAAAATTGAGGAATGGAACGAGATCTAGCCCTTGCCGCCCAGCGACAGGATCAGCTTCAGTAGCTCCGTGCGTTTGGCTTTAACAGTGTCCACCTGCAGTGGCGGTAGACCATCCATCACCTCATACCTATTCAGGTAATCGGCAATATGGTCGGTCATGCAAATGACGTGTATGCCGCAATCATAGCCATTGGCCTGTTGCAGGCAGCGCATTGGTCGGAACTTGGCCGAACGCACGTCCATAGTTTCCTTCACCTTGTTCATCAGCTCCACAGAGTTGCTTGTATTGTTGTTTCCATACGAGTCAAAGTGATAGAAGGTCTTTTCCGGGCGCGAGAAGACCAGCAGTGACCAGTGGGTGCCACCGGCTTCGAAACTTCTGTTGTCGTTCATGGCGAAGAATATAAACGGCTTCTTGGTGGCGTTGTTCTGCTCCATGAGTTGCTCCAGCTCCTGGTCATCCATGTACTTCATGCACTGGGTCACCTCGGGGGCTATGAACACGATATCGTTGTTTGTCTTATACTTCACGTGCGTCAGGTACTCGTAGTAGAAGCTCAAAATCTGGTCGTTTAGCCAGCGCGGCCCGTGCAGCAACTGCACGTCGGACATTCGCAGACACGAGTCGTGGAAGCTCAGCGAGATGGGATCCGCCTTCGAGTTGGTGCTCATCTTCGAGTGATGGTTGTTGTTGTATCTGTTTCCACCGATGCGTCTCGAGGCCGCTGTCTGATTCGAACTCTGGTTCTGGCGTGTGTGTTGCCTGCAAGAAATGGTATTTCTGATATTATATGCCTTACGTTCACATTTTCGGGCCAATCTGTCACCTCAAAATTTTTCTATCTTGTGGCAGCATGTTTCTACACTATTTTAAATGAAATCTGCCTCGATAAGTCAAATTTGTCTAATCCACGAAACGAACAATCCCCACAAACCACACCACACACAACTTTGGCGTTTCAAAGTCGGCGTTCAAATGTTTTTCCTGATTTTCTTTTGGTTTCGTATTCGCACGCTCAGGCAGGCTGATTTTGTTTTTGTGCCTTTTGTTGCAAGCGCCATGTTGCTTAATTGCACTAGTCAACACCATTTTTCTGCTTCCACCAAAACAACTTTTCTTATAGATTTGGGGCTTTAAAAATGTTTGAGCATTTAAAATCAGCTTTTGAGAATTGCACAGTTCAACTAAACCAGATGTATGATACTTAATACCGTTTTTTTTAGTGTTGTTAAAAAATCCTTGCCATTGAAAAAAAACCATTACTGATTTTGTCGATTAGTGTTAAAACTAGTGTACGGGGGCGAATATGCGTAGCACAACAAAGGGCGAACATAGCGGTATTGCTTGGCATTCATTGCGTCACGTCACACTCACCAGAAAAAATGGCTGCGTCCCCCCTGCGAACTTTAACTTTACAAGTTGCTTTAATTATAGTTCCCTTGTGTATTATCATTTATTTGGGTACGACGGCGACAACACTCCTGGACTTATTATCACTTGCAGTGCACTCTCAGATTTTAAAATACTCAATATTGTGCAAAAAAATTTTCCAAGGTTCACTTTTATCAATCTGCTTTGGGGCTTGATTGGGGGGCCGTGGCCAGACTGGCAACGTTGGCGCACGTCCAGTATTGGTAAAGGAGGGAATACAAATGTTAAAATTTTAAATTTATTTTCTAAATGTTAACATTGGGGCATTTCGGGACAACTGGGCTTAAAGTTTTCTGGACCCACGGGACCGCTTGGCTGCACATCAACTGTTTGCTTTAAGGTGATGAGCTTGCATTCGGGTTTCACTTCTGTCAAAGCATCACTGGACTCGGAAAATAAAATTTCCCCATCTGCTGGAGACCAGTGTCCCCCCCTCAACTGCTTGTTAACCAATCTCAGTTGCTTGTTAATCTGGTAAAAGGTAGTAGTTCACCGTTATTCCAATATAATTTAAAAACAAAAAAAAATATACGACCAACCTTTGGCACCAATACTAATTCATTGCTGCAATGAAATAGATTGGCTGCAAATTGAAATAGATTTGAGGGTTTCTTCTCAATGGCCTCCGTTATTATGGTACGTATTATAGCTCGGATTTCCGGATGTCGTTGTAAATATGTCCAGTCCCCTTTTCGCATGTTTCTGGATATGTTCCCTATAGTTGCATAAAATTTTGCCATATTCTCTTCATCTTTGGAAAATTTTTCCTTGTCATATACATCGGATTCGCTATGACTATTCGTAAAGCCCGAGTCCATGATTAACTTTTGCCGAAAAAGTTACAAAAAATGGTGTACAGCAAGTAACTAATTTAGTATGAAAATTATATTCCAAATGAAATAAAGTGCTCGGTGTTCTTATTTAACAAATGGAATACACAGGAAAATTAAATTCGAGAAAAAAAGAAAACCCGACTCCGTGACAATGCGTAATTGCAGCATTGCCGTGACCAGGATTCGAACCTGGGTTACCACGGCCACAACGTGGGGTCCTAACCACTAGACGATCACGGCTACGTCGGGTTGTTGGAAGGCAGCGGCCAAAAACGAAACGTTATCGACTAGCATGTTATTGATTTGTGCATATAAAGTTCAAGTGCATTTGATTGTATTAATATTAAACAAGTATGATTAAAAGCTAAGAACGTTTGAGGTGGGATACATACATACACACACATGTATACAATGGAAAGAAACAACAAATTGTCCAGTTAATTATAAGACAGCACTGCTTTACAAATATTGGGGTATACAAATTAAACTCATATAGAAACCCTTGATAAAGACTTTTCTTTTTGGATTCCGATGCCTCCAAAAACCTGTTCAGGTGTCATCGTTTCCCAGCACTCATCCCGCCACTGTTCAACACTCTCAGCTGTTTCGCTGAAAAGACGGCGTTTTGTGTTAGTGGCGGCCTGAATCTTTAAATTTGTTCGTCCTGCGCGGAAAGATAAACTTGTTTTGCCAAACATTTTTAATTTAATGTACAATTCAATTGAAATAACAGATTCTGATGAAGAGACAAATTCCGAGGATACAAAATGTTCTGAGACTCCGCCCGCCATCAGGCGGAATCTTAAGAATCAGACAGCCTCAGTCGTAGCTTTATACAATTGTTACTTGTTGGTAAAATTGAATGTCAATAAAATACATTCAGATAATCTTAAAATTCGCCCCGTGTTTCAGTCATCACATTGTAAATTAAGTTTTAGCGCTTTGGCTTCTGTGATTTTGTTTTGATTTCAGGTCACGCTTGTGAAAACAGCGTTTTGGCCGTCGTCTTCCAACACCCGACGTAGCCGTGATCGTCTAGTGGTTAGGACCCCACGTTGTGGCCGTGGTAACCCAGGTTCGAATCCTGGTCACGGCAATGCTGCAAATCGCATTGTCACGGAGTCGAGTTCATTTTTTTCTCTTTTATTTACCAAAAACTGAAGTTTTGATGAAATCTTTCCACAAATATTTGATAATGAAGGCCTGGCCAAAACGTGTATGTACTCTTTCTTTTTCTCAAAAATAAATAAATGAAAGGCACTCGACCATGAAAAGTGAAAGGTTTATGTTTTCAGAGCAGGAAAGTCTGAATTATTATACCCGTACTCAAAAAAGAGTTAAGGGGCATATTAGATTTGTGGTAAAAGTGGATGTGTGCAACGCAGAGAAGGAAACGTTTCCGACCCCATAAAGTATATATATCTTGATCAGCATCAAAGCGAGCTATATACCATGCCGCTGTCCGTCCGCTGCCGCTGTCCGCTTGATGAGCGCCTGGATCTAGAGACTATAGGCTAGAGAAACCAAATTTGGTTTCCAGACCATGTGATATCACCTGCTACAAGTGTATTCAAATTTCGCCCCGCCCCCCCGCCCACACAAAGGACGAAAATCTGTGGGGCACAGTTTAAAGATACGTAGAAAATGCCAATATCTACCAGATTGCCGAATCTGAACAGATCGGATCATAATTATAGCCAGAATGAAGAAATTAATTTTCAGTTGCTCCCCCCCCCCCCGCCGACGACAACGCATCTTTCCTTCTCGCTCGCACATCTGCCGCGTCAGTGCGGGACCCGCGGGGAGTGGACAATTGACATGTAAACTCATGTTGATGTTAATATACATTGTATATGTATATCATATGTAGCAAAAAATGTAAAATGTAAATTTTTTTTTTCTAAAATTTAATCTAAGCAAAAATGTATATCTGACTGGCGGGTATAAGTGCCCCCCCAAACCCCCCCACCCTCCCCTTCTCTTTTTTACTGTACAGTTGGAGTATTAAAAGGCAATCTAAAATTGTTACAGTCGCCATCTATGACTCGTTACTCTGATTAAATCAAGCAAGTACTGAAAGAATGCACAACTGGTTTTAAGCATTATGTTAAAGTAGGTGTTTTGGCTGGCAAAAATTAATAACCTAACATAGCCGTGATCGTCTAGTGGTTAGGACCCCACGTTGTGGCCGTGGTAACCCAGGTTCGAATCCTGGTCACGGCAATGCTGCAAATCGCATTGTCACGGAGTTGGGTTAATTTTTTAAAAATTAATTATTTATAAATAATTAATAATTATATTTTGGTGTATTGAAACCTTATCGTATTATTTTGACCCTATAAATGTAGAATCACTATTTGAATGCAGTACGTTTTTTCTACAAAGGTTGCTTAGTTTGGACTCTGGATGGAATGAATATCAACTTAATTGCAAATTATTAATGAATTTGCATTCTCTTTCATTGTAACAGAAAAGGTTGCGTTTTTGGCCACTGCCTTTCAACAACCCGACGTAGCCGTGATCGTCTAGTGGTTAGGACCCCACGTTGTGGCCGTGGTAACCCAGGTTCGAATCCTGGTCACGGCAATGCTGCAATTACGCATTGTCACGGAGTCGGGCTTTTCTTTTGCTCTTTTTTCCACATAGATATTTGCCTTCAAAGGCTTCCTTCCCACTCAGGTTTAATCTGATAATTGATAACTCGCATATGCATAATTTGTTGTATATTTAAATTTTGATTATTTACAGTTGCCTCTTTGCATAACGTACTCGTACAGAAGATATAATTAGTTAAATATTGATAAATTAAACTAATTGCATTACTAAAGCTTTTTAGGGATTTCTTTTAAAAATTGCGGCTAAACAATTGTCGATTTTCTGGATGTGATTTAGTATAGTATATATAGTTTTTAGATAGCATAATAAACACGCGCCCAGGCGGAATGTGTTCTCACTATAGTTGGGGGGGAGGGTGGAGGCATAACAATAAACAAATTGACACAATCTTTTAGTATTACTCGGAAGTTTTCTTTCCACTACAACACAAGACAAACAAAAATAGTGCCTAAGGGCCTTGCAATCGGATTTCAAACTCAGTTTACTGCTGGCCATAGAGCAGCTCCGATCCTGGCGGTATGCTGCTGGGATCAACGCTGGCGTTAAAATAGTTGGCTGGTGACGCCACAGCGGGAAAGGGAACGGCCATGCCTTGGCCGGGCTGTTGCTGCTGTTGGGAATTCTGCTGAAGCGTTAGGTTATAGGGATTCTGCACATATTCCTGATAAATATCCGCAGCCGGACCACCACCGCTGCCGCCAGCTAATGGCGGAGCCTCGTAAACAGGGGCAAAGCTATGAACAATCGACGACTGCGGCATCTTAGGTAGCGAGGGATACGCGTTGCCGGCCAGCAGGTGACTGATTGGCACATTAATGGCGGGATCGCTGGACTGAGCTGGCTGATGCGCCTGATATTGCTGATAGTATTGCTGGTAGAGCAACTCCTGTTGCTTGGACTGATCTGCAAGTGCTTCCGATGGAGTTGCGGGCAACTCAATGGCATAACTATTATACGTATTGTTGGAGGTGATGTTTAACTGCTGCACAATCGGCATTGGAGCGGCGTGGGTTGGCTCGATCGGCTCCTGGGGGTTGTGCGCCGCTGCAGCAGCAGCCTCATTCACAAGATCCGGCAAAATTGGGATGGGCTGAGTATCCACAGTAAGCGGCTGCTGGGGAGCCAATATCAGCGGCTGTATAATTGAGATTGGAGAATGTCTGAGCTAGGATTCTTTAGGATTTGGGCTGGGTTGAGCTTACCTGAGCAAATACGAAACTGGGCGCCTGCTGCAGAGCATCGACCATGGGAGGCTGCAAAATAATGCTCCGCCTGGGCGATTCTACTGGGGATGCGGTGGCCGCGCAGACAATCATCTCAGCAGCTGCTTGAAGCTGTGGCTGGAGTTGGGTGGGCTGTTGTTGCAAATGCTGGTTGGGCAAGATTGGTGGAGCCAATGGAGGCACCTCGTGCTGCGTATTGGAATCACCAGATGGTGCAACAGCAGATGGAGTGTTAGTCAGTGTGTGGGGGCGTTTGCCTGAAAGATGGAGGATGTTTTCATATGACATAACTATTGTATAATTCTATCAAAATATAATGCAAGGAACACAATAGGAAGCGGAAACAAAGCGGGGGAAAGAGTTTAATGTTCAATTTTTCTTGCCCAGTCCCTTGAGCATCTTTAGCTTGGATTTCAAACTAGACCAGGGCTTCTGGGGCTTCCGCTGTTTGGTATTGGTTGACTCTTTGAGGGTATCATATCTGGCAGTGGCCGCAAAAGCGGTACGAAGCCCATGGCTGCACAGAGGCAAAGTCAACGATTGCTGCCCCCTTAGGAATTGAGATTCATATGAAATTGTTGTAAAGTCCAGAGATATTGCTGGTGAAAGCAGATCTGCTGGCAGGGTCAAAAGTTAAGCGGGTTTTAAAATGGACCCCTCACGCACCTTCGTCACGGAAGAGCTCCTCCTTGAGATTGGGCAAAAATTCACCGATCCGTCGCCAGGTGAGCTCCCAGAGCGCCTGATGCAGGCTGCCGTCTTGGTTGTGGAACACACGGACCGAATGCATAACCAGCAGCATGTTCTTCAGTATCTCCTGCATCTGCTCCGACAAGGTGTCCGATCCGACCTTCATGAATCGCTCTATGTAGTCCAGTATGTCCAGCCAAAGCTCGTTGAAAGCGGCCCCTAGCTCAATGAGAGTGGTGAGATGCTGCAGGAATACCTTGGACATAATGGTGGCGGTGCGAATGCGTGACTCCTCCAGGAGCGCTGCATCCAGTTGCCCAGAGGCGCTGCTCTCTGGCAACAGCTCGTTCAGAAGCGGGAACAATACCTGAACGAAGCAGGAGCACCACTCCGCTCCAGACAGAGTCTGCAGATCGTGCACTAGCAGAGCTCTTTGCTGAAGACACGATATGGCATGGGTGCGCACTTCACGCCGCCGATCCATGGCCAATCTGGCTATGCCCTGCAGAAGAGGACACCATCCGGGTGTCCACAAGGCCGCCGACTGTGGAACCGTGCAACCTTCCTCCGCCCACCACCGGAAGATCTGCGCCGTTCGCGTATACAGAGTGTACATCAGGTCCAGCAATTGAATGGACAACTGCTCGTAGCGCTGGGCCAGGTCCTCCTGCTCGGCCGTATTCACGGGCAGATTGTCGGCAGCATCGCCTGTCAGCAGACTCAGATTGCTGCTCGAGGCGGAGGAGGCCACACCTGGCTTACGATCGCTTCGCTTTTTAGCACTCCTTTGCTTTCCAGCTGCCTCCAACTTGCGTCGCTGACGAATGCCTCCATCCCGACAGGCCTCCACAAAGATGCGAATACACCGAACGCAGGCCTCAAAGTTATAGGGCGTGATGTGGGCCACACTCCTCACAATGAAGGCCAGCGAATCCCAACACTTGAACAGGGCAAATGGCGCATGGTCCAGAAGCTGGCAATTGTAGACGAGGCTACTTGAAGAAGCTGAAGCAGCCGTGGTGGAACTGGGCGGCGATTGGGGTCTGCCAAATAGATTAAGTTTGTTGAAAATTACAATTGAAATTCTAGTGTCTCTAAAAGATCTTACCTGGAGGCTGTGGTCAGTTCACTGTCTTTGTTGTTGACCAATATCCAGTTCTCAGCACTTGGGCTGGGGGCAGTGGGCTGTGCCGCTACTTTGGAGAGCTCTGAGTCTGATGTGTAGCCACGCTCCGGGGGCGCAGAGGCATCCTCCTCCCCACTCAAGGCGCCATCTGATTTGGCGCCTCCATTGGGTGGCAGCGGCAGCTGGGTATCCTCGTAGTTGGGAGGGACAGCACCAGCACCCACACACTCCAGCAGATTGAAGATGATCTGCCAGTCCTGCTCAGAGTGAATGTTCTGGGCAGATGTCTTTAGCAGCTCGTAAATGCCAATAGAAATCTGCTTGGATATGCGTAGCAAGAGGGCTGGCTTCAGCATCAGCAGCATCTTGAGAGATTGCAGAACAATGGGGCACAGTTCCTCGTTGCGCATAAGGTAGATGGCCAACTTGAGGACTGCCACAATGCAGCGATTGAGAAGATAGTCGTAGCCACACGAGGCGCTGCCCATTAGCAGCAGATACATTTGGTCCCGCACCGCTGGCCACAGGGGAATCATGCGATCGCGATTGTGCACCACGATCTTGACGAGAAATTCCATCCAGAAGACGGTTTGATCTTCTGCATAGGGCAGTCCAATGGACTTGTGTCCCTGGGGAGCCTTCAGCAGAGCCAGCACACATTTGAGCAGCTCTTGGAGGGACTCCAGTTGCACGAATTTCGACTCCTGCAGCATTTGATCGAGCTGGCATTCCTTGATGCACTTGCGGCCATGCTTAATAAAGTCCTGCTCCTCGTAGGTGGGCTCCCGCTGACCCTCTGAGCTGATGAACGAGTACAGACTAGAGAAGAGACCCGATTCCTGCTTCTCCCGCGGCTTCTCCAATATCAGCATAGCCTTGCCGTTTGCCTCGCAAAAGTCCTCCACCTCGATCAGGGATTTGGGCAGCAGCTTCAGGCGAAAGAGATGCAGAAACATGTCGAGGATGTGCTTCCAGCTCTCCCTCAAACAATCGCCGTAATCATGAACTAACAGGAATACCGTCCTCATGGCTGCCTGCGCCTTGGCATTCAATCCAAAGTTCACCGCCTGTTGAATCTCATTTAGCGCCGGTGCCGGCTCATGTTGCTCCACGCTGCTCAACAGCGTTGTGAACTTGCACAACGTCAGCACGAGGGCATCAAAGTCTGCATGCAGATTGTAATGCGCTGATATAGCTGCCGACTTGCTAAAGCCTGAAAAGAATTCAAATTCCAAATAAACCTCATACTTAAACTCCTAAAAATTGATTGTTCACTTACCCGCCAGCGTTCTCTGGTAGCCAGTTTCAGTGCTCTTGTCAAACATGAAACTTAGGGCGCTCAAAGAAGCTCCCCACACAATATTGAATATCTCCACATCGTAGGACGCATCATGAACATAATGGAAATGGCCATCGTGGGTGTCCCCACGACGAAGCAGCACTTTCCACTGATAGTTCTCACGCACCAAGCCGGTTTGTTCTGCTGGCATTACGATCTCTTCGTTTCTGGAATTCAAGGAAAGCGAAAATAAGCAATCTATTATGTGAGCATACACGAAATTAATACTCACTTAATGGCATTGAAGACCTGAGCCAGCATCTCCGGATCAAAGTCATTGCCACCATTCAGGCCACGCAAGTTCTTGGTGAAATCTTCCAGAGTCATTGGAACATTGAGGCGCTTTGCATTGGAGTTATGCTGGTCCATGTTGAGCATGATGATGGCATAGGCCAAGCGGAATGCGGCATCAGTGTTTGCAAACGGCTCCAGATTTTGTGTCTGCATAAGAGAGTATTATAAACATTATATGTAATTGTGCCATTGTAGCTCCCGATCTCACTTACATGCCAGTGATCGGAGAAGTGTTCCAACACCAGGAAGATCAATGGAGCCTCGCCAGGCAAACGGAATGTCTCCAGATACAGACGCAGTGCCTGATCCACACGGAGACCCGTGAAGTCAAAGGAGTCCACAAAGTTGATCAGAATCTTTGAATCGACATTCTTCTTCTTGGAAATGTATTCGCCAATCATCTTCTTGTCGAGGCCAGGATTCTCGCGCAGGAATAGCGCCACTTGCATGGGATCGAGTTGAGCATTGAGTATGCCGTGCTCCTGCAGATACTGGATACCCTTGTCCGGCCGTTGATTGAACCGCTCGGTGCCCTGGGAAAGCAAGCGTTTCTTCTGCTTAACGTTGGCCAGTTTTTCGCTGGTTATTCCGCCAGACTGCGACTGCAGTCGCAGTCTCTGCGTGCTGCTGTTTATGAATTTGGAAATGTTCTCTACACGGCCCTGCTCATCCACGGCTGAAGATCCGCTACCCCCATCGATGACAATCCCCTCCAATCCGCTGTTGTGTCGCGAATGGCGACTTCCACCGGCTGCCGCACCGGCCTCTGTCACAGCTTCTCTGCTATGGCTATTCTTGGCTGCCGCACAGTTCCGCTCAATGCTGTCGATGACACTGATGAGTGTGTCCATGGAGATGATGTGAGTGCTGTATACCGCATTGGTGGCCGACAGGGTGTACTTGCTCAGCAAGTTGGTCAAACTCTCGAACATGTCCGTGCAGTACAGATCGCAGTCGTAGTTGACGTACAGCTCGGTCACAAAGCCGGGAATGCGCCACAACTGCAGCAGATTGTCCAGGGCCAGTTCACGCATCTCGTAGGGAGTCTTGGGATTGTCGCTGGCTATAATCTCGCTCAGCTTCTTTAGGTAGCCTTCTAGCTGGAGCTTCAAGTGACCGCGCAACGACTCGAAAAGCAGGAAGCAGAGCTGCAGATCGGCAGCGAAGATACTCAAGCGCTCCGAGGTCAGGAGCTGCAACAGAAAGATAAAAATAATTTATTAAGAACATATTTAACGAGGGGACACGCCGAAACACCGACTTACAGATATCAAATTTCTGCACAAATCATCCTTGACCAGCTCCAGCAAACCCTCATATTTGCCAATATTATCGGCAGCCACTTCGAAGGCCACAGTGAGCAAGCTCAAGCCCGTATGCATCATGCTGTCCGAGTTCTGCTTGTCCAGCGGATTGCACAGGATGATGAGGAATCGGAAAAGCTCTTGGATGAACGGCAGACCGTAGGGCGATAGGATGAGTGCTCCATCCTTGTCAGACGATTGCTGAGTGAAGCGAACACCCACCGAGTTGATGTACTCGCTGCTGTTGGCGCCAGCCAAGGTGTTCTTTTCCTCTCCCCCCTCTACGAGCTCCGTTTCGGCGGCACTCTCAACTTGAATGGTAGGTACATCCGCTGCGGCATTCTCCTCGACTCCCGAACTCACGACTGCTGTTGTTGGCGTCTGCGTGATCTTGCCCTGCATGTCCAAAATATTGCCCGCTGGGCTGGCAGGCGTGGTGGCCAGTATGGGAGCCTTGAGGTGATTTGGTGCTGCAAGACTGGATTGTGGGGTCTGGGGAGGATCCTCTACCGTCGAAGACTTGCGCTGCACCGATGGGGGAGGTGGGGCGGCGGCGTTCACTGGAGTCTTACGCTTGTGCTTCTCCTGGGCAGCCCCGCTGGCAGCATCGCCAATGGTGAAGCGCTTCTGCAAGACGGTATCGCTGGGCTCCTCCGCAAACTGGGGCAGGCGCATGAAGAACAGTAGCACCATGTCCTTGAGCGATTGCTCTGCGGAGCGTCGCAGCAGCTCACTGAGCCTGGGCTCGAAGCAAATCTTGAAGCAACTCAGCATGACCTCGCACATCGACTCATTGCTGACGGCAGCTCCCTCCGGGCTGCGGATTAATGTGTGCAGCACTTCAATAACCCGCATGAACGTGACACTGTCCGAGGATTGATCCGTGCCCATAAAGCGAGCATGGGTCACAGCATCCGCGATGCGCTCCACAATGTCAGCTATATTGGGCGAAGTGGGATCTGCAACATGAAACTGCAATAGAGAGCGAGCACAGGAGCGATTGGGGAGAGCATTTTATCTCACCAATTAGGCCATATGACAAGAATTTATTGACCGAGGCGAGAGCCAGACTAGTCAAGGGTCCTGTAGTGTCTGCCGTGCGTATCACCTCCAAAAACGGAGAGAGAAACACCTTCGGTTCAATCAGACGCAGATCCACAATCCGATTTAAGTCCTGCTTGAGGTCAATAAACAGCTTCAACAACGAGTCCTTCTCATCGTCCTGCAATGTACGGAAGGGGAGTGTACGGGTATGTCACAACTATCTTTTAGTGTTAGAATAATTAGTTACCACGTAGGCTGTGGCATTCCATCGCGTTCCACGTCGCATGGCCGTCATCAAGGTGGCCATTTCCCCGCGCACCACATAGATGCCATTGCCAGGCAGTGACATTGTGCCCAGGCCTTTCTTAATTATTCGTCAATAGCAGATAGCTGGCTTCCGCCGAAAAAAATTCTCAAATTCGTGGGCAGCGCTCCTCTCTCCTTGCCTTGCGTTCTCATGCATATGTTTTCCGACCCGACCTTTCTACCGCACACATACACACAGCCACGGGTCTTGTTTTGCGTGGAACAAAACTGGACGCGTCTTTTAGTAACACATACTGTATTTAATTATTAATAAATGTAATTTGTTTGCAACTAATTTTTTGGTGACGTTTACGTGTCTTGTACGTTCTTTGCCTGACTCTATCGTTGTGCAGCACCGGCAAAGAGGGCTGCTGGTCGCCTTGCAACACTGAAAATGTGTGCTGTCAGCTGTCAACAGTGGACAACAACAGCAGAGCAGCGCTGCTTTTTCTTTACGTGCGTAGGCGAATTTGTGAATTTCTCGGATTTCAAACAGAAAAGTATTCAAATTCGATGTAAAATCATTTCAGACAACTGGAAACACTTGAATTGGGGCGACCGCACACGGGGCAGGTGGAAATCAAGCACGCAACAATACCAAAGCACATCAGAACCCAAACAATATGGGAAACACAGATTCAAAATTGAACTTTCGCAAGGCAATTGTGCAGCTGACGCAAAAGAATCAGAAAATCGACCCCAGTGATGAGCAATTCTGGGAACAGTTCTGGCAAGGCCATCAAACGACGCTGGAGGATGTGTTCGCTTTGGTTACATCGAATGAAATTCGACAAATAAGGAATGATAACCCAGCAAACTTGGCCACTCTCTGCTATAAAGCGGTCGAGAAGTTGGCCCAGGCGGTGGACAGCAGTTGCCGCACTCAGGCCGAGCAACAGTGTGTTTTGAACTGTGTGCGGCTCCTGATCAGATGTTTGCCATACATCTTTGAGGACGAAAAGTGGCGCGACTTCTTCTGGAGCAGTCTGCCGTCCCAGGAAAAGACAATGCCTTTGGCCCAATCGTTATTGAATGCCATTTGCGATTTACTCTTCTGTCCGGATTTCACTGTTACCTCAGCACGTCGCACGGGCCCGGAGAAGGCCGAGGAACTCGCCAATATTGATAGCTGCGAATATATCTGGGAGGCAGGAGTGGGATTCGCCCAGTCGCCACCACACAACGCCCACATGGAGCGCCGGCGCACGGAGCTATTAAAGCTGCTGCTCACTTGCTTTTCAGAGCCGATGTACCGTTCGCCTCAACAATCCGAGGAGCCCAACAAGTGGATAGCTTACTTCACCTCGGCCGACAATCGTCATGCCCTGCCCCTTTTTACGTCATTCTTGAACACAGTGTGCTCATATGATCCAGTTGGATATGGCGTACCCTACAATCACCTGATCTTTGCGGACACCACGGAGCCCTTGGTGGAGGCTTGTCTGCAGCTCCTTATTGTCACGTTGGACCATGACATGGTGGTGCAGCAACAACTCACCCAACCTGGGCAGGCCTCCTATGACGAGGGAAACTGCGGTGACAATTTGTTCATCAACTATCTGTCGCGTGTCCATCGGGATGAGGATTTCCATTTTGTCCTCAAGGGCATAACTCGTCTGTTGAATAATCCCTTGGCTCAAAACTATTTACCCAATTCCACGAAGCGTCTGCATTGTCATCAGGAGCTGCTCATATTGTTCTGGAAGATATGTGACTACAACAAAAAGTTTTTGTATTTCGTTCTGAAGAGTTCGGATGTTCTAGACATACTCATTCCCATATTATATCACTTGAACTACTCCCGGGCGGATCAATCGCGTGTGGGCCTGATGCACATAGGAGTATTCATACTACTGCTGTTGTCAGGTGAGCCTCTTCTCTAGAAAATAATATGATCTCTGGTCAACGACTTAATTTCTCTCATTTTAGGGGAGCGAAACTTTGGTGTTCGCTTAAATAAGGCCTACTCCGCCACTGTACCCATGGACATTCCGGTTTTCACAGGAACACATGCGGATTTACTGATCACAGTCTTTCACAAAATCATTGCAACTGGCCATCAGCGTCTACAGCCGCTGTTCGACTGCCTGCTGACTATTCTGGTGAATGTTTCACCGTACTTGAAGACCCTCTCGATGGTGGCCAGTGTGAAGATGCTGCATCTGCTCGAGGCGTTCAGCACGCCGTGGTTTCTGCTGTCAGCGCCCAGCAATCACCATTTGGTGTTCTTCTTGCTGGAGATCTTCAACAACATTATACAGTACCAGTTCGACGGGAACTCGAATCTAGTCTATACGATAATACGAAAGCGTCACGTGTTCCATGCCATGGCGAATCTCCCCACAGACATGGCCGGAATAGCCAAGTGTATGAGTGGGCGTAAGGCAGGTGGAAAGTTCAATTTGCCACGTGTACCGCAGCGGAGGATAGCAGCTGCTGCGCAAGAGCTGCCATCAGCTCACGTGCCGGAAGAGTATAACGATGATGAAGATGACGAAGATGAGGAGGAGGACACGATAAATGAGGAGCCAAAGGCTGAGGAGGATCTGGAATCGGAAACGGAATCGCATGAACGGTCTCAAATAGAAGAGCCGCAGCCGGAGATACTGACTGCTCAACCAGCCGAGCCGGGCACTTTGAAAACATCCTTGCTGGACACTCCAGCCATCAGTCAGATGACTGAGCGTGAGCAGGCCCATCCAAACGATAAAACGCAGACGGAGGAATCGACGGAAATCGTCCCGTATGACAAGTCTCCCGTCTCAACGCCAACGGGTGGTCGAAAATCTACCTCACCCACCGACCAACTACGGCTATCGGTGTCGCATCGGAGCAGCATTCGCATGGTTCCCGGCGAAGGGGATCGATGGGCACCCACGCCCGAGTGGATTGTGTCCTGGCGCTCAAAGTTGCCGCTGCAGACGATAATGCGTTTGCTGCAGGTCCTGGTTCCGCAGGTGGAGAAGATATGCATAGACAAGGGCCTCACCGACGAATCAGAGATCCTTAAATTTCTGCAACACGGAACGCTGGTTGGCCTGTTGCCTGTTCCCCATCCCATACTGATACGGAAGTATCAGGCAAACGCGGGCACCACTGCCTGGTTCCGCACCTACATCTGGGGTGTCATCTACCTGCGCAATGTGGAGCCTGCCATTTGGTATGATACGGAGGTGAAGCTCTTTGAGATTCAGCGCGTCTAGGTCAGTATCTGGGAGTCACCAATCCAATCACAGCAGCAACAACGTAACTAAAACGCTTTGGCATTTACTGTAGTTAAATTATTTAGTGCATATATCATTCCAATAGTTTGTGTGAAGAAAGTCAATGTTCAATGAATCCCCTTAACCATTTGGTATGTGTTCTTATCCGTTTCAAATTTCATCAAGAATATCTCCACTATGAGGCTTATCAGTTGTAACGATATAGCGTGAGTTCTTTTTTTTTAGGATACCATTTTGTTAATGGCTTTTTAAAATGTTATTTTTATTTAATTGCCTTTTTGTTCTTCCTCTCTCTCTACAATTATTTATTTATTTTTGCAGCTTAAGCATAAAGTATTTGTGTGTTTTGGTTATAAACTAAATTATGAAATTAATCTTTTATTTATTTCTGTAATCTAAGTAAGAATGTTCCTTGTGCCGTATTTTTAGTTAATTGCTTTAATTGTTTACAGCTTTAATGTACGCCGCCTGTAATTTGTATCCAAACAAAGAAAAATTCACTGCTATAGTCGTATGCGTTTTGGAACACGAAATAAATGAATGTCCCAACTGTCCACAAACTTATGCTCTGCTCTCTGATTTGTTGCGTTTTGCAGGTTTCCAATATAATTACAAAAACACTATTTATATTTAGTTGAAACCAAATAAAAGCTTTACTTGCTCGTGTAACAATAGTAAGCTTTAGTTCAATTGTAAGCTTTGCTTAATATATTTCATTTAAACCAGCGACTTTATATTATAAAGAAAGAGAATTATGTAATATTTCATTAACTTATGTGTGCTTAGAATCTATACAAATAATTACACATATACAAAATATATAAACGAAAATACCAATTAAATTAATGGCACCTATATAAAACAAATACAAATAAATCGAAATACATATATGAGAAATAAAAAGACAAAAAACTAAGCGAATAGGTAATAGTTTAAATTTCTTGATCTTGGTGTTCTCTCGCACTTTATTTAAAGAGTTTTCAGTACAAATACAAATTATATTAGCGAAAATGCTGGGCATCAATCAGACTAAACTTTTAAAGCGACAAAAAAGTACTCAGCTATCCTTCTTTTTTAGAGCGTGCATCCAGAAGACATATTTCATGGTGATTATAAAAACAAACGATGCAGCCGCCACTATCCCAGGTATGGTTGGATCAGAGGGTCGTCGTCCGCCATTATTTTGCATGGTGGAGTAGTTATGGGCACTCCGTCTAATGACGAGAGACAGAGGCAGCGCCATTGCTGTGAAATGACTGGGATTTATCCGAGGCAATGGCGTTAGTTGTCACGACTGGGCGGGGCTGGGCGTGGAAGCGGCTGGTTGAGTCACAGGCATAATGCTAAACTTGATGTAGGAACCTTTGCTGCGTTTTTGGACTATTTTGCCAATGACCTGCGGCTCTGCAATGGTTTGTTCAATTGCCTTGACAATGCGCTCAGCGCTGCTTTCGTCGGATCCGCTAGCGCTGCCCTGGATGAGTATGCGGACTTCGTGCCGCTTGCCCAGCCATTTGACAATATTCTTGAGACGCGATGAAAGATCATGCTCAGTGATGCGGGCACCTATGGTCAGTGATTTCTCAGACTTTTTGTGGATTTTGTCGGTAGCGGTTGTCGTTGTTCCCACATCATCGGCTAGCATTTCAGCAGAGGTGACTAGTCTGAAAGAATGTTGTCAAATTAATAATGAGTTTCGCTATTACTGCGTATTTAGTACCAACTTAAACATGGCGCGCCCTGTTTTGGTGTCCGTTTGCTCCAAACGCAGCAGGTGCAGCTCTCGCCGCTTGGCCAACTTCTGCGCTTCCTCCAAGGTGGTTATGCTAAGTGCCTGGTTTTGCTGAACAAGGGTAATCTTCTGTGGCGGATTCTTTGGCTTCTGGTCACCACCTGATTTGTTTCCTGGAGCTCCAGCCGCCCTTTGTGACTGTGCCAAGTGCCAATAAAGCGATAAATTGCGGAGTTGTTGCTGATGTGGGGCCATTGCTGCAACCTGTTGCACCCTCAACATGCTGCGCATCATAAATTGAAAACGTTGCAAATGCATTTCAGCTTATATCGTTATTTTTACTCTTCACTTTTGCTTTTCTTTGTGCTTGTGCAATTTTGAACAGCTGTTTGGCCAAGGTACATTCAAAATCGGGTGTGTTCACCCGCTGTTGTAGTCTAGTTTGAATAATAATAATAAATATAACAGAGCAGAATGTGGTCCCTTCATAACTCGTCTGTCTGTTTTATCCATAACATATTACCAACTAAGTTAGGAAACTTATTGAAATAATGCAATAATGTAAGTATTAACTAGATGTTAATTATTATATTTACTTAATTTCTACCGCGTTGCCGATGGCCACCGTAGTTGCGTCTTCTGTTCGACGCTCGTTGCTCTTCCCGCGCCCTCTCCTGAGCATACCATGCGGTTCTCAGGGCCTGGCATTCCGGCGAATTCGAGCGGTGCTGCTGCAGAGGAGCCAGCTCGGGCTCGCGGCATCTCTGGCACTCCTCCCACCTGCTGAATTTGTTCAAATTGCGATCGCATGGATCTGTTGCATACAGCATGCATTCGTCGGCACAGAAGTTATAGAACCAGAACTGTCCCGTAATCGTTTGATTTTGGCAGCGCGGCTGAACGGTGTGCAGCATTTGAAAGCAGCGAGTCGACATGACGGGATCAGTGTCGCCGTTCTGGTAGCTGTTGGGTCGTGGCCATCCTTCCTGCTCTATACCACCACTGGGAATATCCGTATCCGAGGTAAGAAACTCTCTGCTGTTGGTGTTTCCGGGGTCCAGTCGCTGCCATGGCGCCCGCTCTACATCCTCTAAGCGCGAAGGCTGGTAGATGTCGCTGGGACGTTGGCGTGACCAGATTGAAGGTGCTTCCGTTCTCTGTTCATAGCCGCCGGCCGCATTGTAATTACTTTGAATCCTTGGCTGCTTGTAGGATGGAGGCGCTTGGATCAGAGTTGGCTGTCGTTCTGGCAGCCACGCAGCATCCGATTTCTGTGTATTGTCGCCCCAGATGGGATTGTGGCCCTTGAGGTTGCCAACCGCAAAGCCGAATTCCGCTCTATTCCGATCAATTGGAGCCTCATCAATTGGGCCATACATGCCTCCGCCGCCACGGCCACCCATGGGCTCCCCGTAAGGGGACATACCCATGTCCATGTCGCCACTAATCGATGCTGGCAGATTACCGAGGCAAGCTCTGCCCTCACATTTGCGCGTCTCCTGCAGCTCCATTCGATGGACACCCTGGCACTTTGGCTCGGCTCCCGGATTGAGGTACTGCCGCTGCCTCATTTCGTAGCCCTCTCCGCAGGTTACGCTGCATGGACTCCAGCTGCTCCAGCGGCTCAGTTGACACTCGGCACCACGTTGCTCAGGCGATTGACGCGTGTTTCCGCCCATGCCAAAGCCCATTCCCATTCCAGGGTCTAGATCACCAAAGTCTCCCACATTGCCCATGAGAGTGTGTGCACCGCATATCTGGCCCTGGCACTCGCGTTCATCATACTGCGGCACGTTGCAGTTGTAGATCCTCGCCAGCTCAGGCTGCTTGTAGACGCGTCGCCTGTACTGCATGCCATCGCCGCATTTGGATGAGCAGTCGCTCCAGCTTGACCAGGGATGTGTGAGGCACTCGCGGGGTACTTCTGCTGCATTGTTGGCTGCGGATTGGCGGATTAGTTGATTCTCCGAGCAAATGGGAGACGGGAGATACACTCACAGTCTTCATCCGCACACCGTCGCTCGTAGATACGTTGGCGTCGCACCGTCAGGACTGCCATGGGCTTCATGGGCGCCCCCGAATCGTCGTAGAAGGGCGAGCGCGGATCGTTTGGGAAGTCGGAACGCATCCGCCTGATGACATCTGGCGGTACTTGCGGCTGGTCCGGAGACTATCAAGTGGAGAGACACACAATTATTGCACATTTAGAGAGTAATCCTTCTGATTCTACCTACCGTGTAGCTGGGCCCCGCATCCGTGCCGACGTCCCAGGGATACAAATTGATGACTTTCCCCTCCAGCCACGTGCAGTTCCGCAGACACAGCTCCAGTCCACTGACGCCCACAATCCAGTCGGGCGATGGCTCTATCTTGGAGGCAAACGACACCATGTGGTGCAATGGATCCACTCGCACCGAGGCCATGGACTTGCTGCTCATGTTGGGGAACGCCGGGCCGCGTGCCTTGATAATGGTGCGGATCTTTTGATCCTGCAAAGACTTGAAATTACTTCCAGGACTCCCAGCTGATCCAGTGAGATATCAATTCACCCGAAAGTTGATGCTGAATTCCCGCTCAAGCAGCCGCGAGCTGCAGTGCTCCGCATATTGCTTGAGTCCCTCGCTCGCCAGCGATCCGGACTCCCAGAAGCGATAATCGGCGCTGTGGGCAGCGCCCAAAAGCTCACAGAAACGCGTTTCCCAGCCTCGAGCCGGGAAGTCCCGTGGGTGCAAGTTGCGCGACCAGACGCCCTCAAATGTCAGCTGTAAGGATGGACAACGAAGAGGTTACTGACGCACTGCCTCGGCTGTTGCTGCCACACCCACCTCATAGCGCGCCTCATCGCAGGCACAGCAGGAGGGTACATCCAGCAATGGAGCCGTTGGCTGGCTCTCCACATCGTCGACGACCTCCTCGCAAATGCGTCGAGTCAGTCCACCGTCATCCATGTGCCAAACGTCGCGATGCTGCAGGACCGTGGCCCGCATCAGGATGCAGCCGCTGCCGGGCTCGCTGGGCGCCACCCAGGTCAGGTGCATGTGTGTCTTTGGATTGGTGTTGGTGTTCTCCACCATATTAATGCAGTTGGGGCTGAAGCGCGACTCGGTCATGTCGCTCAGCTCAAAGCGGCCGAGATCATCCGCATAGTTGAAGTCCCCGTTCTCGTTCTCCAGCGCCAGAATGAAGCTGATGTAGCGATGTCCGTTGAATGCATTCAGCGAAACTGTGTGGTGTGGTGTGGCGAGAGTGGGAAGATCATTCTCATTTCTTAGCTCTTATCGTTAACCTTGAATTCCAATTCGAATTTCGAATTCGCAAGGGGAACGCCGCGATAAGCCAGAGCTACCCAAGGCACACATGTGCGTACTTTGTTTACTAAACAATAAACATTGCGAAATCTTGGAAGCCTCAGAGCCCCAGAGAGCGAGAGGCCCCAAGGCAATCTGCCCATGAAGTTCAAGCGCAAGCGGCCAATGAACTGTACTCACCGTTGTACTCCTGTCCGAGAATATATGTTTCCGGATTGCCTGTCACGCTTATCACATAGTTCTCGTCCACTGGCGACTTGGGCGTGGCCGTGTTCGCCGGGCGGCGTGTACAGATCAGACTGTGGGCTGTGCCGATCGTCAGCGCCGCCAGAATCAGTGGAAATAGGGAAAAAGAGTTGGTCCGCCACATTCTGGAGATTCATCTAGTCCATTCGACTTGAGCGTCTGTTGCAAACTGAGCAAAGCTTTTCCCTTTTGCGAAAAGTGAATCAGAGAAGGAAAGAGAGAAAGAGAGAGACTTGGCTTGGCTCTGACTGTTCCCCGATAAGCCCCACATTTGTAGAGTGTTATATTTCTGACCCACTGATACCAATAGACGGCGACTGGGGGGGCCTTATCAGTGCCGGAAAAACAACGCAAGCTTTTGACTCTCTTTAACACTGCGACAGAGAAACAGGGAAACCGAAACCCAGCTAAAAAGTATTCTCTTTCAACTGTGGAAGCACAAAATACCCTGGACTCAATCGTAGTTTATCTTTATTAGGATGGGGATATATTCAGCTGCCGTAACGCCCCGGTCTGAATGTGCCTGTATATGTGTTCCTTGTGTGGGACATCGGTTCAGCTATATCACCCACTGCGTCGCCATAAGCTCCGCCGGTCTGGCCATATAGATCCATGGCTTCATTGTCGCTGCGCTCCACGTTCATCTGGGGCTGCAGGCATGTGCCCTCGCAGGCCATCAGCGAACGGAAGCGATTCTTGTTCTCATCGCAGTTGTCCGTGGTGAAGATCTTGCACTCGTGGTCATCGTGATCGTAGAACCAGTAGTTGCTCACAATCACCGGATTGGCCAGGCAGGGACGAGTGGAGGCAATGGGCTTCTCGAAGCAGTAGTCCTGGACCACATTGTAGTTGCTGCCCGGCTCAGCCATCTCCTGCTGGCGACTGGGAAAGCGTCCTGCGTACGGGGATCTAGTGGTGAAGCCCAAGCCCGTCCTCAGGTTCGGAGTGCTGTAATCCTTGCTGTTATAGCCCGGACTGTAATCATTGTAGCTGTTTCCGGGTCGCGGGTTACCCACCATCTTCTCACTGCCGTAGATGTTATAGCTGGGACGCTCATGCTCCGAATCGAGAGGCTGTCCCCGTCGATTGTCGATTGAATCAAACGGTGAACGTTGCTGGCTGTCTGTCTGGCCAAAGGGCGCATTGGTGTCCTGCGATCTATCCACAGAGCCGTACGGTGATCTGTCAAAGGCATTCTCATTCTCAGCGGTGCTGAAACTCTTTCTGTTCCAGCCCTGATTTGCTGATCCGCCCCCATAGGGATTGTCCATTCTGTTATTGTAACTATTTGTGCTCCAGCTGGGCGTCTGATTGGGTTCGCCGAACAGCTCTGGCTCCGGCAAACCATCGAGCTCCCCGTTGTCAGGTATGGTGCCGCCACAGTCCGATCCCAGACACTGTCTGGTCTCCTCCATGGGAAGCCGCATGACCGTCAGACATCGCTGCCTCGCCTGGGGATTGGTATAGTCGCGTGTCCGTGTGGAGACGCCGCGGCCACAGGTTTTTGAGCACGGCGACCACTCACTCCAGCTGCTCAGCTGACACTCGGCCATGGAGCCAGTACCTGTTGCCGTCTCCCCACCCATAGCCACACCCAAACCCACATCCTCGCCGGGGCTGCCAATGGCATACTCTTCCTCCCCCGGGCCGCACTGAGTGCCCTGGCACTGGCGAATCTCCTCCAGTTTAATAGCGCAGTTGTAATTGGCCGCCAGATTGGGATTCTTGTAGCTGCGCATGCGCTGGGTGTAGCCCTGGCCACAGCGGGTGCTGCAGTTGCTCCAATCGTTCCAAGGATGTACAGCGCATTCCAGAGGTCCTCGTCCACTCTGCGATACTAAACCATGGGTCAGAGAATGTGATTGAATCATTATATTTCTGATTACTCTAGTCAACACGACATTTAGGCTGTGGCCCAAAATGACTTTTTCTTATAGATATCGGGGCTTACATTTTTTTTTAGCGAATTATGGTTTTTTTTCTGCTTTAGTTTTTTTTTAAGAATTTTTTAAAATCTGCTATTTTTTGTTTAATGTTTTTTTTTCAAAGGTAGTACTTTTATTTTTATTATATCTGGTTGCATATTTTGCAGTTCTGAAAAGCTTTGTCAGCTTATATTATTCAGCTATAAATCCGACCCAGACACTTTGTATCTGCAGCTTAACGGCTGGAAGATATTAAGCTTTCAAATTCAAATTTCATCATTTTTTTTCGGTATTTTTGCGGTATAGCTGCATTTGTCAGCTTTTCAGAACTGCAAAGTTCTATGCAAACAGATATAACCAGATTGACTTAAAAAAAAATTAACCATAAAAAAAAGTACTACAAAAATTTTTAAATCCCGAAATCTATTAAAAAAATTCCTTTTTGGTCCACAGCCGAAAGAAAAAGTTAAATTTTGTTGAGTAGTGTTACTTACCCTCCTCGCACTCGCGGATGTAGAGCTTCTTCCTGGTCAAGTGGAGCGTGGCCAATGGCTTCATCGAGGCGCCGGTATCATCGAAGAAGGGCGAACGATAATCGCTGGGATACGAAGAAGTTATCCGTCGTATAACATCTGGTGGAACCTGCGGCTGGTCGGGTGACTGAAGGAGAAAACCGTGCTTCAAACTAGACAGGACAGGACACGGTTGATTTGTGATCTTTACCCACCATATAAGAGGGTCCTGAATCGGTGCCAATGTCCCAGGGGTACAAATTCAGTACCTTTCGCTGCAGCCACGTGCAGTTGCTGAGGCACAGCTCCAGCCCAGCCACACCCAGTATCCAGTCGGGCGAGGGATCGATTTTGGCAGCCAGCGAGATCTGATGATGTGCCGAATCCACACGAGCATTGGCCAGCGTCGAGCCGAAGGCATTCAAGCGATGGGGTATGCCAGGGGCCTTGACGATGGTGCGCACTGCGCCATTCTGTAAGAGATCACCGGATGGAACAGTCCTTATGCAAGCAATGGGATTAGGAACCAAACTTGTGTGTTGTCTCGGATCTCCTGCTCCAGGGTACGGGTAGCGCCATGCTCGGCCATCTCGCGCATGCCCAGACTGGCTCGTCCCCCATACGCCCAGTAGCGGTAGTCATAGCTGTGCGAGGCGCCAATCAGCTCGCCCAAACGCGTGCGCCACGCCTCGACCGGGAAGTCCTTGGAATGGGTATTCCTGGTCCACTTGCGCTCCAGGACGATCTACGAAAACAAATGGAACGCAACTGTAAAAGCGCAACCTTCAGGGCCCACTGTTGGGCGTCGCCTCCCCACCTCGTACTTGGCCTCATCGCAGGCACAACAGTTCTGGAGTGGCGGCGTCAGGCTGTTCAGCTCGTCAATTTCCTCGGGGCAGATGCGTTTGGTGAGGAACCCCTCGTCAATGAACCAAACATCGCGCTGCTGCACCACTCCCGCCTTGATGAGGACACAGCCGCTTTCGGGCGACTTTGGGGCCACCCAGGAGACTTCGATATGGGTCTTGGCATTCGTGTTGGTGCTCTCGACCAAGTTCTCACAGCCGACGCTGAATCTGGTGTCGGGTGAGCCCAGAAGCTCAAAGTGGCCGGTCATGTCCAGTCCATTGAAGGCCGCCGCCTGATCCTCGCTCTCGATCACCAGCGTGAAGCTCACAAACTTTAAGTTAATGGGGCAGGAGAGCGACACTGTGGAAATTAATTATAGAGATACTTCCCTTTGATGTGCATGGGATTAGCCCCCTCACCGTTGTACTGATGCTCGGGTACATAGGTCTCTGGATTTCCGTCGATCAAAAGGCGAAAGTTTTCATCCACAGCAGACCGTTCTCCGCTGGCTCCTTGTGGTATCCGATTGCATGCCCCCCGCACACCCTGAATCAACAACATTTGGAGCAGAATAACCCGCACAAGTGGCCACATTGCGTCTCGATCCATAGCTGTCTACAGCACAGCGTCAACTGACTGACTGACTGATCGGCGGCTGCCTCTAGTGCCGAAATTGGTCTATTAATCGATGAGCATTTCAATTATCTCATCTTGATTGAGTTGCCGATTGGTCAATTGGAATAGAATTTGTTTCGCTTGTTTTGTGTGTTTTATACCCGTGCTCCGAGAGTATATTCGATTTGTGGTTAAAGTGGATGTGTGAATGAAGAAATTAATTTTCAGCTGCTAACCCCAACCCCCTCCAGTGCTGCAGCCGTTACCCATTCTCTCCGACCTCTGGCGGAGGACATGTAGAATCTACATTGTAGATGTAGATCTAAACTGATAAAATATCTAGAAATTCCACATAAATCATAAGCTGACATACATATATACTGACTGAGTACGGGTATAAAAGTAGAGTCGCGGCCACAGCAGCAACTCACAACGTTCCTTCTTGTTGTGTTTGTGTGTGTGGCACGCTCTTTAATCAACGGGTTTGGTTATGGGGTTCTTTGAACTTGGACCAGGGCATTGAAGGAGGCAAGGGCCGGGCAACAGTCGCACAAGAGATTTGGGTCAATGACGAATGTGGCATGAAGCGCAAATACTTTAAGCAGAAGTTTCAGTTTAGCTGGGAACTGTCCACAAGTAGAACCTCCTGCCCCGCCACATATACTTAAGTTCCATGACCTAAGGATAGCTGGTGGATTCTTATATATTTTGTCATTCATTCGCTTGCGATTACATAATTGGTGTACGACTAATACTTGTTGGAATCGATCGATCCATCGTTGTTCCTGTTGCCTTACCACTTCTCGGCATCATCGTTGCTGATCAGGAGGCACGGCATCATCATACACTTCTCCATGCGGACACGATCCTTGCACATGGAGCTCAGATCCGTGTTGAGCAGCGTGCGGGTACGCTGTCGCACGGCATTGTCGCCACACGTGGCAGTGCAGGGCGTCCAGGCGGACCACTCCGAATAGCGGCACGCATCGCGCGGATCCGGCGGTGGCGTCTTGGCCACATGCCGTCGCTCACCGAATCCGCCGCCGCTGATCGAGTAAATGTCGTCGCAGCGCTGATAGCAGCGATCGAGGCGCACCAGATGCTTGGGGCATGGCTTGCCGCCGTACTTGGGTGTGCGGAGGACGCGACGGGTGCGCAGCTGGTAGCCGTCGCCGCAGGTGGCGTTGCAGATGTGGGTGAGCCACTCGGAGACGAGACAGTCGATGGCTTGGAGGCGGTCGTACTTTAGCTCTTGCTTGTGGCGAGGTTGGCGGCACGTGTCCTCGCACTCCTCCTTCGACTTGAACTTGTTGCGGTTGGTGTCGCAGCGGTCCGACCAGTAGATGGCGCACTGGTCGCTCACATGATCGTAGTACCAGTAGTTGGTCACGTCGCTGTCCCGACAGGGACTGTCCATCAGGTCCTCGTAGCAAAGATGGGGCACGATGGTGTCACAGCTGGGATTCGTGCAGTTCACCTCCTCGTGGAGCTTGATGTGGCGGCACGGATCACTGCCGTCGTCGCTGGGGTCGTGCACGCCGTACACCTGATTGTTGTTCCACACCTTGCGGATGCGCTGACGCTTCCCGTGGCCTCCGCACGGGCCCTGGCAGGGCGAGAAGTCCGACCAGGGCGTTATCCCGCACACTGGCGGTATATAGTCCTCCTTGTGCTGGCTGTAGCTCTCGAAGTTGCGAAAGATCGACCGCTTCTCGGCCCCATCCCCTGCGTCTCCTGCGCCTGCATCCTCGGGCACTATGTCGCCCCCGCACTCCATGGCCTCGCACACTTTGGTCTCCTGCAGGCGGGCCCTGCTCGCCTTCTGGCACTTCTTCTTGGCCTTCTTGTTGAGGTAGTGTCGCGACCGCGTCTGCTCGCCCGTGCCACATGTCACAGTACACGAGGACCATTCGCTCCACTCGGACAGCCCACACTGCGGATCGTCGGAGCCGGCCGTTGGATATCCAACCTCGGGCTGCACCGCCCCATCGGCTGTTTCCTCATTGAAGCTGGCGCAATTGCGTCCCACGCAGTTCTTCTCCTCCCGCAGGGCATTGTTGCAGCGATGACGCTGGAAGGCGATTAATCAGGGGTTAAACGAGGTCCAGAGGTCCATCTGCAAAATGGACTCACCGATGCCAGCACGGGATTCTTGAACTCGCGCGTCCTGTACTGCTTGCCGGGTCCGCATTTGGTGCTGCACTCGTCCCATCTGCTCCATGCCTCGGTGGCGCACTCCGCGGGCAGCTGCTCCGCTGCAAAGGCATTCAGGTGAGTGCTCAGAGTGAGTATATTAACATTATGTTATTGTGCCTTACAGTCAGTCGACTCGCAGTTCTTCTCGTAGAGGCGTCTTCGATTGATGTGCAATGTGGCCAGGGGCTTCATCTGAGCGCCGCTGGGATCGTAGAAGGGCGAACGCGGGTCGTTGGGGTAGTTGGACTTGATGCGGCGCACCACATCGGGCGGCACCTGCGGCTGGTCGGCGGACTGCAACGACAAGCGGATTGAGAATTCATCGCAGAGAGACCAGTTGGAGAGGAGATGGCTTACCATATAAGATGGACCGCTGTCAGTGCCCGCATCCCAGGGATACAGATTGTGGACCTTGTTCTCCACCCACGAGCAGTTGGGCAGGCACAGCTCCAGCCCGGAGACGCCGACAATCCAGTCGGGCGAGGGATCCACCATGGAGACCAGCGAAATCAGATGATGATTCGAGTCCACCCGAAAGACGGCGAAAGTCTTGCCCGTCACATTCGGATAGGCGATGCCGCGTGCCTTGATGATCGTGCGGATGTGCTCGCTCTGGTCCTTCAGCTCGCTCTCCAGGGTGCGCGTGGAGCCGTGCTCGGCCACCTCCCGCAGCCCCTCACTGGCCATCTCCCCGTACTGCCAAAATCGGTAGTCGATGGTGTGGGAGGCGCCGATGATGTCGCTGAATCGGGTGCGCCAGCTGTTGGCCGGGAAGTCCTTGGGATGCGTGTGCCGCGACCATTTGCCCTCGAAGGTGAGCTGAAAATGGGAGTAGCTGGAGGTGAAGCTTTGCAGTCATTACATATTGCAGCGACGGTACCCACCTCGTACTTGGCCTCATCACAGGCACAGCATGGATCCATAATGCTGGGCTGCGTGTCGATGTCGTCCACCTCCTCCTCGCACATGCGCTTGGTGAGGAAGCCATCGTCCATGAACCAAACATCGCGATGCTGCATCACGGTCGCCCGCAGCAGAATGCAGCCCTGTCCGGGACTAGACGGCGCCACCCAGACCACATCCACGTGAGTCTTCACATTTGTGTTGGTGTTCTCGACGAGATTGGCGCAGCGCGGACTGAAGCGCGTCTCGGCCAGATCCTGTAGCTCAAAGGTGCCCACGGCATTCGGATCATCCTCGCCGTCACCCGTCTCCAGGTCCAAGGCCAACAAAAAGCTCACGAAGGATAGCCCCGAAAATGCACTCAGGGTCACTGGAAGAGCGGCAAAAGTGTGATGGATGCAGATTCATTCCTGCAGATTAATTCCTTGGCTGTGGTCGATCACTCACCGTTGTACCGCTGGCCCGGCACATAGCTCTGGGCATTGTTAGCCACGGACAGCACATAGTTATCGTCCACCGGAGACTTGGCTGCAGTGGCCCCCAGCGGTATCCGGTTGCATGCCTCGATGCGCGGCCAAGTCCGCGCCACAGCCAGCAATAAGATGAGGCACCACTCTCGGGCTTTCATTGCGGATCGCTGCAATCGGAAAAGGAACTTCTATGTCTGAATTGGACTGCATTCGCCGAGTGGATACTGTTTGCCTGGCACCCAACTGGAATTCCCTTAATTATCAGCAATTATCAGCACTCGTACCGAATGTCAATGGCGGGCGCCCAGTTTGTAGTTCTGAATTGAACTTGAATTAGTTGCTATATGCATCTAGTACACAGGCGACATACGAGACGAGTATGTACGAGTATACCTTCCAATTGAAGCATTTACTTTACCCAGTTTGAATGTTCATTTCTATTTTTACAGACACTTTCTATTTCCTTTCATCATTGCCATGCGGAACTTGAACCGAGCGGCGTCTGCGTTGTTTTCCCCCTTGACAATCGCATCGCACTGCAAGCCCATATTTAATCATACGTACACATACGTACAATATATAGTATATATGTAGTATAGTATACGGATACTATGTACGACTACGTCACTGATTAAATTCAATTGAAAAACGCGCCGACTGTCCATAGGAAATGTCCAGAGCAAAATAACAGCACCCAGACGTCCACAAAAACAACAACATTCCCATAGATTTCCATCACCCATCAAAAACACTTTTGAGGCTTCGCCCTGACAGTGGAAAAACTGAAGTAAGTCCAAGCATATCGCAGGCTGCTGACCCCTGGCACACTGCAACTTACTGGATATTTAATTTGTCAATATTTAGTGAATCCTTTGGTAAAATTTCAGGATGTTTTGGACACTTTTTCAGCTCAGTATTGATGGATCTTGTTGGATACGAGCTCAGAGTACATTTCGCGCAAGACGTTGAATATGTTGAAAAAATAAATTCAGAACGGAACGTTCCCTGGAGGCACTCGAACGGCAACTGAATGCAAATTTAGCACGAGCATTGAAACCGACTGCCGCCCGTCGATTATTGGCCAGACGATGTGCATCATATGACTCGTGGATTAGAGAGTGGGCGAGAGAGAATCGCCGCTCTACTTTCGCCTTTCGTTCAGCATGGCTTCCGCTTTGTGCGCGGCTTCGCATTTGTTGATGGGGTTCTGTTTTCACTAGCCCATCCTAAACAAACGAAGGGTACTGTGGAAATAAATGAAATAAAACCAAACGAAAACCCCCCAGATATAGGCACTCACATGTAGAGGCACTAGCTGTCAGAGTAGGCTGTTTAACAGCATAACATCCAGCAAAGTCTATAGAGTTAAAAGTACATTACAATTTGTAAAAACACTACATATCATTGTTGAATCCAATTCACTTAATTTTAAAATTTATTTTTTTTGCAAATCCAACAATGATAACAAAAGCTAACCACTCGAAGGTAAGTTCCTACGCAATCCCTTAGCTATCTAAAATGGAAAATTCTTCAGGTTTCGAGGGAAAGCTCAGTCAGCCGCAGTATTGATACAGTGCGCGACACTGGGGGGAGTAGTGTGAGCCTCTGTTCGATTAAATTAAAGCGCTGGAAGGGGTCCGTCGACGAGCTTATGTCGCTGCCAGAGAAGCGACAATCCAGGATTCCTCTGCCAGTGAAGAAAACCCTATCTCGCGCGATTATCCCACGTAGGTTTAGCCTCCCATCTAATTTCCTTCGGGTAATTGATTCAATCCTCGTCCAATCCAAGGCAAATACCACCGTGTGCGTGGCCTCGAGACAGAGTACCAGATGCTGCAATGGCGTCAATCGTCCTTTTTGGAGAAGCTGAGGTGGTTAGAACCGGCGGAGTCCCAAAATGCTGGGCTCGTACAAGTTGGTTTCCATTGTGCCGAACGAGGACAGCATGCCACAGAAGTTGTGTGAGTTTCTATCGATTCCATTCGACTCCTGTTGGAAACTCATCAGCGGCTTTCTTTTTGCAGCCAGCGATTGCGTTCAAGAGCTGAAGAGTTGTTGCCAGGCGGCCCTCGATTCGGGCTTTATAATGTTCTATGACCACTTGGAATACATCCAGCTGGCCAAGGACGAGCTAGAGGCGCGCAATCAGAAGGAGAAGCTCACCCTCAAGCTGAAGGATCTTCTGGTAGGCTCGATTGAGACACTTCGCTCTCTACTCTGGTGCATGACTCAGCTTGGCCCTCTCCCATCTAACCATAGCACCGCCAAGTAGAGAGCATCGTCGAGAACATCGAGCAGCTGAGTGTCAGCTGTCAACCTGTCAGCCGTCAGAAGTCGCCCAACAAGCATCTGATCCGCTACATAAACGAGCTGCGTGATCACAAGCAGGACGTGCAGGAGCAGCTCTCACAAAACGTACAGGCACACAACGCCAAGGTAAACAGAATCAAGGCGGACCTCGAGGTGCAGCTGCTGGCGACTGAGGCAAAATATCAGAAGTCGCTGCGCGAGGTGAAGGAAATGCTACAGCTCTGCGAGGCACAAAACATAAAAGACTTAAAAGAGCTGGCCGAACAGAATGACTCTTTGGTGGCTAAGGACAACACCATCGCCTCGCAGAGGGCAGAGATGGACAGTCTAATGTCTCGGTGAGTGGAGCAGCCAGATGGGGCAAACTGCTACCAGTACTGTCCCTGTTACTTAGTTATCTATCCTTGAACAGCAATATGGAGCTGGAGCAGCTGGTAGAGGAGTCGGAGGCTATGGTGGTCCAGGCACAGGAAGAGGTCGAAAGCAAAACAAAGTCTATGGTCTGTCTGGAGGAGAAGCTGAAGGAGGAGCGACAGGATGTAATAGAACAGAAAGATCAGATCATTGACGATTTGAATCTGAAGGTGCTGTCTCTCAAGCAGTTCAAGGACTTGTACCACAAACAATCGAAGAATACTCGGAAGCTGGAGGCGGGGAACAAAAGGCTGGAAGCAACGATCAAACAGTCAAGGGCCGAGATCAGGTGAGGCCCTCACTAAAGTGCACAGTTAAGCAAATAAATTTTCGCAATTCGACATCTGCAGTGAGCTGCACGAGAAGTTAAAGAGCGCAGAAGTCCAGCTTGCCTCCAGTTGCCAAAGGGAGCAGCAGCTCCACTCGCATCTGAAGCAGGTGAAGTCGGAGCTGTTCAGGTCCGAGCAGCTGGTGGTCCAGTTGCAAGAGCAGTTGAACGCGATCCGCGAGACTGACATCCAAAGAAAAAATGACCAAATGTGCATCGAATCTTCAGCGGACCCGCAGATAACTCAGGTACAGTGTCCAGGTCTCGGGCTGGCCGGGCTTTGCTAACTATTTCATCTCGCTGCAGATGCGCATCCAGCTGCAGGCGAAGGAGGAGCAGCTAAGTAAGATGCAGCGGACGCTTAGCTGCATGGAGGAGTCAGTAGCATTGACCAACCAACACAACCATATGCTCAGCCAGCTCTGGGATGGTCAGCGCGAGAAAGATCTCTTGATGGAACGACAGATTTCCCAACCTAAGGACTGCATGTCGGTGTCAAAGCCCAATTAATCATAACCCGTTCAAAATTTCAAGCGCATTGCATTTTTCAGAAATTTGTTTCAAGATTATTTTAAGCATCAGCAGACAAACAGAACAACCAAATGAACTGAATGGGGCCTACTTTATAAATCAGCCGATTCAGGGGAATATTCATGGAATGCATGGAAATTACTTTAGACCACTTTATAGCCAACTTTCCCAGCAGCAGCCACAACGGTAGGTAACCCGACCACGGCCAATAGAGATTCCAATGTCCTACCCCAACCTAGGTTCAATTAGCAAAATTTATTGTTCGTTTTATTAAATATTGCAATTACTACTACAATTTGAGTCGGCTTTATGTGTATGTACTGTACGAGTACGTAGGTTCATATATATTTCCCCGAGTTTGTTCGGGTGGCATGGGGAATGTGGATGATCAGTAGAGATGCCGCCCGGCTGAATCTGGCACAGTTAATTGAAATGATTTGCATTTTGAGGGCAGGGTCGCTGTAAATACGAGTACTGTTCGTTTGATGAGTTTGAGATACTTAATCCCAAGGGCTGAACAATGTGAATAACTCCTCGTCAGCTGAGCCGATATCTGGAGCTTGAGCTCCCCTAATGCTTTCCTGTTTGGCTGAAATTCCCAGCGCAACGAGCATCGCGAGAGCATCAACTCGAGCGCTCATCTCGACATCTCGAATTTGAGATGATGCTGCTGCTGCTGCCTTGTGTCCGGAGGTTTCCTAGTCTATTATCAGTTATGCTTCAGTTAGTCGCAGTGAACCGCTTGCCATAGACGGTTGACGGTGCCAATTGTAAACTTGGGAAAACTTTCGGGTGGGCTGTAACATCTATTGTGTTTGAGATTAAGAAGTTCCAAGTGAAAGTGTAGGTGTAAGAATAAAACTACATTTTATCTGTCGTGTGATTGTTTAGTTTTGGCTGTTGGTGCTTGATCTTTGTCTTTGTGTGTCCAAAAGATAAGCAGAGAAGTTGCCACCAAATGTCTCGGCTAGCATTAAGATAATGCCAAGAGTTTACAGCATATCTGTACGAGTATCTGCTCAAATAACTCCACTATCTAAATCTTTCACTTGGCTGGGCAAACAGTCTGGATACACCCAAATTATATGCGGCCAACACTCTCTCTGTGTTAGACAGAAATGCGTCCAGATTAGATATTCTTTAAAGGAATCCAAAAGGTTCCGTGCATATTTTGACACACACCGTGGTGCAAGAAGTGCGGATTCAGGCAGAGATTGCCATGGATGTGATTAATGGTCGCATTGAACCCACTGTCTAGTGATTTCGGGGTGCATTTTGGTACTATCAGCAAAGCGTCGCACGTCCCATAAATTCTACATTTTCGTACGTATAATTATTAATTGCCCGAAACCGTGACGGCAAAAATCAAAAATCAAAATTCAAATTTGTATTGCCATTAATTTCTAACCAGTTGCGCACTTGGCGTTAAATTTAATCCATCTATTTATAGGCAAATTTGGGAGAAAGAATAGAGTCGCACCCAGTTACTGGCGGCGATTATAAACTCGATCTACACTTTTATTCGATCAAATATCAATAATAAAAACAAGAAAATAGCAGTAAACAAATTCATAAACTATCTAAATTTATGCGTATAGCGTGATGCTGGCCTATTAAATATTTTTGAAAACCAAAACTTGAGCCCCTAAGCGTGCCATCCACTTGACTGCTTTGTCACCTCATCATCTGATATGTGGTCAAGTGGCGCCAATGCTAATTACCTGTGTATAAGTAGCACTGACCTTGGTGGCGATTTTTGTTTACAGTTAAATTTATCCTGGCATCCCCCATAGATTATATAGATTAATTTGAGCTTTTGTGTCGTGCGTTGCCAGCTTTTTTGTTTACTGTCCCAAGAATTAAACCAGCCTTTATCCAATAACTATGGATGCTGCTGCTGCTGCAGAGTACCAGAGACTGAGCCAAAGGATGGACAACGAGCAGCCAGAAAGGAGCTCCGTTCTCTACACCACATCCAGCGATGAGGTGGGTAGCCGGCTTCTTGTAGCTTGGAATATCCTTAGGACTAACTCAATCTTTTCAGCTTACCATTAACTGCTGCCTGGACAAAGTCGAGGGACAGGCTCAGGCTCAGACAGAGGCGGTGGAGAGGGGCGTGAATTCCCCTGGACAGCGCGATCAATGGAGTCGCGGACTGGAGTTCCTCTTCTCCTGTATTGCCCTGTCGGTGGGCCTGGGAAATGTCTGGCGCTTTCCGTTCATCGCCTTGGAGAATGGCGGTGGAGCCTTCGTGGTTCCCTATGTTATAGTGCTCATCCTGATCGGGCGACCAATCTACTATCTGGAGGTAGTCATTGGACAGTTCTCGAGCCGGGGCTGTATCAAGGCCTTCGACATGGTGCCCATTATGAAGGGTGAGTGAGTCCTCAGACATTGCTCTCTCAATGCTGAATTTTCCTCTCCAGGCATCGGCTACGGTCAGGTGTACTCCACTGCGCTGGCCACCACCTACTACGCCTGCATTATGGCCCTGACCATACGCTATCTGGTGGCCAGCTTTGACGATGTCCTGCCGTGGACCTACTGTCTGGTGGAGTGGGGCAGCGCTTGCGTGGCCACAGGAGCCACCATCGCACCGAATGGCACTGCCCTAGGCCAGGGCGTTTCTTCCGCGGAGCTCTACTTCACGTGAGTTTGACCCAAAAACAATATTTCCCACCCAAGTCGCTCTAGTAGCTTCCCCTATGGCAGGCATACTGTGCTCAGGGAGCCTGAGAACCTGCAGGAGAATGGGCTGGGAACTCCCAGTTGGGACTTGGTGCTCTGCCTGTTCGCCACCTGGCTGATCATTGGCGCCATCCTCTTCAAGGGCATACGCAGCTCGGGCAAGGCCTCCTACTTCCTCGCCCTGTTTCCGTATCTGATCATGCTGATCCTGTTGGCGAGGGCGTTGACCCTGCCCGGCGCCTGGCGCGGCATCGTCTACTTCCTCGAGCCGAAGTGGTCCGAGCTGCTGAATCCGCATGTCTGGTATGCGGCCATCACCCAGATGTTCTTCTCGCTGGCTATCTGCTTCGGCACGCTGGTCATGTACGCCTCCTTCAACGACTTCCACAAGAATGTTCACAAGTAAGTGGGTTGTGGGTATTATTTCCCTTTCTCCCTTCCGTCTATCTAATGACTCCTCCCCCTGCCCAGAGATGTGATCATCATCACCAGCATTGATTCGTTCACCTCGATTCTCGCTGGCTGCATCATCTTTGGCATCCTGGGCAATCTGGCACATGAAACCAACACCGAGGACATCGCTCAGGTGGTACAGGGTGGAGCTGGACTGGCCTTCATCTCCTATCCGGAGGCCATTGCCAAGTTCAAGTATCTTCCGCAGCTGTTTGCCGTGCTCTTCTTCTTCATGCTGCTGGTGCTGGGAATTGGATCGAATGTGGGCATGGCCAGTGCCGTGATCAACGTGGTCAAGGATCGCTTCAGCCATCTGCCCGACTGGCTACTGGCCGCTGCCTTCTCGCTAATTGGCTTCCTTTGCGGTCTGGTGTATATGACGCCGGGCGGACAATTTGTTCTCAATCTGGTGGACTTTTATGGCTGCACCTTCATCGCCATTGTGCTGGCCATTGCCGAGCTGCTGGCCGTGGGCTGGATCTACGGTGTGAAGCGCATCTGCAGCGACATCGAATTTATGCTGAACGTAAAGACAAGCTTCTACTGGCGCATCTGCTGGGCCATTGTGGCCCCCGGCCTGATGTTCCTCGTCTTTGTCTACATGCTGTCCAACTATGAGCCCCTCACCTATCGAGGTGTGGAGTATCCACAGACTGCCTATATGGCGGGCTGGGCCATCTGGGGCCTGGGAGTGCTCCAGGTGCCCATCTGGGCCATCTATACGATCTACCAGCAGCCGGGAAAGACTTTCAGCAGCGTAAGTAGACGATGACTACATACTCTCCCCATAATCCGGCTGAGAACTCTCCTTTCTCTGCCCCACAGAAGTTGAAGATGTCCCTGCAGCCCACGACGGACTGGGGTCCCCGCCAGCCACAGCAACTGGAGGCCTACCTTCTGCACAGGAATCGCCAGGTGGAGCTCAAGCCCCGACGCGGTGGCTACCTCTGTGACAATATTTTCGGCTAAAATTGTATTTAGATATATATATATAGAATTCGGTTATCATTTAATTTTACGCTTTATTATTAATGCCAAAACGCGCAAAACTTTTGTTTGCTGCAAGCTTTAGTTATGACAAAAAAGTTGTTTTGTTTTTTTTTCCTTTTTAAGAACTAATTTCGAACAGTTTTTAATTAATTTCCTTTATGGCTTAGGCTTAGCTTAAGCATTAAAAGTGAGGGTTTTAGGATTTGTAAGTACTCGGTCGGTAATTATTTAAAATAATATTTGGAAAATATAAGCCAGAGACCTCTGAAGCATTTAAATGGCAGCTACTTAGATGGAATAATTGTCTTTGACTGGTTTGAATCGCATTAGTCCCCCCACAAATTATATGAAATTATGTTGCATTCTTTCACTATCCCATTCCATTCGGTCGTGTAAGGAATACGAACGAAAGATACATTTGGTTTATCTTTTTGTTGTGTTGCTCCTCTCTGCTTTAGTTTAATTATCACAGCACTTTTTGATATTGTTTTCATTGTGCAAAATTATATGTCCCTACAACAGAATCCATGAGCCTAGTCTTCCTAGCAAGTTCACCAGCACGTATACTCTCTCTTTCTCTCTATAGTTGTATGTATATATTTATATATCATTAAGCTATTTAGTATGTCTCTTAATAGGTATGCTTAGTGGCAAGCTTTAGCCAAGCAATAATTTGCTAATTAATTATTGAAAAACTTTGGTTTTGGCCAGCATCTTCGTCTTAGCCTACATACGAGTATATAAAAGTGAAATTTTATATAATTTTTGTTGAACCTCGAACGGAGTAGATTTTTGGTTTTTGTTTGTTTTTTTTTTTTTTGCTTATTTTTGGCAGATTTCTGTTAGATTTGGGCAAAGTTTTCCCCCGACCTCAATTGCGGCTTTTCTGCTCTGAAACCTTCCCCCCAGTTTGACAGTTTGACAAAATTTTCTACGTTTTATGCTAAGAATTGACTCTTGGTTTGCGGTTTTTGTTAGCCTACTTTTCAGCGCGAAAAATTCAGCGTTTATATTTTTGTTTGTTTGTTGTTTTTGTGTTTACTACATAGTAAGTACAATACATACGAAGTTGTGATAAACTCTCTTGATATATCTAGGTTCGAATACGTATACATATAGTTCTGATTGATTCGCTATTTATTGTGGCTAAAATGGAAGTTCTTCGCTTGCAAGTTGCAACTCACACTAGATATGGTCCTATTAATTGGGTCTGGTCTGTCTCCCCCCCGACATTTGATAGCAAAATCAGACAAACAGACGATATGAGTTACCTTGAGTATATTGTCACCTACTTATGATACGCCTATCGAGTGTGTGTTCTTAATTGGCAGATGCAGATCCGTATCTGAGAGTTGAGAGAGTTTTAAAATTGGCTTAGGCCTAGTAAATATCGAATCAGAATCACGTAACGGGTGCAGAGTCCATCGCATTCGTATTGCAGTGTTTGTTTCATTTTAGTTTCATTTTAGTCGGAACTAAACTAAACTAAACTATTTATAGCTGATAGAAAAATATTGGGCCATCTAGATCCCATCTAGAAGGCCTGTATTGGTCGATAGAGTCCCGTGTAGCCGCAGAGCCTGGCCCGCATGGCCGGGATGAGGAAGGCGGCCAACGAGATATCCTTGAGCAAGTCCGCACACTCACAGACCAGGAGGTACATCTTGTCGCCCTTCTGTGAGGTGCTCTTGTGTAGGGTGATGCGCCGCAGACCCGCCGCACGTGGCAAGTATCTGAAATGTTGCATGCACGAGTGAAGGAATCAACAATAAAATTCCAGGCCATCGCCCTCTTACCTGTACAGCATCCGGGCGCCTGTCCAGTACAGCCAATTCTTTTCAAACCGCTCGCCATCGTCGCCCTCGAACACCTGCGGAATTAAAATTGAATTTTTCATGAAATCCGTGGAATCATTCGACCGGGCTGGCGTCAGCGCCCCCCCCACCCCTAACCACCTGCCTTGAACACTGTTATAATGTAGCCGGTGGCCGCGGTCTGCGATTTCTTGAAGCTCCCCGCCTCGTTTGAAGGCAGAACCAGCGGCGGCCGGCAAATGGACGCCACCTCGCTGTAGAGATCCAAAGTGTGGGCGGCAGTGTATCTGAAATGGGTTTCAAATTGAAGATTGAAAATATCTGGGGAAACATTCATGTACATTCAACTGACTTGAGGGCCTTGGGCTCGAACTTGGACAGCGATGAGACGCGTAGGCTGGCATAGAAGCTGGAAGGATCCGTTTGCATCGTATTGATGAGATAGTACGAGATGAATGGGAACTCGGCTGCGAAATATAAAAAGGCAATTAATCGAGTAGTCCCTCTACTTCCAAGAGAGAAAAGAGTCGCACTTACAGCTCTTCTCCATGTTGGCCAGGAGCATGCCGCCCACAGCTGTGTTGGCCTGCTGCACCTCCGTCACCAGCTCGGAGGCAATCGAACGCTGCTTGAGCAGCGGGTGCGCCAAGGGTGACTCCATGACGGGATCGATGGCCTCCAACGGACTCATCAAATGCACCAGGATGCATAATTTCGGATCGGAGACTTCCAGAACGCTCAGCGGACTGGCTGTCTTGCCATCGGCACTCAGAGCGGGTATCTACAAGAGAGAGCTGTGGTCTCGCAGTGCTGTTAGCGGTGATGGTCTGACTTACAGGTATACCAGCCGGCAGGAAGCGGTCCACACTATGCACCGGAATGATGAAGCAGTCCCGATCCAATGTGGCCAGGGAGATCGGCTCGGCTCGCGTGACTCCAGTGAGGCCACCACCGCCAAAGTTCACTGAAAAACGCCGTAACAGTACATTAGCGAGCGAGTTTAATAAGCCTAGCACGAGTACAGTTAGCAATTTAGTTGAATAGTTTAACCAACGGAACAGCTGGCAAGCTTTCGATGAAAATTACAACACTCTAATGACGAAAGCCTCTCATTGATTTGATCCAGGGCGCTAGTGAAGCATCGAAAAGCCTCTGTTAGCATAGAGATTAGTAAAGTTATAGGACAACGATCATTATATTTTATTGGCTCCACCCAATGCTCTTTCTGTGGTGTGGTGTGGTGTGGTGTTTGTGTGCAAGTTAGTTGGGTTCCCAAAACAGTTGCCAACCAAAATGCTGAAAGCTTTGGCTGCGAAGAAGCATTCTCGCCACTCCGAGTAAATGTCTAGCTTTTAGTAAAAAAAACAGGGTCAAAAGGTAAGTAAGTAAAACAAGAGTCGAACAACCGATATTCCGAACAAAAGAAATCGTAATCGGCATCGGCATCGTTATCGGTAGATTAGCTACAACGTGCGACAAAAAGCAGAATTTAGTTTTGGAAATTTGTATAAGTTTTGGTATTTGTGAGTTGCATGTTGTGGGTGGAAACTAGAGGAGCTTTGCTTTGTGTGTGTGTGTGTGTGAGTGTGTGTGAGTGTGTGGGTGTGTGTGGGTGCGTGGCAATGACGTTAGTGGCTGATCGATTGGGCAGCAACAACAACAACTAGTTGAGATCATATCCAGTCGGATCGAGTCTATGGTGGGGGATAGTTGAGGATATTCAAACCTTGCCGCGTGGCTGCAGCCGCGGCCGTTAGCAACGTGGTTGTTGCATTGGCCACTGTTGCATCACCGTATCCCAAGGTTGTTGTTGCTGTTGCCAAGTGATGATGCTGCTGCTGCTGCTGCTGCTGATGCTGCTGCTGCAGGCGTAGCAAACTGTTATTCGCACTGCTGCTGACAGTACCCGGTCCGCTGCTACTGCTATTCCAACGCATCAGGGAAAAGGATGGCCGGCGGTCGACCAGCGGCTGTGGAGCGTCCAACTCATAGGGCAAGTTGCCGGGCAGGGCGAATGACGTGGCTGTGCTCGATATCGGGGTGCTTGGTATGCCTGAGAATGCGCTACATCGTTCTGCAATGGATTCTCTCGATATTTATAAGGACACAAACACGCAGCAGTCAAACAACAAACAACATACGAAATGAGTGTGTGTGTGTGTGTGCGAGTGTGTGTGTGGAGGGGAAAATAATAAATAACAATTAGGTTGGCTTTCCATGGAGCTGGATGATGTTCGGGAGAGTTGGCTCCAGGGATTCGATTCCCTCTCCCTAGCTGCTATTATTCACAGGGGACAAGACAAGACAGACACATTCATCAGTTTCATCAGCTTTGGGGTAGGTAAGTGGAAGCTCTGGCCTTTTGTTGGATTTATTCCAACTCTTAGCCACACCAACCCCTCTTCTCCTTCCACCAAACTGAGATTCAAGGCCATTGCCAGGGGGAGCAGGAAGTGCAAAAGTTAGGGGGAAACACAAAAAAAAAAAGAACTTACATTCGGCTGTGCTCTAGCTTTTTCTGTACGAGTGTGTGCCCTGTGCCCCTGAAGCCAAGCCAACTGGAAATCAAAAGATTAGCTTATGCTTCCACTCACACCCCTTCTAGTAGGAAGACCTACACAGGCTCAGGCACAGGCACTGGCACATGCATTGAAGATGACAGGTGAATGGAATGCAGGAATTCAGGAGGCATCTAGGCATAGGTTATTCTACTTGGAATACTTTTGGAATCTTCTATTCTCATTTTTGAATGCTCAAACGGTGGGGTAATGGTATTCGAATGCCTGTATAATTATTTTCATTGAAATATTATTAAAATTAACGACAATTTGAACGCTACAATAAAACTGTCAGCCAATCGATTAAACTTGCAATTATTTATCTCCGATTATATCGCTCATACATATTTACTCCTCCATTACCTTCCCACCTGTGAGCATCTGCCCTACCCGTTAGCTGTTTGTGGAACTGATGGATACATTTCAATTGAATGCACTGCAAATGGATGAAATGTAAATGCGGGGTTAATGGAGCACAAGTGACGGAGGGCCACGCTCAAGCGAATGCAAAACGGAATAAAAATAAATAGAGAGACGGATAGGAAAAAGTGAATGAGAATGAGAATGGAAAGGGGAGTCGGAGTGGGCGAAGGTGAGCCATGTTTGTGGATGATTGAAATGGGCGCTAGGAGAAACGGAACATTTGCTTGTGCTGTTGTTGCTGCTGGCTGCTGCTGTTGCTGCTGTTGTTAGTGCCGCAAGGCGAACGTCAATTTACCTTCGCCCACGTCATAGCCAGGACGATTGGGTGAGAAGAACAGGTGTGTTCGGTAGTGGATCTCCTCCGGCTGCTGCACGAGGCCCATGTCCCGCGACCGCTTCGTCCGGTTCGCCTTCGACTGTAGCTTCCCGCCACCGCCGCCAGCCTTGCTTGCCCCCTCGCGGAAATTCTTGCGGAACATTAAATTCATCGTGAGTATCGTGTGGTACGAGTATGTGGTACGGCTACGCTACTCAGTGTGAGAGACGAGACTTGTCGTTGTGGTGTGGGTGGTGGTGCTGTTGTTCGTGTCCCTCCGATACTATTGACCACAGTATCTTGTGGGCGTTTGTGTTCCCGCCAGTTGTGTGTGTGTGTGTGTGGGTGAGTATTGGTGTGTATGTATGTTTGTTGGTTTGTTTCTTTTTTCGTTTATGTGGCTGTGTGCCTCTCTCGTTTTCCCGGCTCTTTTTTGTTTGTTATCTCATTTGTTGTGGTGTGTGGCTGTGGATTTCATTTAAATTACTTTCCGTTATTTGCGTTTCCTTTGTTGCGCTTTCGCTTTGTTTTGTTAACTTTGTTATTAGGTGGAATTCGTATTAATTTTTCTTTTAAAGAACTTGCCATTTATTTGCCCTTACCCAAGGACATAAAATAATGATACGGAATGATCGCAGGCGGAGAAAAGTTATCTCCTTGTTCTTTGGTTAACTTAAGGGGGAAAGGGTCGACTTGTGGATACCCTATCAACATTAGCATTAAATTAATTATTGGGAAGAATAGTTTCAATATGAGCACAACCAATCCAAGATTGTCTTTCATATCATACGCGCAGATTTTGTTTAGTTCTCACAGTTCATTTTCATTACTATAGTAATACTATGAATGTACATATTTATGTGTATATGATGGCATGGAATGAATACCAATTAATTTATAACTACCCACTTGTACCCACAGAAAAGTGTCGACGACTACACACCCTGCTCTGCGAGGGCGAGTGTGGAGCTTCTTATGCACGCAAACTTTTCATCGCCTTCCGGTTCGTTGACTTGGTCGTGGCCCAAATGGCTTTTGGGGTGTTTGTTTGTGTAAGTGTTGGTGTTGGTATGTACAGACGTGTATGTGCCAAGTCTGAGTGCGTGTGAGAAGCCAACGGCTTACGGCTTACGGAAATTGCCGGTTTCCGTCTCAAAATTATTTAACTGAACCAAACTGAACCGAACTTGCAGGATACGTAAGAAGCAAAGGGCAACACACAAAAAAATGGAAAAGTGAAAGGGGAAGAGGGAAAACCGGAAGAAGCGAGAAAAAGCGGGAAAAGTGGAATTCCAAATGCCTGGCAATTACAAATGCCTTCAAGCTAAGTGTAAAGGTACTCTTGGCTGTTAGGCGTCAGTGGGGTATCCTGAGACACGTTTGTGTGAGTGTAATTAGTTCAAGACACGGCGCAATTAGTTTTATGGTCGCTTATTGATTGCCTGGCGCGATAAATTTAGACAGCTGCTTCCGAGCGCAGAACGGAACGGGGGGAGCCCACTTTGAGTACAAATTTAAAAGTGCTTAGCCAAGTGCTGGGGCCATTTATAAACAGCTTGCTGGCAGGCTCAAATGAAGCATGAAAAGGGTGTTTCCACGTTGCCAGGGTAACTCAATTGAAAATTAAAGAAAGCGTGTGAAGGAAAGGAACCAGAGGGAAGAGGGAACTCTTGGCTTTTCTTAACGAACTTAAGGCAATTCCGGCTAATCTCATTAAACTTGATGTGTAACGAGGAATCCGTAAGGAATCTGATAAAGTTTTCACATAATAACTAAGAGTATGATTAAGCCATTAGGAAAGCATAATTTTCACTTCCATTATGTGCAAATTTCTTTGTACCAAGTGGGTTTCCGTCAGTTTATTACTCATACGCACCATAACGCAAATTGCCAAATGCCCCAACTGCATTTCCATCAGCAGAATTAATTTTGGCACCCACTTAAGCTCTGTTTTCAGCACTCCCTCAATCACGCAGGCCATCAAGCAAACCAGGAATCAAACAGAACCACGCCAAAATGGATCGTAAACATTTTTACAGCATTTTCAAGTGGCTGAGCCCCACTACAATTAATTGTTTTTACGACCCCAGTTACAGCAATAATAGTGCATGCACACATATGCACATATAAGTCACACAATCAAGTGTCCAAGAGATCAGCGGGGCAAGAGCGAGGCGAGAGAGATAATAACCAAAGAATAAAAAGGAAAACAATTTGGGAAGCCGCATTTCGTTTCGTTTTCTGGCCAAAAATAAACAAGCTAATGAAATACAATTTTGCGTTTTCTTCTCTGCCAAAATAAACCAAAACGAGCAAGAAGAAGAGTCACAAAAATTATAAAATTAGAATTTTCCCAACAAAGAGCGAAAGAGTGAGAGAGTGAGAGAGCGTGGGGTGGAGAGGGTGCTGTTCTGAGCATGACCTAGACAGGGAAGGTAGACGGATCGGACGGCCCTTGACCTTGCCTTGTGTACATCGTAAGCTACATACATACATATCACGTGCATTAGTGGGTGTGTGTGTGTGTGTGTGTGTAAAGTGTATGTGATTTGGGTGCTATACCACATCTGAATATGGCCGATACCTACATATAGATACATGTGCCTGGCTCTGGCGATTGGCAATCTGAAATCTGAAATCTGATTGCTAAAAGAGTCAATTCATTTATTCCGCTGTCTGTTTTTGTTTTCTATTTTGATATTTTGTTAGTCAACTCATTCGATGATGGATATTTTGAGCCCCTTAAACATCTGTAAAGTATTCAAAATTCCATGCGTGCACTGGATCCCAAACAGTACGAAATCCAACGCTCTTGGGGATCCCAAACAGTACGAAATCCAAAGCACTTGGGCAACTAACAAAATTAGATGCACTTGTTTCACCTTTCTCAATCGGCCAAACCATGACCGAATGATTTGCCTTGACTTGATTTGATCACCACACCCATAATGCTTCAGCTGAATATCTGTATTTGAATATAGACTGGATACAATTGAGCAAATAAACAAAAAACTACGCCACCAGTGCTACCCTTTATTGGGGGGTATATCCGTAACTTTGACACTCTTTGAATTTTCACTTGGAATATATTCCATTCTTTGTTGTCATTTTTTATTTTTGTATTGGTATGCTTTCACAAATACATAAATCTGCCAAATTATGCGTTTATTGGACCACAATAGAATCGACAACACTACGCTCAATGGGGTTTTAATTTAATTCGCATTATAATCTAATTAATTCACATATTTATATGTCAAGTGCGAAACTTCGTGGTATTTGCCGATTGCCAAATTGGTTTCAACCAGTTTTAGCCGCACAAATGCACAGGACACAAGGACGCAGAGGCACAGACCGACCGTGGTTCGCTTTAGGTTACGGCTGTTTCGTTTGTGCGTAATATTCAGACTAGGACTGTTCGGCCCGCTAATTGGGTTAATTCCAAATACGTGTGCAGACCCGAGTCACGACACATAAACGAGCACTATCCAGATATGTAGTCTAGCTATGCGTCACCGGGTGCGAGGGCAGGTGGCAATCAATGGAGAAATCGGGAGACCGTAACGGGGAACGTGGACCCCTTTAAGGTTTTTCCAATATTCACACGCTTTATCCCACGCGCTCCTGCCGACGCAACAGCTCAAGGAATTATGAATGTTGTACGAACATGAAAACCGCTTTGCCCGCGTCGCGACGCGGCAGATATACAACTGGCACTTGGAGAGCTTTTCCGCTGACAGGCGGCCATGACGTCTGGCGACGGCGCTGTCAGATCTC